TCTCTCTATAATAAGATAATAAATCTAACATCTTGCAAAAGACGTTGTAAAGCTTATTAAGGTAATCTATGTAAAGTCTTTCTAGAGCATAATACATGTAATGCTGCCATGCGTATATTTTGTTTTGTTAACTGAAAGTGCAAGGTAACAGAAATACTACAACTTTCTAACATTAACAATCTGGAAACATATGCATCATTAATATGATTTGTTTGGAGAAGGGCTGCCATCAAGAGCTGTATGGAATGAACAGTGCTAGCATCTTGTTAATTCCACCTTAGATTTTTGTTTAGGGGATCTTTGCATGTTGGAAGTTGCTTATTGGAATGCATTTCTGCAGTTGATCACACCTTAGCAGGGCCTGCTTCAGCAGCAGACATGAGATTTCTAGGCTGTTCCTAGTATTCCACTAATCAACCTAGCAGGATGTACTGAACCAATATGACAACAGGTACCATGAGACCATGGGTGTGCATGCATTAGCTGTTTAGAGTGTTCATTACTGTTAGGTACACAACTGTAACTGATCATACCCAAAAGCCTGATTGAATCTCTCCATTGTAATTTTGGGTAGATTTATAAAGGCAGCCACTATCAGGTGATACTTGACCATTGCTGAGCAGTAGAATTCATGAGAAACCAACATCCGCCCCCCTTTTTTTTTACAAAGTTGCTTACCTCTCACATTGCATTTTAATTTGTAGCTTCTGCACTCAGTTGTGTGCAGCACGTGTTGATGAAGTCAGTGTGGTGAAAGGCAGAATTAAATTCTGCACTAATTAACTTGTGATTGAGACCCTACTGATTGAGCTGTATGCAGAAATCCATGCAAATACAGAAAAGTGATAGTGGCAAAGCCGGCTAGTAAAGGAACTATTACCAACCAGAAGTATTTTCTTGCTATTGCTATAGAAAGACTGCTGAAAATATCTGCTCAAGATTCTGTAGCAATGTCAAGAGCAAAAATGGATTCTATGGTGCCTTGCATGGCCTGGGACCACAATTCCTGATGGAGTGCCTCTCTCAACCACAAAAGAAAACCCTTCTCCATGGTTGCTTTCTGATTAAGGAATGTCTCTCCAATGAGATTCATCTCATACCAGTTCTGTTATCATTTCAGTGCTCCATTCTTTGAGACATTCAGTGGTCTGTGGGGGCATTTATGTCAGTCAAAATGTGTTGTAAATGTTTTAGCTGCTTAAATAGTTTTAAATTGTGTTTTAAATTTGGTCTATTAGAATTTTATGCTGTTTTATTCAATTTAGTATTTGTGTCTTTTATGAATTGTTGTGAACTGTGCAGGGAGCTTGGGCTGTTACATGATAAACCAATCAATCAGTCAATCAAAGGAAGCCTTCTGCCCCTCTGAGTCATATTCTGAGGCAGACAGAGAACATGACAGTAGACACTGACTGACTGTTACTGCCAGTGATCCTTGGCTCTGATAGCCTTGAAGGCCAAAAAGGGCCCTGATGTATATTAATAAAGGTTATTACCCTCAAATTTTCATGGTAGAGTTGTGTGTGTCAGCTAAGACATGGTTATTAATTCAAGAGAGAATTAAAAATTGGGTGGTAGAAGAAACCATCTAGTTTTTGGTTGTATGATCAGGCAATAACTGGACACCCCCCCCCACACACACACACTTGTCATAAAGCTAAATATTCTGACAGTGCTGTGCTATTAAACAATTGACATCTGTTTGTACATTTTAAATTGTTGTTGGTTTGCAGCCAAATCATAAAGCTACTCCACATAAAGTGATTAAATTCCATTAGTTAAAAACAAAGAAAGAGGCTTATAGCTTTTTAAATTAAAGAGACATTTTCTGTATAAATTTCTTAGCATGGTGCAAAATGACTGCATACTAGCTTTACATTGTATACTATGTCTTAGCTTAATGCAATGCATTACAGTGGAATTTTAATGAAATGTTTCAAATTATAAACATACTCTACCAGCTGCACTCATACCTGGACAGGGATAACTTGGCTTCAAGTAATCTATACTCTGGTGGTCTCTTAATTAGATTACTGAAATGCACTCTTTGTGAGGCTGCCCTTGAAGAACTTTGCAGAAGCTGCAGCTGTTGCAGAGTGCAGCTGCTAGTTTAATAACTGGGACCCAAGCCTCTGAACATATAAGACTGGTTCTAGCCCAGCTGCCTTGGCTCTTGTATGCTTCCAGACCCAATTCAAAGTGCTGGTTTTAACCTATGAAGCTCTATATGGTTTGGGACTGCAATACTTGTTGGAGTGCCTTTCCCAGCCCTACTCTGCCTGGACACTACACTCAACCTCTGGGGCCTTCCACTGTGTACCAACCACTTGAGAGGCACAGGGTGACAACAAGGGGCGGGCCTTTTCTGTGGTGGCCTCCCATCATTGGAACAACCTCCCTTCTGTGGCCCACCTTGCACCAAATTTGCCATCTTTTTGGAGCCAGGTCAAGACAGCCCTCTGTGAGGAGGACTTTAAAGATCTCCTTGGTCATCCAGGGGACTGAGGGGATTATTCTTGTGCTTTTTCTCCTTGTCTAGTCTTCTTTTTTGTACTTTTAAGCTATTTTAAATTGATGTTAAGTGTTTTTAACATTGTTGTTTTTATGTTATCTGTATTATAATTGTATTGTCTTGCTTCATACCTTGTGGTAAACTGCCCAGAGAGCTTCAGCTATGGGGTGATAGAAAATAAAATATAATATTCTAGGATTTCAAAATAATTAGTGTGATATTATTACTACATTTTAGGCCTATCATTTTCCTCATGCAAGAAAATCCAGGGCAACTTACATTACCTTTGTCACCACTGAATTCCTACAACCTTGCTATGAAGTTGCTTAGGAAGAATCAGTGACTGGCCCACAGTCTTTCAGTATTTGTTGGGGAGATGGTAAAGAAAGGCAGGTATGATATAAATGGAAAAATATAGATAATGAATTATAGAGAGACCATGACAAAGGATATGAGCCTAAAGGGCGTTCAAAAACTCCCATCTTTGTCCATTTAAGATTAATACCAACATAAACAGTTATTGTCGTTGTTTAACTTCCATATATTTCCAAGGGGCTTACATAAAATTCCTGCAAGTGTTGTGTTTTACTTTCAGCAAATTCCCACGGGAAAAGATGATAAGAAAAAGATACTCACTAAAGTGAATCCTAGAACTGGATCTAGGTAGATGGAGAAACAGAAATCGACTTGAAACAGGGCTGTACCCATTTACAAGCAAACATAGAAAGCAAACAAAAGGTATACTGCTCAGCTTGCTGGTGATGTGAGGTTTTAGCAAATGCTTTTTTCAGTGTGACCTATTAATGAGCACATCAGATTCTTTCCCATGATGAAGAGCTTTTGATACTCAAAACATGCTGAAGCAGTTCTGTCACAGTAATGTGACAAAAACACACTTGTCTCTGTTGTGATTCTTGCTATGGTTTTTGTTTTATTTGTTATTTGGATAATAGCAATACGATGAATGAAAATGTTTTATCTATGATTCTGGAAAAATACAAGTTGCTTGCTCTATATACAGCATGGATTCCTTAGGGTTGTACTGTGCCTTTGCTTTCTTCCTTATCTTCTCTGCTTTTGACTTGATAAATGCAATACAGCTTTAGAACTGTTTTTGTTGCATATGTCCTTAACTGATAGCTTTCCATGCTCTCAGTTCCAAAGAATATGAATGAACAAAGCAGACTAATACAACCTTACCTTCCTGAAGATATTGAAAGAGGTGGTTATATCCAACAAATATTAGCTAGATAAGAGTTACCTCAAAATTAATCACGTGTTGGTTCTGCTTCTATCTGCAGGAAATCTAAATGTTCTGCCTTTGAAATCAGTTGAGCTACAGAGTGTTTAACTTTGGCTGGATTGTGAGCATTCTGTTAACAGTAGTTCTTAAAGCAATAATGTTTTCATTAACATTGAACTTGAATAGCTGCTTTCATTGGGTTGGAATTACAATGTATATTGATTATTGCATATTTTCTTTTGACATATTTCCTGGAGATAAAGCACCATAAAAGATTCTGAACCATGCTTTTAGAAATATGAGGCAAGAGCCAAGTAATTAGAATATTTTATTGGTGAGTGCTTAGAATGAAGAAGTTTCAAAGATTTGTTTCTGATGTTTCAGAAATCCATAATCAGCAACCTATGTTTATGGAATTAGGCACCTAAAAGAAGGGTCCACATATGATATATTTTGCTGATTAGCTGATTATGGAGCTTGCTATTGTATCTAAACACCAGAAATTCTATCCAGTCTTTTTAGAGAGTTTAAGACGGGCAAGCGGGGAAGCGGGGATAAGTCTTTAGGAAGAGACCTGGCAATGTATTAATTGGGCTTTATGGTAGCCTAAACCAACCATCAGAGTTGTTGGAGCAGGATAGATACCCAAGCTCCTGCAATTCGAAACATGTCAAAGCATTACAGTAGTACCTCGGCTCACGAACGCCTCAGTTCACGACCAAATTTCAGAAAAATTTTGCCTCATGTCGCGAACTCCTCATAAGGTGACAATCGCGATTGCACCCATCTTCCCTGCATGATCGCGATCATGCTCGGGGGTGGGGGGGGGAGATGGCCGCAATCTTTGTTACATTCTTGTTCTTTGTCACTTTGTTTCAAATTTTTGTGATTTAAAAAAAATGGTTACAGAACGGATTAACCTTATTTACATTGAACCTTATGGAAAAATTTGACTTGGGTCACCTCCAATTTGGGTCACAACCAGAGTCCTGGAACGGATTAAGTTCAGGAGCCAAGGTACCACTGTATTGCTGTGATAACTGACTGCCCGCTTTTCTAAGCTGGACATTACAGTGTTGCTCTGTGTGATGTGAAATCTGGGCTCTTATAGTGGTTTGTGTGAGTGCTTCTGTTATGTCTCTGTATAATCCAGATGCAATCTCATAAGAGTGTAGATTCAGAATAGGCACTGCCAAGGAAATGCTAGCTATAAAATATTCTCATATTACTGTTTCTGCACATTAGGTACATTGATGGAAGCCCTTCTTTGAGGCGTATGACTGTGATGAGGGAAAAAGGAAGGCGGCAAGCAATTAGAGGTCCGGCTTTTATGTTCAACGAGAGGGGCACAAGCCTCACAGCAGAGGAGGAGCGCTTTCTGGACGCAGCTGAGTACGGGAACATCCCTGTGGTACGCAAAATGTTGGAAGAGTCAAAAACATTGAATGTCAACTGTGTTGACTACATGGGCCAAAATGCCTTGCAGCTTGCTGTTGGGAATGAACATTTGGAAGTGACAGAACTTCTGCTAAAGAAGGAGAATTTGGCACGAATTGGAGATGCACTGCTGCTTGCCATCAGCAAAGGGTATGTCCGGATAGTGGAAGCAATCTTAAATCATCCTGGGTTTGCAGCTAGCAAGCGGCTCACTCTGAGTCCCTGTGAACAGGAACTCCAGGATGACGACTTTTATTCTTATGATGAAGATGGAACCCGCTTCTCTCCAGACATTACCCCAATCATTTTAGCTGCCCATTGTCAGAAGTATGAGGTGGTACACATGCTGTTAATGAAAGGGGCAAGGATAGAGAGACCTCATGATTATTTCTGCAAATGCAATGATTGTACTGAGAAACAAAAGATTGATTCTTTTAGCCATTCCAGGTCAAGGATAAATGCATATAAGGGATTGGCAAGTCCTGCCTATCTATCCCTGTCTAGTGAAGATCCAGTTCTCACTGCTCTAGAACTTAGTAATGAGCTTGCCAAACTGGCTAATATTGAAAAAGAATTCAAGGTAAGGCATTGCTTTTTCATACCTTTTTGGTCTGCTTTATCAACTTCAGTGGATTCAAACACTTCACCTCATTTTGCCATAGTTTATTCCTGTCAGTGTTGCTGCTCTGATGTTTGATATTTTAAAACACACAGTTTTGCTTTAAATGAAAATACTTCACTTAATTGCATAGCGTGATCAGAAAAGAGACATCATTCCTCCTGGAATGGATGAAAACAGGTTTTTTCATCCTTTTAGTAAATAATTTTTTTCATTGAAGTGAACTCAATTGAAATAATGTTATTTGACCCAGCATTCAGTTTTCAGGTCCCAATTTAGTTTTCTTAGTTTTTTTCCCACACCTTTTCAATGCTGGTATTTACATGTTATGAAAGCAATGCGCATTTGTCATTTCCTTATCAAAATAGCACCATGCTTATTTATTTCCCAGAAATGTACTAACTTGCTAAGAGCCAGCTGTTCAAATCTGGACAGATGCTATCATTCTGTTTTTTCATTTATGCTCGTTAGGTTGGTGCAGAATGCTTGATTATACTTTACAGATTTTTCATTAGTAAGACATTGATGAACCGAACCTTACTTAGTTCTGCACTTTTATGCTGTTTGGGTTCTTTTTCACACCTCATAACATTACAAAATCATTGTATGCAAAATCATTTATACAAACAGCACTTTTATTCAGCTGAATAAAGATTTTAATAGGATCATTCTGTGTAACTGCTGGAATACATTTCTTTAATTAACTTTTCCATAAATTACTCTGAAGATGAGGAAAACACCTTAATGTATGAAGCCTGTTCCAAGTCTGGAGAGTGGTGAAGAGAGATAAGTGTGTGTGTGTGTGTGTCGGGGGAGTGCTAGGAGTATGTGGGTGATGGTAGTGACATAATGGGTATTATTTACAGTGTGTGTGTGTGACTTAATAACATGGAAGAAACACTGCAGAGCCAGACACAATGTACAGCTTAAACTCTTTGAGCTAGAGCCAAGTGATAGGGCAGTTCAGCTCAGTTGCATTGTAGAACCCAACTGATGAATGTTTAAAGCTTTTGCAAGTCAAATACTTTATATGTCAGGGTTTATAAAAACTGAAGGGAATGATAGATGTTAAAGAGGGCTGAATGTTTCACTCTGGATGAACTGAGAGTCTTGTAACAATAAAGTCTGTTTGAAAAAGGAGTTTTAGAGTAGCGTGTTTACTCAGGAGGAGGACCCCAGCTCATGACAGTTACTGTACTAAAGTTATGTGAGGATGTTGATCGGTTGCATCTTATTGAGACTTCTGAGAATCTTCTTACATTATGTTGTACATAAACTCCCTTTCACCATAATTAGTGTTCCAGTGTCAACCCTTGTAAGTGGGGTGCCTTGAAGGCCTGTTGTAGAGGACAGGTAATCTAGAGCTCTTTGGACAAAGGGTTGGATAAAGATGTTATCAATCATAATGATTGACCTGTCTTCATCCTCTGCCCAACAGTATACAAATAGATGAATTCCAGGAGTCTTCAGTAGATCATGACTTTTATTTATTTATTTTTTTAAAAGCAGTAATTTTAATTAAGTCACAATCTGCTTTCAAAGAAGAGTAGTTGCTACTCATTGATTATCTCTCTTCAAGGAAATGCAGCAGACATTATTAGATCTTATATATAAATAAGTTTGGCATGTTTAGATGGAAGGTAATAATGCTTAGAAAACCTTGAGTGATTAAACGACAAAGAGTTTTGTGGCGCTTTAAAGACTAGCAGATTTATTGTGGCATAAACTTTCTTGGACAATGATTCATTTCATCATAGGAACATTTAGACGAACATAAGAACATAAGAGGTTGTCTTTTACTGAGGTAGACCATGGGTCCATCTAGTCCATTACTGTCGATGCTGACAGGAGCTGAAGCCACTGAGTGGCAGTGGCTCTTCCTGTTTTCAGGCAGGATTCTTTCTAGCTCTGCCTGGGATGCTGCAGATTGAACCTGGAATCATCTCCATGCAGAACAGGTATTCTAGCACAAGCCATAGATCCTTCAAATGCATGACGTAACACTTTATGCATCTGATGAAATAGGCTGCCATCCATGACAGCTAAAGTCATTAAAATGACCCTCCTTCCTTTTTTGTTGGAACTAACATGGCTACTCCTTTGCAAACAGATTGAATAAGAGTCAGTACCAGCAGACTGTGACTTTTTCATGACTTGTAGCAATTCCAATGTTTAAAGCGTTCTTTTTAGTATTGTACTGTGCTCAACAGAGTTTTTAAAAATACATACAATGATTTTAAAGCAGTAATAAATCTACCAGCTGGAGCTGAAGCCTTTTGCTGGAAAAATAAAAAAGATTTTTTATGGTACATGGAACACTAAATTCTCCTTCTGTATTCTCTTTGGCTTGGTAGAATTAATGCAATTGCATGCTGCTTTTCTTGTTATTGCTGAACTGTGCTTTCCCTATAATGTCTAAGATGTGGGTGGTGTTTTGCTAGCTGGGGCTTTCTATGTATTTGAGTGAGAGCAGATCTAACACAGGATTAGGGGCTTAGGAAGAGGGAGACCTATTTTCAAACAGTGGCCAGGAAAAGAGAAATGCCTGGTTTGCACCTCTAAATGCTCTACAAGTATATGCTAGCAAAATCAACAAAAATAGAAAAAAATCAGTGTCAAAAAGCACTGAACAACATTCTATTTTCAAAAAGCATTTAGGAAAGCCCACTTGGTAGGCTTCAGTTATTTCTAATAAATGTATGTTTCTTTGTCAAGTAATTTCAAAATGTGTTAACCATTTTACAGATCATACTGTTTTCACTCTTAGCTTTGCGTAATTGCTTAGTTGAGAGTTACTCCTTCTGGTGGATTGTAGTATGAAGTATAACTTTTACGGCAGTGGTGAGCCTTAATGACATATAAAGTTTGGTTATTAAAAAATTATTCTGCTCTTACTTTATTCTGTGTTTCATGGTTATATGTGAAGCTTTAATGTTTTCACAATCACGGTACATCACCAAATGCTTGACAGGCAAAGGGCACAGCTTCTCAATCTAATAAATAACTATATACATTTTACTTAATAAGAGTACGTAAGATTGCATGTTTCTACCATAAAAAGATAACCTTCAGAGAATATAAGGTGAGAAATAGTTGTTGTTTTTTTAATTACGATGACTAATTTCAAGTCAGATTTAAAATTCGTAAACTGCCCAGAAACCCACTTTGACTAATGGGTGGCATAAATATTAATTAAATAATACAGTGAAGCTGCTTCTTTAATATAAAAAGAGAATGCAGAAAAATGGCAAAGAGAAGAATTACTTTTTCCTGAAATCTACAACGCCTTGTCCATCTGATCATTTTCATTCACGTGTTTGCATCAGAACAGTCGTATTTGTATTTGAACCTCACTTAAGCTCTGTTGAAATGAATGGGGGGTTATTCTGCAGTGGTATCTATTTGGTTGCACTTTCAGGCTGAATTGAGTTACTTACGGTGTAGTTCCATTAATTCCAGTGAGAAAATTGGCCACAGAATTGAATCTGCTTGGTTCAGTCTTCTACTTCCTGAAGACTGTGAAGTAAATATTTTACCTTTTACTGAACTGAAATACTTGAGTTGAATAATGGGTAGCAATATTCAGTGCAAGAAAAAGTCGGGCATGTGTATTGGAGAAGAAGAGAATGCAGAAATCAAAGTTAAAATCAAATGTGTTAAAATTTGCATTCATGTTCTCAAAATCTATGGGATTTGCAAAAATTGTGGTAGGCAAATGGTTGGAAAATGTATTTCACACTTGCAGAAAAAGTAAATGAAGCAATTGAGATGAAGTAACAGAGATTTTCTCTGAATATAAGCAGAAATGGTAGACTGAGAAAAGCCATGAAAGTTTTCATATATGAGTAGCTAAGTACAAAGAATTTGAATTGTAGCTAGGGGTAGCAGTAACATGATCAGAAATGGTATTTGGTGTAAAGAAAAGATTACTGATACAAAGGGAGAAAACCTGATACCACACAAACTTCTGAAAGGAAGGGCTGTGTAAACATACAATTGTATAGAGCATGGGAAAAGAAGTATTAGGATACATGGGCCTGGAGTCAAAATAAACATTAATTCTGTATCTATCTGCTACATTTTTCTTTTTTATTCTAGAATATGCACAGTGCTACCAATCCAGATCTTAAAAGCACCCTACTATTGTTCCCTTTACTAGATTCTCAGTCTAGAGTGGGGTCTCTGCACCTACCTGAGCGTAAAAATGGCGCAAAGATCTAGCTGCTTGTTACAGATTTAAATTAATGACTGTTTTGTCTCCAAGGTGAAAATTAATAGTTAGAATTTAGCAGTTGTCATAGTGATGATACAAATACGTTTTTCCTGGCATGGTTGTACTTAAATTAACCATATTATGTGCATAATTCCACCTTTTTTACACTATTACAGTCAATAGAAACAAGGGGTTTGTGAATTACAGCTTTTATATGCAAAGATTTTCTACAGAACAAAACAGGAAAGAGGCTTCTTTGACTTTTCAGTAGAGAAACAACTCCCTGGGTATTGTGCAAGAGCCAGCTGGGAATACTTGGTACAACAACATGATTTTAGTATTGATATCATGGCTTTTCCTAAAGCTTCAGTTTTTGTAATCAATTAATTAGAGTTGTTTCATATGACTAACTAACAAGTTGAAAGAATTAGCTGAGCGAAGCCAACCATATCACTTTATAGCATGCTGAGCTTGTAAATTGATCGGGATTGAACTATGATTTACAGTGCAATCCCATATGTGTATGCTGAGAAATAACTTATTCCTAGGAAAGTGTGTATACAATTTCATTCATATGCAGAGGATTGCTTCAGAGAATCTGAACTTCACATGGATGTACTCATCCTACATATTTAACAACTCAATTTACTCACACCAGTTTGAGAGGGTTCCATCCTTAAGGGAGCCTAAAGATAATTTGAAATAAATAATGTTTAAAAGATGAATAAATCTTGTGACTTATGGATAGTAGGTAAAGTTTTAGATTGAGAATGGTGTTTTCAAGCTTAGGAAACAGAAAACAGTTGAAATTAAGGCTTTTTAAAAAGACTTTTGTGATCTTTGGACAGGTAAACAGGGTGTAACTTCATAAGTTCAGTTCATATTGATAATAGCAACAATGATTTTTCCAAAATTAAAAGGAGGAGGATAAGACACCCAAGGCAAGTATGAATGTAATTTAAAACACAGTTCTGGTGTGTGTATGGCAGAGGTGGGTGTGAAGGGATATTTGTTTTCAATACTATTCGGCATCATTTTAGTAAAATCAACCAGGCTAAGGAAGAACTATTTAGTAATGAGAATTCTGTGTTAAGGAATGCCTAAACAAAAATATGATTTTTTAAAGGTGACAGATAGTGATACCAGATTTGTACAGAACTGTGGAAGGTAAGAGACAGACAACTGTAGTAATAGAAAAGAAAGATGAGCTAGTACATGGATAGATTTGCAAACAAATCAACTTGCACCCAACATGGTGCATACAGCTACCATTGCCATTAGGCAGAGAGATAGTTGCCTCTGGTGCCCTGTGCTGGTTGGAAGTAGTAGTAGTCCCTTGGTCATCCTTCCTGGGCCTTGTGGTCATTCTGGTGTGTTAGAGGAAAGCGCTGTTGTGCTTCAAAGTCTGTCCTGTATCCCCTAGGCTGGCTTTCTGTGGTGCAATGGTTGGCAATGTGATTGTATTGGTAAAATTCAACTGCCAGTCCAGTTTGCTTTTGTACTTGAAATTGGTAGGGCTGTATGTGAGGGTGGGTGTGCATGTATGCACACATGCTGTTGGAGCATTGGATTTGAGTGCTGTTTTGTATTTATATCTAAAGTTTTTATGTAAGGTACTTTGAGAGCTGTGGCTGAAGAGAGATTAGAAAATCATAAAAATCAGGAAAATATCATTGGAATGCAGAAAAGTAAAGATAAAATGAAATCTGCACATTCAGTATATCCTGGAAGTGCTGCAGGGATTTTTCTATTTGGGAAAATGTTTAGTGGCTGAGAATAAGTAAGGGTCATTTAAATCTTTTCAATGCCTTAATTTTATATTTTAATGTACTGTTACAAGTTTTGCCAATAGCTCACCACACTGAGCCTTTCTATGTAGGGTAAAATATAAGTCAGGCAATATCCGAGGCCTTGTACTATACCACTGTTGGTTTATGTTAGATGGGTGACTGCTAGAAGCAGTGTCTTTTCAGCTGTGACACCAATGTTATGGAATGCCTTCTCTAGAGAAGTCTACTAGGCCTCAATACTTTTTGATTTGGTACGAGATAATGCTTTGTCTTTTCAGAAAGGTCTTTAGGCCAAGTTGATCAGATGTCTGTTGTTTTGCTTGTAGCTGATTCTTTGGGTTTTCCCCATTCCAATTCTTTTGTAATATATATTTTATTCAAACTTGAATCTTGTTTAATCGCTTTGTATATTGTTATTTGACCATCAGCATACATGGGGTGAGATAGAATAGGTAGGTAAAAAGCTTTTGCACCAAGGAGCTTGCAGTCTAAAATTTGAAATAACAAATAACAACATGGAGGAAGAAAAGGCAGGACAGTGAGCCAATATATTATGGTTTCAGTTGCACAAGCTTACATTCAGTTACAGTTTGAATTATGGAAGCACAAGGAATGAGTACTGCCAAAGCCTTCACAGAATAGGGGAGTTCTGTGGAAGACGTTGACTGAATTGAGATATGGCAATTTTTGTTCTTAGTTAATGGTAGTACACTTCATTCAGTCCTTTGACCACTCCAGAATCCCTGGGGAAAGAAAACTGGTGACCTAAGAATAAGATGAAATGTGTGGTACAGGTCAGACACTATGAGTGTTGTTACTGATGTTGAGGTCAAAAAGGAGAAGTTTAGTGTACATTCTCTAAAAGTTAAAACATTAGAAACTGTGTGTGGTATGGCAAAAAAACAAGTTCAGTAATTTTAGGACAACGGATCCTAACGAAGGCAGTGACAATCTAGATAAACGTTCTTGCTAATTCTTTTTGGATGTTTTCTTTTTAATCATTTCCTACCTCAGCATACATATTGGTGTTTGTCTCTAAATACCATTGCAAAAATGGAGCACAATTTTACTCATGTTAAATAAATGTACATTTTTGTATTGCTGAACTGTTGAAATGAATCAAGGGTTATTTCTCTTTACATTTCTACTTTCTAGAATGACTATCGCAAGTTATCAATGCAGTGCAAGGATTTTGTAGTCGGTGTTCTTGATCTCTGCAGAGATTCTGAAGAGGTAGAAGCCATTCTAAATGGAGATTTGGAGGCTGAGCCAGTTGAAACACAAAGGCACAGAGCTTCCTTGACCCGTGTTAAACTGGCAATTAAATATGAAGTCAAAAAGGTATGGAGCTTGTTCTTTTAAGAAGCATGATACACTGTTATAAATTACCTGTGTTCATAACCTTAGTCACCATACAGACTGTACTGTAAGATAATATTTTATGGGCTCAGCCCTCTGTTGGAATAACTTATTGTCAAAATGTCAAGGTAAGGCAGATGAGAAATTGAACTTTTTAAATAAAAAGACAATAGGGACCATTGTACAAGATCTAATTATTGTGGATGTGCATGTGTGTACATGCGTGTGTGCGCACAGTTTGCCTGTTAAAATCATGAAAAGCAAATTAAGACAACAGCCATGCCTTGTTCTCACTACATCATGGATAAGAGGATTGGCAAGATGATAGTTCTGTAAGCATCAGTGAGGCTGTGATCTTGGGCCACTCGCCCTTGCACCACCCCTGCACTCCTCCTCTTATGCCCCATTGCAATAAAATAATTCAAGCCATAGCAATTAATGTATTACTATTAGTTGTAGCTTCCATTTGAAGTGGTTCTGAAAGGCAGTTTGAATATAAACTGACAATTCTGTTTCTTTTGCACTGAGTTTTCTTATCTGTAAGTGGTTACAAGTGGGGAAAATAGACAAATTTAAAAGTTGCCAGTTTGTTTCTTCACATAATATGAATTAATATGAAGAAGCATATTTATTCCAAGGTGTTCTGTATTCTTTTAAAAACGTTCTGTGTTCAAGTTAGAATTATTATGTTGTTAGACAAGTTCATGATGGTCTGTTGATAGCAAATAGCTATGATAGGTATATAAACCATTATGTTTAGAAGTAGATTATCTCTGGCATGGCTATTACATCAAGTTTATCCCTTGTGGAAAATGGGGTGCTGATCAGATGGACCCTCCATACTACCCAGGAGGGTTTTATCTTGTTCTGATTTTCCCTTTAAATTATGCCAGTACAATTACTTTTTTTATTGTCTTTGCTGAAACTTCCTGATTGTGTCTGCCTTATGCATTATATACCCTCTTAGTGCGCTTTTCACTTCTACTATCTTTTTTTTCTTTAGTATTACAGATTTCTTCTTTTACAGCAATAGTCAGATTGTCAGGAGGGACATATTCTATTACATTGTATTCTGGGCAGGCTATCCTGTCCATCCTGCTTTATCATCTCCTGGCAAAATTGCATTCCAGATATGAACTGTAAATCTAAAATAAAGAAGAAAGGCAGCTCCCATTCAGAGGCGATTATCTGTTCAGTAAGGAGTGATTTGTGTTTTAAGAACCTCTAAATGGAAATCAGTCCGTCCCAATCTTCACTGTTTTAAGTGCACATTTAACTTACAAGTGATGATTATTGCTTTTTCTCTCCTTCATCCCATTACAGGGGCAAAGTGCATTAATAAGTGATCTGGTAAAGCTCATGAGTCTCTCTCTCTCTCTCTCTTACACACACACACACACACCATCTTATTAAGAAATTCTTTTAGCACGAAGTGGATTAAAAGGTAAAGAACAGATCTCTGTTTAAAATCACATCAATAAATTAAATTTTTTGCTGGGAAATTGAAAGTTTTCTACTTTCATTTCCTGCTGCTTGATCCCCACCCACGATCATCTCAGTGCCAAATCTACTGTGAGAATTAAAAAGACAGAAAAATAGAATTTTGCTGACAGAAGTTAGCTAGTGACAACCAAAAATACATTATAAGTACACTGATCACAAAACTTACTGAATACTTTCTGAGAATATTTAGACTATTTGCTAAGGAGCACATAGTTAAAAAGTCTAAAATGAAGTCTAAATACATATGCCGCAAGATTTATGCATGTGCTGGAGTATGTCTCTGATTTTATCTTCAGTAATTGCAAAGTCATAACATAATTTGTTTCTGTTTGGTGCAAGTGCTCACTAATTATTTTGGAAATGCTTACTAATTTAGCAGCCAAGTAATTAGCAGGTAGCAAATTCAACAATGCTACAAATTGCTTTTATATATGAATGCTATTTTTAAGCCTCTTAAAGACTTTATGTGGAGGTTTATTTAATTGTACAAACTACTGCTAGTAGCTTTATCTATCCTTCTTTTATGCTAAAAACTCTAAATTTTTGGGCACCTTCATACTGAGTATACAAGGCATGCACTCCTTGGTTACTTACAGATGATAGCATACTTCTAGTTTGCCATTCAGCTAAACAATATGCCCCATAGGTTGGTATCAAGTTCCAGAAGTGCTAATGCTGTTAGGGCCAGAAAGCTAGTGCCATTGTGACAACCCATCACTTTTAAATGTGCAGTTTAAAATGGCATACATAGATGTGACAGTATGAAATCTATAGCCAAGGCAGTGCTACAGGAGCTTTTTTTTTTTTTTTTTGCTTTTATACTGTAATGTAATAATGTGATTATAATGTAATATAATGAAGTGTACTTTCCCATGCTGCTGTGAACCTAGATAAGGGACAGTGCAGGGATGTCTTAGGAGTACGTACTGATTCCTGTAGTATAATCCAGGATGGTATAAATTGGTGTCTTGCAACAGCAGAGGATTGCACCTGATGGCCTTCATGGCCCCTTCCAACTCTACTATTCTGTGATTCTATGATAATAGCATATCCCAGAAATCCAAGAAGGTTTTACAGAAGTAGGAAACTGAGGAGAAGACCGAAAAGTGGATAAATTCACTCCCAAACAGTTACTTTGTAAATATGCACTGTATTTCTGATTACCCTGCCTCACTGAATCACCCACAAGTCACACCAGGATTCACTGCAGACATTAAAAACACACTGCTAGGTCTCTGAGAGGCTACTGTAAATGCAAACCTTTGAAGGTGTGGATTGGGCCAGCTCACCTGGACTGATCTTTCTGAGGGTAGAAGGCAGAAATACTCCTTCCCCTGCTGACATTTTGTTGCAGGGTCTCACTTGTATATATTAATAGCAAACTGATTCCCAGAGTGCCAACCCATGTATGGTCAAAACCACACTGGCTGTGCAGAAGAGGTAGTTATTAGCAGGCTTGGGGCAAAACACACACACACATGTGCACACACAAAATGGGTGAGGAGAGAGGCCCAAACATCCCAGTGAAAGTTGATCATGCAGTAATTTCAGAATACTGACTAACCGGAGTAGGGCTGGGGGCACGAAAATCCAAGCTTGGAATGTTTATGCATGTGTTAGGGATTCATGATACTGGAAAACTAATTTTGTTGAGCTTGATCTTCTACACAACTGTTTGAAATGTTTGCCCAGATTTGGAGCCAGGAGCACAGCTGGTAAAAATTGAGGCTGACACATTAGATAAGTTGTTGATTTTTGTTGCAGCATTTAACATGAGAAGTATCAAAGCATTGCCTCCTTAGTGCGTATTCTCACCCTCCTTGGTCATCTTGAATTTTCTGATGTTAATCTGAAATGTTTTCTGATGTGAGGTAATTTCAGATTTGGGAAATTCCACAAAAGCATGCAAATCACAGCCTGTTTTAAAAACAAAAAAATGATTATTTGTGTCAGCTCAAGCCAGTATCAGCATGAGGGGGTAGGGACTTGTGTTGAGAGAAGGTCAAATTTTCATCCTTCTGTTAGATTTGTCACATAGTGTGGATAAAATGGAATATCTTGGAAGAAAGCATGGCTGACTGGCTGGAATATTCAGTAGGAGTGCTCAATGCAGCAACAAGTTGTTGCAGCTCCTACTTGCCAGGAAACTATGAGCTTCTCTCTTCTTTGTACACAGAATCAAATTTTAAATATGAAAAAATAAATAATACATATGCAGCATGTTTAAAATATGATTCCCAAGTTCACCCAAAAAGAGCAACTGTTAATATTTTTAGTTTGTGAAAATACATCTCTTCAATCTCATTTGAGCCTGTAGAAGTGTTACTGTGATGTTAGCAACTCTGCAACATGCCAAATAAACAAATCTAATAATAGCATGAAATTGTATGGCAGTAACAATCAGTATATTCAGGAGCCATTAGGAGATTTAAAAAAGACTCATTTGTGTAAGTTTGTCATTTAAACATGTGAATAAAATTGCAATAATACAATAATAAAACCACAGTTATTAAAACAATGTAAAACAGTGTATCATAAACTAAGAGAAAAGAAAAGGGAGGAAAAGAATAGAAAATGAGACTGTGGGAAAGAAAAAAAAGATCTCAGTACAAAGTCAATGCTTGAGTGTTGAAGTCTTACTAATTTTCTTATTGTACAAATGCCTCCAATTCATAAGTGAACTTTATTAGGAAAATCAAAGGTGGTAAAAGAGAATGCCCACATTATTCCCATTGTTTTGATGAGTGATATTGCTTCAGATAGACTTTTCACAAGCTCTTCTACAAGAACCATGATAACTTTGATTGAACATATGCAAATGCTGTGTGGGTGCAGAAGAGCATCTTATATTAAGATGTTGCATCCATCCCTATACAGTGGTACCTTGGCTCATGAACGCCTCAGTTCACGACCAAATCGGGTTGTGAACAAAAATTTCATAAAAATTTTGACTCTGGTTGTGAACTCCACATTGGGTGGCAACTGCGATTGCAGCCATCCCCCCCCCCCCAATTAGGGAGATGGTCATGATCATGCTGGGGGCGGGAGGGGGGAGATGGCTGAGATCGCGATGCCCGTCTTTTCTGAACCAGCGCACCCCTGATAGTGCCTGTCTTTCCTGCAGGAGCACAACCGCAATCGCTCCCGTCTCTCCCCCCCACCCCCAGCGTGCCGGGATGAGGGGTGTGATCATGGCCATGCTGTGGGGGGGGGGATATGTCCATGCTTGTGCTTGGGGGTGGTGGGGGGGAGATGACTGCGATCTTTGTTGTTCTTTGTCACTTGCTTTACATTTTTCTGATATTAAATAGTTACAGAATGGATTGACCTTATTTACATTGAATCTTATGGGGAAATTTAACTTGGCTCATGACCAGTTTGGGTCACGACTAGAGTTCTGGAATGGATTAAGTTCATGAGCCAAGGTGCCACTGTAGTTTGGTTCCAATCAGTGATAGCTACTAATCTGCCAAGTGACTCCACTGGTGACTGCTAGAGGGAAACTCTGATCCTGAGTATTCCTATCCCTTCTGTCTCCATGTTTTGGTCACTGATGGTTTAGGTATCACTGGCCACAACTACATCTAAATTACTTAAAATATTCTGGCTAGTGGTCCTTTTCTAAAATTCCCCCAGAAACTCTTTTAGAAATGATTCAGTGCCAAATATGAAGCCATTCACTGGCTGTATTATTGGAAACCCCTGATTTAAAAGCAGCCACACTCCCTGTGGAAAAATTGCTAGGACAGATACAAATGATTATAACCTCTTTCACAGTCTTATCCCTTTCTTTCATGTTGACACAGTACTCATTATGGTTAGAACATATATGCAGAGAGGATTACAATTTCATGTGAAATGCTTAGCATGATACCTCTTTTTAGGGAGCAAAGCACATATAAGAACTACATGATCTGACATCCTAATGGTTGTGATATGGGGCAGAGCAATCCCACATTACATCATGGCAAGCAATAGGGGAGAGTGCTGGGGTAGCAACCAACACATGCTTGTCTCTTCTGTTTCTCTCAGAACAAGCTGGAAGAAGGAAACGGCTTTCCTTTTCCCTTCCCGGTTTGTCATATCTAGTGTTAGTTTTACTTAGATTTGGGCTCATTGAAATGAATGAGATGTGAGTTAGTTTAACACTAGATGCAACACCACGTTCACTGCAGTGGGAGTGACTGACAATTCACATCAGATCCTGAGGCATGAAAAGGTGTAGGAGCTGGTGACTCAACCTCCCCCCCCCACCCCCCGCTGCTGGATTAGTGACACCATTGGAGCTTTCAGTGAGTGGTTTGGGATATATCCTGCCATGCAAAAATTATCCTGCCACTGTGTCTCTATCTTTGCTGGTGCAGCAACACTCGCCTTGCCTCCTGAGGCCCTTCAGCCAGGTTAGTTATGAGGATGGAATTGCTTCCTTATTCACAGGTCCATAAAGATTTCACAGAAAGTCTAAGCTAAGAATTTGTGTCAGTTGTGTCATCTCAATGCTTTTGTTTGTCTGAACCATGTTCTTAGGGAATTAGAAAGATGAATTGTTGCACTCATTACAGGTGCTGCAGTGTGTAACTTGATTTTCTTCTCTTTTCCCATAGTTTGTTGCTCATCCAAACTGTCAGCAACAGCTTCTGACTATCTGGTATGAAAACCTCCTAGGATTAAGAGAACAGGCAATAGCTATCAAGTGTCTGGTTGTGCTGGTGGTTGCGCTGGGCCTTCCCTTTCTTGCTGTTGGGTACTGGATTGCACCATGTAGCAGGGTACATGATTTTTTGTGCATTTCTTTTCTTTGCATTAATTTAGTTTCAGAAAGCCTTATGTTGGTCTGGTTACCGCTCTTAAAGGAGAGATGCCATAATGCTGCTGTCATTTTCCACTGATGCCTAGCTCAAGACATATTATTAGTCTGATTAGCTTTTGTAAACCGCAGGCAACTCAGGAAGAGGACAACAGCTTGATAAAACTCAGTTTTTGGTAACTGCCTGGGATTACAATGGGGGATGGTGATCATTGTTATGCACCCAGTAATACAGGGCTGATTGGCTGTTTTTTGCTTAGCAGATCACAAGCTGTAGTTTGCCAGGTGGACTTGCAGCAAGAGGCAACTAGGCATCTGTGGGTGCCCGTAGCAATGAGTAGCAGGCTGCAAAATAAGCTCCAAGAGCTGCATGCAGCTCATGAGCCTCAGTTTGGCCAACCCTGATATATATTAGGTGTTTGGAGTAGCACTGGAGTTGCATGGTTACTACCAACTCCAGCTTGATTGTCTCATGTTGAGTAGAAATCCTGAAGGGATTTTTTTTTCATGAATTGAGCGTTTTCTCCAGTAACTTACTGGATTTCTGTGCAGGGTGTGGAGGAGAGGGCTTCCTTGTGGAAGCCTGCTTAGTTTCTGAGCTGGTAAAAATTAAATGTTGAGGAGGGTTAAAAGCTCTTTTACCCCTTGCTCTGCTGGAAACTACCCTGAAAGGAACCAAGGAAGCAAAACTAACATGCTGAGTACTATGCCTCTGAAACTTGGTTAGCTGGCCTCTAGCCTCAGTTGGAAAAAATAAAGAATGTTATTGTGCCCAGTGGTCCAGTATGCCTTATTTTTCTGTTTACCAGTTTTCAGACTAGAAAAACATGGCCATCAACAGTCCCACAGGATGTATTTTTTGGTAATATTTGTATGAAATAAAATACAATAAAATTGAACAAATAGAGTAAAGATTAACAAATTTAAAATTATTTTTAATATTTATGTATATTTTTGTTGGTTGGGCTGGAAAGTAAAATGAGAATGAACTGAGGACAGTTTTCAGAGCTGTACACCAGCTTAACTGTACATGAAGGGTAATATTTTCTGAAGTGGGGGACCCCAAAATTCATTCATTTGATTTACTTGAATTATTTAAACATTTTGGTACCAGTCGTCATTAAAATATAGTCCCAAAGTGCTTTCCAAAACAACACACACATACACAACAATAATCTAAAGGGATGACTCTAAAATACAGCTGTTGCTTGATAAGGAAAAGTATTCATCAGCTGAAATACAGCATTAGTTACAGGCGTATTCTACCACTGGATTATGTGGTAAAAGTGAAAGCACACACAGCTTAAACAAACCAGACAAAAACATATATTATGCTTGCTTTCTCAGCTTGGAAAAGTTCTCCGAAGTCCATTTATGAAGTTTGTGGCACATGCAGCATCCTTCATTATTTTCTTGGGTCTACTGGTATTCAACGCTTCAGACAGATTTGAAGGCATTTCAGTATTACCAAATGTGACTGTTATTGATTACCCTAAACAGATCTTTAGGGTTAAGACTACTCGGTTCACATGGACAGAGATGCTGATCATGGTATGGGTGCTTGGTATGTATTTCATTTTATCTTCATTTGGTTATTACCTGATTTGTTTCTATAGAACCTATAGATAAAACTGTTTTTTACCACAGGTTTTATGCTGCTGTAGCAGTAGATGCTAGGCAGACACTTGTACTATCAGACATGTACAAGTATTAATACACAGTGCCATAGTTCAGTGTACAGATTGTAGAACAGGAAATCTGTAGATGTTTTGGACACTAAACAAGGAGAAAAGGGTATTTGTTTTTGTTTCAATATACTCACCAGAGCTTTTGTTTCAGTTTAATCACCAGATCTACTCCCACATGCCTTGGTTGTTCAAAACAAATTAAAATAGTTAATGCATGTGGATAGAAATATTTCTTGCCTTAAAAGAAATCTTTTTTCAAGAAGCAAGGGAAATGGATAGGGAAAGAGATTAGCTTGCTGAATCTGTAATAGCCCTTATTTCTCAATTGAATTAAGAATGTCTGGGAAGTTCTGGGAATAACACAATTTATTTTCTCCAAAATTTGGGGTAGTCCCAAAGTTTGTTTCCTGACTCTAGAGCCTTTAAAATCTAGTTGGAAAATTTACATTACTCACCAGGGGAGGCTGGTGACTCCTTATCCATTGCAACTTTTAAAAAAGATTTAAGGGAGCTCCATATATTTATTGGGAACCTATTTTGAGGATGAATTCAGTACGGAAGAATAAAAGTATGAAAGAATAAAAAGGTCTTGACTTGGTACAGAAAAGCGTATAACCGGTGCCAGGCAGACCTTTCTGGGGAGCGCATTCCATAGCCAGGGCGCCACAGCAGAGAAGGCCCTCCTTCAAGTATGTTCTCTCCTAACCTCCTTCAAGGAGGGCTCCCAGAGCAGGGTCTCTGCTGCAGATCTTAAGGGGTGGGTGGACATGTAGGGAAAAGATGTTCCTTTTGGTATCCTGGTCCCAAGCCGTTTAGGGCTTTGTAGGTTGATACCAGCACCTTAAATTGGGCCCTGGCTTCAATTGGAAGCCAGTGAAGCTGATGGAGGACTGGTGTTATATGAGAATAACAACTGGCCCCCCACAGCAATCTGGTGCCTCTGTTTAAACTGTTAGTTCCTGCTTGAGATGAACTGCACTTTCAGCTCTTCTTCAAAAGAGCAATGAGATCAGGAAGGGACCTTGGGATTGGGTACTTCTCTTTCCTTCCATCCCATAATGGATTTAGAAAGTAATACATGCAGTGGGAGATCTTGTGTTTCACTGAACATGATCTTTCCCTTACTTTCTGATTTAGAATTGCTTTGCAGCTCATCCCCACATATTTAACATTATGCTTTTATATACATGATTCCAGGGAGATTTATTTAGAACATTCTATTTATATCTCTCCCATCATAAAAACCTGGGATTGGTAATAATAGTCTTAATACAACTATGCACTAAATAAATAAATAGTAAAACCAAGAAAACAAACTGTAGGCCAGTTAATTGCGATCTAAACGTAGCACTCATAAAGCACTCATAAATAACCCACTGCTAACTGTCAACAAACATGGGGCAGGTATATATCTTTGGAGAAGGCATGCTAAACTTTAGGTGGCACTATGGATAAGACCCTATCACTTATCACAGCCCAATTTATTTGCCTTTATTAAGAAGTCCAGCATTTTCCTCATCCACCACCTTCATAAAGGATCCATTACTATTGCATTTCAGGAATGGTTATAGTAGTTTCATGTCTGTGGTTCTGATCCACAGAGCTCCAGTGATGTAAGAATGTTAAAACAGCATGAGTAAGGGTATCAAATGTGGAAAATGCCAGTTTGCCACCTTCCCTTGGTCAAACTTCTGATATTGCTATGATTCTTTTTACATGATCCTGTCTGGACAAAATTAGTATGGTGCACCCAGTGGAAATTAGTAGCGGCTTTCTGCCACATGCTCATATAGCAATATAAAAATATGCATGCCCTTCCTATGTGACAAATGTTAAATGAGATTTACATGTTTCCTTCTATGTTTTACATTGTGGGAAGGAAGTATTGCAGAGATCTAAATAATTCTCATGTGTGTGTCATTTTTGTTAGCAGACTGACAATGCAATCCTATGCATGTCTACTTGGAAGTCAGTCTCACTGTGTTAGTGGAGTTACTTCCCATGTAAATATGTACTGCACTGTGGCCTAATAAAATTTCTACTGTGTTTCATTACATTTCTTCTTTTAGGTATGATGTGGTCTGAATGCAAGGAGCTCTGGCTAGAAGGACCCAGGGAATATATTTTGCAACTGTGGAATGTTCTGGATTTTGGGATGTTATCTATTTTTATTGCTGCCTTTACAGCCAGACTGTTAGCATTTCTGCAAGCTACAAAAGCACAGCATTACGTGGACAATTACATTCAAGAGCCAGACCTCGCTGTGGCCACACTTCCACCAGATATAGAATATTTTACTTATGGTAAGTTCAAAGATGATGCCATCTTTTCATACATAAAATCTGTCAGTATCCTTTTAAATAAATAATTTTATGACTGCTGTTCTTTAACAATCTTGTTTTAATCCTAAGTATAAGATCTCATGTGGAACATAGTGCATTGCGGTCCTTCATAATAGCATTGGAATTTAAAGAGGGATGCATGAAATTAAAATCTATCTGGAAAATTTATTAAAATAGGTGTAATTAATATTTAAATAGTTTTATAAGGAGAATAGAGCTGAAGTCTAAAGGAGATGGCTTATGAATTGTTATTTGACTGGCACATGGAAAACTTTGCTGAGAATATAAGTAAATGCTAATTACTAAAAAAACTTATACGTTCCATATCCATTTATCTTTATAAAGATATACAGACAGAACTGCCTGATATTTAGTTGTTTGAAAACATAATGAAAAATGGATAAAATAACCCTGTTTCTCATTTATGGCATTTCTTTCAGCTCGAGACAAATGGCTGCCATCTGATCCTCAAATCATATCCGAAGGTCTTTATGCAATAGCTGTTGTGCTTAGTTTCTCACGGATAGCTTATATTCTACCAGCAAATGAGAGTTTTGGCCCACTGCAGATTTCACTTGGAAGGACTGTAAAGGACATTTTCAAGTTTATGGTCTTGTTTATTATGGTATTCCTTGCATTTATGATTGGGATGTTCATATTGTACTCCTACTATCTTGGAGCCAAAGTAAATGCAGCCTTCACTACGTAAGTAATGAGTTGTGTTTATACAAAAAGAATAGAATTATTTTTGTTCCCTGTTTCTGACGCAGTCAGCTGACCATTTGCATTATACAGCCACCTACCTCATAGTGATTCTTCACTTCCTTGGGAGAGATTCAGATCATAGTGTCTTATATAATTACACAGGCAAAAATAGACAAGTTATTGCCTCAAGATGATGATATATCTAAAAAGACAATGATGAAAAGCAACAAAGGCAAGGTGTGGGGCAAGGGTAAGGTGGGCTAAATGTAGGAAAATACGGTTGCGTGTAGTTAAGTCTTGGTTACAGCTGGAAACAAGAAATAAGAAACTGACCAGAAACCATACAATGGTCACATCAGAGATAAGGTATGGCACATGTATATATGCAAATGAAGGCATTGTATCTTGACTAGTTATATTCTGCATGTTGGAGTCATTGACTTGATCAGAAGCTGCAAATGTCTTCTCAAATAAAATAAATTGAATTTTTTTAAACGTCTTCGATGAACTCCTGGTTATCTGTGAGTCTCAGTGAAAACTATGAACCATTGAAAAGTCTTACAGTTTAGGTGAAGGAAAGTGAAATGAAGGCTCAGGTTCTAGTTTTTCCTTTGTATTGGCTGTTTTACATTGTATGAATTGTTTTATGTATTTAGTAACGATTCAGTTGATGCTGTAGGCACTAAGCAATGGATGTATGTTGTTCGCCCTTATTCAGGCATTGCTACCTAACCAACAACTTTCTGCTTGCAGGGAGTTTTATGCCACCTCTGAATCACAGGTTGATTTAGAGTTTTGTTGGATCACATTTGTGGTCTCTGTTTGTTCCATTCCTCCTGCATAAAAATGTATATTGTGCCTACACAATACTGGATTATGGTAGACACTAAGGTGTGATGTTCATATAGTTGGGTTTCCAGCATTTTCTTAGGTCCTACCACCTTTAATCCTTCCACAATTTGTTTTCTATACTCTTTCTTTATTTGAGGTAGTTATAGGTTGGATTTGGGGGAAATGTCTTCACAAGTTTGATATAACTAGCTATAAAATCAGCATTACAAACAATATCAATCTTTCATATCTAGCCGTCTATGTTTCTAATGGACACTAACAGTATTTGTTCAGTAACTTTGTGTAATTCTGCAACTGCACAAAGCAGTCAGCATTTAAAAACGTTAAAAAAATAACCACGGGCTTTAAGTATTTTACACACTGATTATAGTCCAAGAATAAAGAATACTTAATTCCATTAAACTTAATGGGCTTCAGAGCTCATGACACTCTGAATTGGACTCAGGATCTGCCTTACATGGATGTACTCCTTCCCTGTACTAGCAAGAACTTGTGTGGGGTTAAGTTCCCCACCACCACCCAAACCAAGACAGGGAACATGTGTCTAGTTTTAGTCTAGTGCCTCCATTGGCTCCTCCTTCTTCCAGCTTGCTCCATGCCTCCTGAGCAGGTTTTTGCTTAGGGGAGTGCCCCCACTGGTGAAAAGAGATGCTGAATTCACGTCTCTGTGTTGGTTATTTCATTGTGGATGTATAAAGAGAATCACTACTGTATACTGTTTAAGCAAGCGGTTGGTAGAAAGAATAAACCCTTTTATTATTTAAGCCCTTGCTATTGTTTTTGAGAACTGTAATTTTTCTCTATTAAGGATAACATCCTACTATAGAAAGAAAAGAGGCAACATACGACTTTTCCATGTCAAACTTAATTCTGTTAATGTAGCTCACCAGTCTCAGACATAATTGGCAATGTGCAAAAAATGCACAGGGGAAATAGTTCACATTGTATTCATCTTGTTTGCATTAAATCTTCACTCTGGGATTTTGAATCATCTATGATCTTTCAAAAAACTAATTACTACATGGAAGTATTTATATTAGAATACATTAGTGTTTTGTTCTTCCATGCAGAGTTGAAGAGAGCTTTAAGACATTATTTTGGTCAATATTTGGTTTATCAGAAGTGACATCAGTTGTCCTCAAATATGATCATAAATTCATTGAGAATATTGGCTATGTACTATATGGAATATACAACGTAACAATGGTTGTGGTTTTACTCAACATGTTGATTGCTATGATCAACAGTTCATACCAAGAAATTGAGGTAAGTTTCAATACTTTTTTATTTTAGTGAAAAAAACTATATTTTTAATTGTTGTACACCTTTACATAAAAATAGCAGTCTAGATCCTAAAGTTTTTAACCACAATTTTATACATGTCTGTTCAGAAGTAAGTTCCATTGAGTTTAATGGTGCTTACTCTCGGGTTAATGTACAGAGGATTGTAGCCTTAAGGAAGCCCACAGATGGAAAACTTCCTGTCCTCTTGTCTCCACTGCAGTTCCTGCAGGGTTGGTGGGCCTATCTTGACAATGTGGAAAGGGGCACAGGAGATTTGGGGGAATGGGAGAATCATCCAAAATTCAGAGACCTCTTAGTTTGTTGTGCGTATCTCCCTTCTTTCAGGCAGGTGAAGGGGATCTATAAACATAAGGGAGCAAATGAACAGCTAGGAAGCTTATACTTTGCATCTATCTGAATGTGACACAGAAGTATCACAAACTGTGGTCCCCTTCATATTTTGAACTTGAAATACATGTAGCATTGTTTGTTTTCTTTTATTCTGTTTTGAAAACAGGGATAAGACCAAACAATAAGATGAGATACTTGCAACAGTTTTTGTAGCATGGTAGCTACAAACATATTAGAAAGTTCCACAAATATTAATCAAAGTGTTCCATCTTAAATTTAACTGAAAAAATATTGTAACTGTTTGTTTTACCTTAAACATCTCTGAAACATTTCAGTCATATGCCAACATGTTTACGGTTCCTCCATAAACCCTTACCCCAAATAACTTGTTCTGATGTTAATCAGTTTTTGCTAGAATGTTTATACATTTAAAAAATGAATGCACATGCAGTGAAATAAATTATTATGAAATAATGAGGCTTAGATACTAACAGATTAGTTAAGTTCATAGAAGAAAGGTTGTTCAATTCCCATCAAATACATGTAGTGTAGAGAGAAATCCCTGCACAGAAACCCAACTATTTGCTGCTGTAGATTATGGATTGTGTGCTGTACTCTCAGTGGTAGCTAGAAGTGTGTAACTGTGTGTTGTAAATTGTCAGTTGTGGTATAATGTCACTTATATATACAGATTGCTTAGTTGCACAGTAGTATTCAGAAAATAAGACTGGTGCAAAGACTGGTTCAACGTTCAGGTTCATAGCAGCATGGAACTTATGTGCTTTTTTCCTATTTTTAATACAATGAAAATGACTGTAGCTCAATTTTTCTTACTTTTAAATTAAAAATGGTGAAGGCTATGCACAATCTACATTGGCCTTTATTCTCTAAACACTTACTTAGATTAATATCTGGTATGAGTGGAAAGTGCAAGAATGTTGTGATGACTAAACTATTACTATAAGATTCATTGTTCAGCATGTTTTTGCTTACCACATTTGAGTCTAATCTTAGATGCATATTAGAAACTCATTGATGTTTATCCTAAAACATCCAAGGATGGAATTAAATCTGTAGAGTGATGGATATGGGTAGGGCTTTAACTTAAATTGACACAAGTCCTTGTGCTAATGGCAGCTATATTTCATCTCCTAGAAAGTTTTTTTATTTTGAATTCAGCAGGATGGCACCACACAGCATTTAGACATTTAATCTGAATGTTTTCTAAACAAGGTGCAGTAATATAAGGATAGCAACAGGGATAAAAATAATGTGGATAAGGATAAGAACATGGATAATAACATGCAAAGAAGATGTGCGGAGGTTTGGCAAAAATGTTTGAACTTTAAAAAGTAACTCTTTACAATCTATTATGATTATTCTTAATAAATGAAAATGTTATACATGTGCTAGAATATTCTAAGAAGCTCAGTGCTGCTTTAAGAGTGATTATCAGTGCAGTCCTATATGTGCCTAACCCAGAAATAAATCTGAGTGAGTTCAGTGTGACTTAATCTCAGAAAAGTGGGTGTAAGAGCACAGTTCAAAGAGCAGAATCCTATGCATGCTTAGCCAAAAAGTCCTAAAACTCAAAGCATTTCTCCAATAAACAACACTAGCTGAGGAATGCCTGGCATTATGGGATTGTACTTTAAGTGTGTGTCATATTTATTAGATTTTTATCTTACCATGGCTCTTAGGAGATCAGTGCACAAACTGTCAGAAGCAGGTCACCCCCTTCCCTTTTCTTTCTCCTTCCAAGAAGAACAAGACAAGAGGCTAACTACAGTATTATATTAAAGCAGGCTAGCCAAACTGGCTTTGGGATACAGAAAGGAGTATTGCAGAAGTTATTCCTGAAGTTAGGAAGCCAGCTGCTTGAGGAGATCTCTGCTCATGCTAAGAAGCTGATTCCAAACTGAATCCCCTTCTCATTTCCCAAACAAATGGAGCAGTTACATGCTCAGGGAGATTCCTGGTACTTGTCAGCCAGATGAGGGGAAGTCAAGATTCTACTCATTTGGTCTTCTCTCTTGACCTGACATCAGACAATGAGACTGATCATGTTACATCCCTCCCCATCTGGCCCTACATGTTCAACAGCATTTCTTTCAGAACCAGAAGTGACCAGCCACTTAACTTGGGGCTTGTTGGCCTTCACATTTCAGCTAAGAATGCTGACTCTGCCTCATCTTCCAGTTCATATTCAGACTCTGAGGTAACCACCATGGAATGCTGCATTATGGAAGAAGGGGATCCAGTCCGTACACATACATGGTTCTTTCCTCTCCTCCATTTGCGATAGATTAGGCTGAGACAGAGTGATTTGCCTGTGGTCATCCAGTGAGCAGAGCTTCATGGCTGAGTGAGGATTCAACACTCAGAGACTTCCGAGTGTTACTGTTGTACTACACAGTCTTTTCATAGGTTGCAAACAATGAAATTTTCTAGTTCTGAACTTGATAATACCTTCAGCTCAGCTTCCTCTGTCTTTTATGAAAGTTGTGGCATGTCCAAGCAGCCCCCTTCCATATTCAATTAAAATGTACATTATTTGAATTTATAACTCACTGTATTCTACTGTCCAGCTTTCGATAACAATCTAGGTTTCTGTTCTCAGTAGTCCAGTTTTTAGACTGAGAGAATCCTCAAGGCTTGTGTTACAGGGATGGAAGACAGTTGTTCAAGAGAAATAAAGCAACAAACCCACAGGCTGTGGCTAAGCTTGTTTAAGTGCCTAAACATTCTTTGGATCCCAGACATAATCTGCTTTCTCCCAGATAAAAACAAACAAAGGAAGTTTTGAAAGACTTATCCAGGAGCTTAATTGATGTGTGATGTAGGGGTGGAAGAACAAGTCCTGCTGTATTCAGTGCATGTGGATTAAGATGTTTCTGACTTGTGCTGACAGAATTGTGAAATAAGTGTCAGAAAGCAAATATTTACTGCCAACAATATGTCAGTTGTTTTGATAGCAAGAAGCAAAGCAGTACATAAATAGAATATTTGCACAAAAATAGGCATTTTCTCTGTTTCTGACAGGATGACAGTGATGTGGAATGGAAATTTGCACGCTCTAAGCTCTGGTTATCATACTTTGATGATGGAAAAACTCTGCCACCTCCATTCAGTCTTGTACCAAGTCCCAAGTCTTTTATTTATTTCTTCATGAGGATCATTTCATTATTCAAGTGCAGGAGAAAAAGGCTTCAGAAGGATATGGAAATGGGAATTGGCAACTCAAAATCCAGGGTATGTACAAACCAAGACTCACTGTGTTTTATGAATATTATTCTTTACTAATCATTTGTTGTTTCTTAAACCCTGGATCATTTGGACTTATAAGATATATGTTGTTTATCAAGTTTTGTGGACTGTGCAGTACTAGACCACAAAGATAACAAAATATGTTTAATCATCCTGGATCACTTGGCTGCATAAATGTCTTATGTAGAGGATGGCTGGTGAGAATGGAAATGTAAACTGAAACATGGAAAATAGAATATAACCTCCCTTCCTATACACACACACACATTCTTAAGGAATTAGATCCAGGATATGCCTTCTGTTGATGGAAGGGTTCCACCCTAGGAAGGTGTCTTTGCCTGAGTTTGATAGTGCCTCCTCATCCCACTGTGTAGCATTTTCAGAGAGCTGGGAAGTCTACTTCTGCCAGCCCAGTTGTAGGTGACCTGATCTTGATCCAGCCTTGACTATATATGGGGCTATGCTTAAAATAAATCAGTTTGTTTCACTTTTCAGCTCTAAAGCCCCAACATCATGAATCAGAGTGAAGACTCTGCCCACAAACTGGAGGGTGACTAGCTGCAAGGGGAGCCAGACTTGTAACTCGGGAGTAGAACATGGGTCCTGTTACAGACAGTTGCCACCCAACTTGTGAAAGCAATGAGGACAGTGGCAGAGAGACACAAAGTTAGTGTGCCCATGGCCAATCTTCCTTGTACAGTTCTACTCATATGAAAGAGATTAATGCTTGAATACAGCTCTAGTCAAGCAGTGACAGAATTGTATGAAGTAAGATGACCAAGCCTTGTTGCTGCAAAAGTAGTGCAATGAAGATAAAGCTATATATAGGGTGCCATAATATGACTTCAGCTGATTTTTTTTTAAAGAAGGCAGATAAAACAGTGTTAGAGCAGTGAGCCTGATTTGGAAACATCCAACTCATTCAGGTCAAATATACCTTTCTTTACATGCCTAAGATCTAGCAAAACTGGTTTTCTAATCTCTGGAGCTGTTTTCCACTTTTTTAAAAAATTGCATCTTTAAAAATAGAAATCAAAGAATGAATAGTTGTAGATGTGGTATGTTAAAAGAATAAGCAGGTAGTTCATGTGATACAGATTCAACAGTGAGTTTGCCATAAATCTATAACCTTGCATCTATTCACATTTATGCTTGGCCCTTTTTCTTTGTCATTTCCTTCTATAACTTAATGCATGGAAAAGTGAGTGGATTACACCCACTGATATTTGTGTGTTCAACTGAATGCATGCAGAGGCCCTTTTCACAAGTTCAGTTAAATGGTTGAAGGTTGGGAGGAGTGATATAGTCCCACACACCCCTCCATGCATTCAGGTGGGTGGAATAACCAAATAGTTAAATTGCAAAAGCTGGGACTAACTGGGTTTCTGCAGTGACGAGAATTTAAAAAAAAAATGTTAAGAAGTAAGATCACAAAAAGAAAGCAACTGTGTTGATTGGTTCTTACTCTCAACTCCCTCTCCGTGTGTGTGTGTGTGTGTGTGTGTGTGAGAGAGAGAGAGAGAGAGAGAGAGGGGGGGGGGATTTTTTCCTCTATTTATTGCAATTTTATTTTAATATTAAAATTTTGTTTACTTCTGACTGTTTAGTATGGCCATAACCTATGTACATGGGAGCTGTTAGCCAGTTCAAACCAGGCTAAAATTGGTAGAATGCAAAATTGTTTTCCAGGAATATTATTCTGTATGATTCTGATTCATTTACTCCCAAGATCCCTCGAGTTGTAAGTAAATAGTCACATAAATAATTGATAAAATCAAAGTTCACCTTATTTCTGCTAAAAGTCTATGCTTACATTTCTGTAATCCAGTGTGGTAATCCATAACAAAGTGATGTCAAATTATAGTTGCAAATCCCATGAATAATATTCTAATTTAGATTTATTCTTTCCCAGCTAAACCTCTTTTCTCAATCCAACTCAAGAGTTTTTGAATCTCACAGCTTTAATAGCATTCTCAATCAGCCAACACGCTATCAGGTATGTAGATACTTGGACAACTCATGTAGTAGCAATTATGTGAATAAACAACAAGTTTCCATGTTGCTGCTTTGCTAGGTATGAAAAGAGAAGATGATGTGGTATATCTTTTAATTGCTTAGCATAAAGATTGCAGAAATGAACACGTATGCTTGTATCACGCCCCCACCCCCTTTTCCTATTCACAGGTCTTGTGCCAATCCCTCCTCACCTATACTTTTTAAACATGGAGGAGTCTGTAGGTTCTGTAGCAGAAACTGCCAGGAGGAAAATGCTGAAGACCACATCAGCAAGTACATACGTAGTTCTGAAACACAGGACCAAGTGCACTTGTTCATGAATATTCAATCCATTAATTAAAGTGATTTAATTTAATTCATTAGTAAGTTTAATTAGGATGAGTTGTACATCTGTATTATACAATCTTTTGAACCATTGAAATATTGAATGATGGCATGAATTGAGTTGTAATGGCTGTGATTCGGCTGATTAAAAATTGACACACAGGGCTGAAAATGTCCAATAAAGTGTGCTTTTAATCTTGTATGGCTTCAAAAAAATAATAGGTTTTAGCACTGTGAGAACATAGACAGACAGATGGTAGCATCACTTGCTTTAAAAGCTTAACTAGAGAATGCCAAACTAAAGAAACATATTTTATAAAAAGCTCAGAATAATGTTGGATATCTTTAAAAAATGAGTGAGAAAGAAGTTAACATATGAATTTAAATGCAAATCTGCATAAATGGACACATGCATATTATTCAGATACAGTGATATGAAAGATTTACCCAAGCCCAAGATTTACCTCTTTCCCTCTCCTCTCTCTCTGTTCTACTGTTAATGTAAATTTCACCTTGAGCCATGTGTAATGTATGAGCTTTTTATTTCCTGAATTCCAAATACAGACTAGCTCTTTGATGGCTGCTATAACAGAAGGCAAGAGAGGATTTTCAGTTCTGATTCAGCTTGACAATTCTGACAGTAGTCCTTGAAAACATATACTTTTCCCCCACAAAATGTCATAGGATATATGCACCCCATTTTTTGTCCAGAGAACAGAAGGATCACAAACTGGCATAATCAACAACATCATGAGGTTCACTGTGTTGATCCAATGGCAGTTCATCCTGTCTGTAAATTGATGCAGTCATGTCTTACTATTTGTACTCCTGAACATTTTTATGGGTATACTTTCCTACATAGTTAACAGAAAGAGAAAGTCTGTGGTTGGGGATCAAGAGTGCACCATGTGGTCCCTAGCTCTGTATTCCTTTGTGGCTGCTCAGCTTGGTTGCCATCTGGGAATGATATTGTCAAAAATAGACAAAGAAGCTAAAGTAGGAGGGAACCTTGGCATGGGGCAGGCAGTGGGCGGAGGTAATGATAAAACTTATGAGGTCAGCTCTGCCTAAATAAAGGAGAGGAATCGTGGAAAAAGAAAAAGGAGAAAGGGTCAGTGAAACAGACTGGTACCAGATTTAGCCATTCCTTCAATGGGAATTAGCCCTGGTGACTCTGGAGAGATGCCATCAGAAAGGGTTCTGATATCGAGGGTTCAGACTGGAAAGAGTGCTTAAGTGGGTCGAGAAAAACACTGAGGAGAGTGGAGAAAAAGTGAGGCCTTTCTTTGGTGGTCTGTGAACTTTCAAATAAAGATCTCTACCTACCTATTGTGCATACTTACCCTTGAATTTTTATTGTAACACTGTGGCTTCTGTAGGCCAGATAATCTCCAACACTTGCCTCTATTATACACATTTGTGAGAGCTTCCATAATGTTGCCTCTGTCAGAGTCTTGGCTGGTGGCCTCTTTGCTCTGTATTGTTATAACAAAAAGTGTACTATATCCTCACCACAAACCAGGAGTATTCCTCTTTAGAGTTCTAACTAGCTTGGGTTTCTTTCAGGATACTGTAAACTGCAAAGGGCTCAAGTAGGGATGTGTGAGAAAACTGTTTGTTTATACATACATACATACATGTAATTATAAGCTGCCTATAACTGCCAATGCCTTCCTAGGCTGCTAAGGGTAGGAATGCATTGGATTCCCTGGGCTCAGTTCCCTGGACTCAAATCCAGTGCACCCACCAGCAAGTGCACCCACCATTCATGAGGCACTTACCAGGAACTGACCCCCTCTTCTGCACCTGTTGTTACCCAGAACATTGGTTGGCGGGAGTGGCACATGGTGCAGCCACTTGCAACACCCCTCTTCTGCTTCCTGAACCTGCCCTTATAGGAAAGGTTATTGGTTGTACAACTGGGGGTCCATTAGCATTTGCAGATTTCCTCTCAGCTTGGCTTGATTTTTAGGAATGGGCTGAGCATAGGAGCAAGTCTGTGGATGCTTAGAGGGACCGATTTCAAAAGAGTTTATCCTGACCCTATGCTGCAGCAAACCGTTCTACTCTTCCCTCACTTTCGTCTTTCTTTTCTAGCTGACAGTCAATGGTTGCATTCATACATAATGTTAAACTATGCTGTGTGGTTACCAAGTAATAGGGTTGCAGACCAGGTTGTTAGGTTTAGACAATCACATTGTTTCCATGCTTGTATGGTTTCCACTCTAAATCTTTCCTTCTAATGGTGGCAGGTACCCCATCAGTGTCTGCAGCTGAAATTCGATTGCAGGATATACTTCCTACCTTTCCCTTATTGGTTCATGCACTCCATTGGGCAAGTCCTCATGCAGCTGTGTCTGGTCTACCCACCCTGCTCAGCTGAGGCAGCTGCTTTCTCATTGGAATAGCACTGTTGCTCTAGAGGAGCACTCCCTTGTGCTTTCTTGCTGTGTGCCAACATGTAAGGAGACCTTCCCCAGTTGCTGCAGATGGGTCCATGCTCCTTTGTATGCAGGACTCTCATACGCTGGAAAGGGCTGTCTCCCTGCTGCAGTCAGGCTCATGGAAGGCATTAGCATAGTCAGGCTGTGCCCTCCCTCATCCCCTTCTGCAGCACAGCCGTAGCCAGCCTTGTCTAGTGCCCCACATCCCCACTGTCAGAAGTCTCTCCCTCACCCACAGTGCCATTCACATAGGCAGCTCACCCTGGCACTCTCTCCTCCAGGCAGGGCACACTGAGCAGCCTCGTCTGGCACTGTCCCGTACCCCTACCACTGTTGCAAAGCACATCTTTTTTCTGCAGCATCACGGGGACTTGAGTGCAGGGCAAGGGTGACTCTTGTCAGATAGAAAAAGGTGCCAGGTATCAATCAGTTTAATGGTCCCCTCTGCTGGTGTGAGAGTTCTGCTGCTCTGCAGTTGTCCCTACTTTCCCCTACCCCAACTAGCCTGCATGCAGCCACTAATGCAGGTGTCCTATTTCCACTGTTCACTAGACCTGCCACTGCCTACTTCCTAACTGCATAGATACATGCCCACACATCTGTGTGCATAGTTAGTTTGCAGCAATGCACTAGAGCAGTGGTGGCGAACCTATGCCATGCACACTACAGTGGGCATGCAGAGCCCTCTCGGTCGGCACATGAGCCAAGTCGCCCCAGCAGCCAAGCAATGGGATAACAGAGCACATAGAAGCCATGCGCATCCTTGGAAAGGAGCAGTGGTGCCAGGCGATGACATCACAAGGCACAACACATTAGCCACGACTCGTCCAAACTTTCGGTCAGTGTGCTGCCAAGTTGGACTGGCTGTTTTCAGGTTTTATTGCAGTGTTGGCACTTTGCAATAAATAAGTGGGTTCTGGGTTGCAGTTTGGGCACTCGGTCTCTAAAAGGTTCGCCATCACTGCACTAGGGGCTTTGAGAGCCACTTGAGAGCATACAGGGTGCGAAGCATCTGTGCCATGGCTTCAACTATCACTTTCACATCTCGCTGAAAGGCTGGTAGGAAGTCCAGGGGGCACTTGAAGGTGATTACTCATGTGAAATAGGCTGGCATTCAGGCAAAGATGGAGGCTCTGCTCCTGGAACTGCAGATAGTTCTTTCAGATCCACTGGGAAATTGCAGTGCAGATTTCTCATGCCTCACACCTGACAGCAGGGGATGTTGGTAGGTTCAGAAAGTGCAGGGAAAGTGATAGTGGAACTTGTTGGCAGTTTCAACGAATGTCAGGGACAAGAGAGGGGCCAGAGTAGGGAATATGGGCTTCTTGGGATGCTTGCCCTGTCGGTGATGCCCTCCCCTGTGTGCTCCCCTTGTGGAGGAGCAACTTTGCAAAAAAATGCAGAAAAGCAGCTCACAAGTGGTGTTTGTGTGGACTGCCACAATAGGATCACCAAACATGACTGTCTGCAAGGTTGCTGGAGATTAGAGAGTTAGAATGTACTGACAGCCTCTGAAACAGAGGAGAGGAGAGTTATAAAATTCGTGGCAAGAAGCGCTTGGCATGTTCTTGGCATGGGGAGAGAAATTAATACGTCACTTCTCCAGGTAACTTGGGAGGCCCATGGAGCATCCCTTGGACTATCTGGGGAACCAACACCACCACAATTAAGGGGAATGTAAGCTTTTATTTATTTTTTATACCACCTATTAAGAGAGGTTCTGTTTTGTTTGCTTATATTCTGTATCCAGATTTCACCATTGTATTCAAGAACTGTGACATCCTTGACACAAGTGGTTTTGTTTCAGACTTAAGTATCTTCAAATCTGTCATGAGGTACTCTGGTTACACCAGGCTTCTAGGATTAGTACACCAGCCTCCAAGGCCTCAGTTCTCATGAGTAGCAACATTAGATAAAAAGCAAAAGCCTTTGCTGACACCTTGTGGTAAAAGGACCTGCAGCAGCGATGTGTTCAAGTGCTAGTCTCAAGAGCCAACTTTAACTGAAAAAAGGGAGGTGGTAGTGGGGTGTTTGTGGGCGGGGGGGGGGGGGGGGAGTTGTAAACCTGCTGATGCTCCCATCTGCACTTCTCTCAGTGATGCATTGAAGTCCTTTACTTCATGATTTATTTAAACAAAACTGTGCCTGATAAATGAACTCAAATGCAGGTTTTCCGTCCTAGCTCAGGTTCTTCTTTCCATCATGTCTTTTAGCAGAAAAGAAAACACTATCTGAATTGCGCAGATGTTGAAAGCAACAAACTCTGGGTGGTTGAAGGTGATACAATGGCTTAGCAGGGTATACAGTACACCCCCACTTTTGGAGGCAGCCCACTACCACCAGCTATTTATTTAAGGTGGTTGTTTGTTCCTCCCAGGAAATGCACAGGAACAAAGCACAGGCAGCAGGCAGAAGTACTGTTGTGCTTCCTGCCGAGCAGAGCAAACTGCATCAAAAATTGCTGAAGCCTTCCCTTATATTGCAATCCCCCTGCCCCCTTGTCCCTCCTTCCCACTGCCTCTGTTGTGTTTGTGCCTATCTTCTAGCATGCTGCCCTCCTCTGAGGCTGCCCCAGGATATCCCTCCACACAGCAGATGTGGTCAGAAAGCCCTGGAGTGACTCAGTCATAAAAACAGTAGATATCTTGAGTCAAGTTGCTGCCATGACTTGAATCAGACCTGGGAGTGAGTTGCTTGATACCCCAACACTGGCTTGTAGCACTAAGAGAAAGCTAATCCTTTGCAAGGTTGTTGTTATAGTGTTTTCAGTGCCAAAGAAAGAAATGTATGATGGAACATAATCAGTACCCTGGTGGAGTAGAGCAAAGACCAGTGTAGTCCAATAGGTTGTTCCCACATTGGTCAACCAGATGCCCATGGGAAGCTCCTAAGCAGGAAATGAATGCAATAGTATCCTTCCTTGTGTGCTCCCCAGCATCCATCCATCCAATTTCTATACCGTCCAATAGCTGAATCTCTCTGGTTGGTTCACAAAGTTGATGATGATGATAAAAAATAATGTTAAGACATGTTAAAATCATTAAAAAGTTGACAGTGCAAATTTTAAATACCTACAGACCTGAGTAATACTTAGCAGGCCCCAGTAAGCTATTTGAATGCCCTGCTGTAGAGGACAGTCTTTACTGAGTGCCAGGCAGGCCTCTATTATTCAGAGAAATGCTTTTTCTGATAGCTAACATGACATCTTACGTTAACATTATCAATTTATAAATTATGCACATTTCATTATACAGTAATCCCAAAGTGGGGCATAAAACTACTAAAACACACTACATTTGTACAACATTGGCCAATGAAACAGAGGACGATAACACATAAATAGCATTCAGGAATAGTTGGCATTGATACCTTTATCTTTCATGAATTTGCCTAATCTCTGTTTAAAATTAACCTTCTTGGGTGCCATTACATTTTGTTGTAATAAATTCTGTAGTTCATTGTATGCCATGTGAAGTACTTCTTTTTATCTGCCTTGAATCAATCACAATCCATTTTCATTTAATGATCCTGAATTCATGCATGAGTGAGCTAGGAAACCTCCACTTTCTTCAGATCATGCATAATTTTGTACACTTCTTACATCACCTCCTTACACCCATTTTTCTAAGCTTTAAAAAAGCCAAGGGCAACCAATATTCAGCTTGCAAGCAGTCCCCTGACCTTTTTTCCTCCTTCCACTGACCACCAAGCTTACCTTCCTATGAAATAAAAACTTAGTAGCCAGGGTAAACTCACTATTTCTGTGATTTCTTAATGAAACCTGTAATTATAAGGTTTAAGTATACTGAAGGAGCTATAATACTGAAAGCATTATTTACTTGTTTGCTTTTATTTATATAAAAAATGTGTGAAACACTTTCTCAAAATATGATTTCTGAAAATTTGTTCTCAAAAAAGCCTAGGGTTCACTAATTGTCTTTTCATTGCACTAAAGAAAATGTGGAAATGAAGTACTGAAAATGAAGCATTACAAGAGATGGTTAGTTCCAAGGAATGTACTTTGGGGGATTACACTCTAATAATTTTTAGACAAAAGTAAATCTCACTGATTTTTATATAACTTATGTTCAGATACATATGCTTAAAACTGCAGTCATAGGTTGGCAATATAAGGACCTAATGAGCATTTTTTTTCTCCAACAGCAAATAATGAAGCGACTTATAAAACGTTATGTTCTGAAAGCACAAGTGGACAAGGAAAATGATGAAGTCAATGAGGGTAAAAGCTGCTGTATACTTATTAATCTACTTGTACAGTAGAAGGACTTAAATGCTGTACATAAAGTATAGTGACTGCATTAGCACACAGTATAGTAACTGGTATACTACACTATGCATTCTGAGCAAACTGTCTCAACAGTCTGGACAAACTGGAACAATTACAGTTTTCCTTTATTTTCCGTTTCTGGTGAACAAAGGATTAGCAACAGACCAGGCAGGGCTTAATGCCCCATATGTCATGTGGATACTTTGCAGTTAGGTGTTGATGTTTTGCAAGAGCATATTTATGTATGTGGTTTCCAGATATTTGGTCTTACAGTGCATCAGCTCAGTTCACACAAAGAGAAAGAACTAAAAAAAATGTATACTGCTTTATCATTGCTTTTCATCTTACCATAAATGCCCTGCCTCTCCATATGAAGTGGAAGGAATGCTATGGCAGAGTGTTAGGCTCAGTACTGTTTCTACAAATATATAAAATCCCCAAACCTTGAATGAAATATTAAATGGGGGCTAAGTGGTTGCTTAATGAATAAAGAGTTAACAGTCCTGCTTTATACTGTAGATTCTCTAATTCTCCAACATAGGGTTTCCCCTACAACATATAACCATAAATAGCATTCATATTCATTGGGGCTGTTCACATGACACGATGGTCCACTGGTGAGGCTGCAGCATGTGCAGGCCACATGCGCTGCCCCTGAATATTTCAAATTGCTTCTTGTCAATAAAATCTTTAGTTATGTAATTACACTGATTGATTAAAGCACTCACTGATAATGAACCACAGAAGTTTCAGAACTTCAAATTCTTGGTCTTTCTGTGAACGTCTGTAAGAAATACAATAGGTAGGTATTTCACATATATTTAAGCTTTGTCAACAACTTTCTCTTCATTACTTACATAGGTGAATTAAAGGAAATTAAACAAGATATTTCTAGTCTTCGCTATGAACTTCTGGAAGACAAGTCCCAAGCAACAGAGGAGCTGGCAATTCTCATACATAAACTCAGTGAGAAACTCAACCCAAATATATCAAGATGTGAATGACTGCAAATGACATATACTAATTAATCCCTGGAGTTTGACCACAGCACAAGTATCGGCAATAATATTTCTGAGTGATTTATACTTGAAAATTGTATTGTGGATTTTAGCACTAAATAACTTTATGTACAGCTTTGTTTGAAATACAGTCTTAGAAAATTTTATGAATTTACAAGCAGAAAGAAATCAGTTTAATGGGTATTAAAGTATGTTTTGCATTTATTTAATACAATACAGTTATATCTTACATTGCTCATAGTTTTCTCAATATAATGAATATTATTTGCACTGAACAAATAAAAACCAACACTGTAGACTAAGCCTGTAATCCTAAACATGCTTACTAAGAAGTAAACATATTTAGGAGTTTACTGTGTATCTGTCCTCCATCATGCTGGAGCTTCTGAGGAATATAGTAGCTAAAATGCAGCTAGCCTAGATTACTTGAAATGATCCAGGCAAATGTGAGACGTGTTTAAGTCTCACTGATTTCAGTAGCCATATTTTGCTTTTTCAAGTGAAATCAGTGGATTGGATCCAAGCATTATCATGCTTAGAGTAGACCCACTGAAATGAATTGGACAAATTAATCATGACCAACTTTATCCCATTGATTTCAGTGGACCTACTCTAACTATGCCTAGCTCTAGACCCAGTACAATGAATACACAGCCCGATCCTATCCATGCTTATTTGGAAATAGGTCCCTTAAGTTTAGTGAGACTTACTTCTTCATATAGGTGCATAGGACTGAGGCCTTCCAAGTGTTTAATTTTCCCTGGATTATATCCCTTTATCAGTTTTGCTAAAAAAGAAAAGGAACTGAACATTTAAGGGTGGAGATAAAATGTGACTATAACATTAATACTATTATATATAGTTTCCCTCTTGTTTGCTTTCAGCATAGGAACTATGGTTCTTTTAAACTTTTAACTAATGGGAGCTGTTAAAATATCCATTTTCATGTTGTGAAGATTTTTTTTACATTTAAGACTATGCAGGGCTGATATTTTGTTACATTGTTCTAAATAATTTAATGGATGCTTACTTGTAAAATAAAATATTCATACTTTATTGTCTCCTGTTTTTAATACTGTAACTGTATTTAGAATATATGAATAGGATACTTCTTAATTATCTAATCACTTGAAATGGATAAAGATGCAGTCAAGATAGATCTCTTCAAGCTGTGTTAAGAGCTAACGTGATCTTATGCATACTCTTTGTTGAATAATAAACTAGGGCAGATTCATAAAGATTTATCACACTTTAAAATGTTTTTAACCTCTTTTGCCCCTGTTGTCACAATGTATCATTTTACTACAAGTATGTTACACAAATTTGACACTCCCAATATGGGTGTCTAATTTCTACTATGTGTACAAAATAATTTTCTCACTACTACACATTACATACAGTAAATATAAATAAGTTGCTGCAAATGAGTTCCAAGAAACATAGTTTATCTTTCCAAAAATCAATCAGAAATTTATCATAAAGCCTAGTGATAGTACTAGAGTATCAATATTAATCTATTAGATTTAAGAGAGCAAGTGTGTGTGTCTTGAACATGTCTGGAAGATATTTTCAGAGAGTATTACAGTGTTAAGTTTGGGATAGGATTTCATTTCTAAAAAGAAGTCCTTGGTTCTGCATAAATGCTTTTTCATTTGCCCTGAAAGAGAGTGCTGATTCTTAATTATAAATGGAAAATTATAGGCTTTAGTTGCTCATGAGTAAAGGAAAGGAACACCTCATCATGCTCAGTATAACTATTCTATATTCCTCTGCATTTGCTTTTTTAAAAGCAGAACATTGCCAAGGATTGGGCATTATAGGAAGAAAAGGTGGAACTACACTACCCAAACCCAAAAGCATATTTTTAATTACATTGCTGCCTATGTAGTAAGGGATTTAGTAGTGGCGATAGATTTAATCATGGTGAGCTGTTTTAAAGCCAGAATGGTGAGCCAGGCAAAATAGTCTTAATTTATTTTTGCCTGAAATACTTAAAATGAGTCAATTGAATGGAGCAGGCAAAAGGATCTAAAGTGGTACAGACCTGGGAAAATAGCAAAAGAAAAGGGACCCAGCCAAGGATGTGAAATGGTGTACATAAGAAGGAGCAGCAAAGTTCCATTTGAGAAAACCCTAAGAAACAAAAACCAGACATGCTCTAGTTCCCATTAATTTTCCTCCTGATTGCTTTAACATACATAGTTTTATCCTAACAACCTTGCAAAACAGATAATACAAGGAACTAGCCCAAGATCAGTCAGACAATCTCTTGACAGATCTGATGGAATGATCCTGTTCTCTTCCTCTGCTGCAGCTTGGTAGAGTTGATGACTGGCTGCAATCCTAAAACCAGTCATCCGGAAATTAGCCCCACTGTACTACATTTTTGTTGGTAAAAAGGTAGGATTCAAATCAACAAAGCTCACTGATTACAGTAGCTGTAAGACTGCACTGTATGTACATTTTTACCAATTGCTACACTTGTAAATGGTTAACGTACCACTTTTGCATATATTTGAGCTGCACCTGAATCTAAGAGCTTTCTGTATTTTATTACAATTAAAGCTGTTAACAATTCTGTCCTATGTGGGTATTCACTTCCCAAGTGCCAATTACGAATAATACTTAATACATCTAATTAAGTAGGCACGCTGGTGCCATAACACGTGTTTATCCTTAAGGTGGTAGATGAGTTCTTGGCTAAATTTCTGGCAGAAGCAGTCTTCTCTGCGTACTCATCGCAGCTTCCCTTCTTTTGCTACATTTCAGCCTCTTAGGACACTTCCCAGGTTTCAGGCGTTCTTGGCTATGAACTCTCAGGCTGAGGAACGTTTTACTAGATTGGCAGCTATTTGTTCAATCAGAGAGCATATTCAAAGCGGGGACCGCCTCTCTAATTTGTAGCCAATTGAAGTCCAGAGATGGTGGAGGCTTGCGAAGTGCTGCCTCGTTGCCGTGGTAACGAGGGGCTGGCGGCCTTTTAGGCCTCGGTGGGTTGTTTGGGTCGAAGAACAACTTTGGGGGCGCTGGTGGCTCGGCGACGCTGAGAAGGGAACACGAATCAGGATTTCGGGATCTTAGAGCGCGGAAGGTTCGCCACCATGGACCTGAACTTGAACCGGGTGGATTATTTGCAGGTATTGTGAGTGGGTGGGATGCGTAAATCGGTTAACAGGTCCGTGTGCGTTGCTCCGCACAGTAGTCCTCTCTGTTGCTGTTTTCCTCAAACACAGCTGGTGGATTGGGATGGGCAACTTCCCCATACCGCGACAATGCTCCGCCTAGATCTTCAACTACTGCTTCACAGGCAGTAATTCGTAGTTTTATTAGTATTTTTCCCTCAAGAATAGGGCAAGCTTCATCTTTTGAATATTCGTATGACGTGTAATAAAAAAACAGAGGACCTCTGCCAGAAAGGAGAAGAGGAGGTGATGAGGGGTCAGTGCGCTTGCTGCCCGAGGTGGTTTGGCCTACAACTCATCATCCCTAACTATTGGCTATGCAGGCGAGCGCTGATTGTTGTAGGGGAAAACACCTGGAGGGCTATAAGTTGCCTGGTCAAAGAACATTCAAAGGAAAAAGGAGAATTTGAGAGTAAGGAATGTGAAGGGAAAGAGTGAGATTTCAGTCAGCAGTCGTTGGACATTGTTTTATTTACTAAGGAAATAAGTTACTGAACATCTTTAAACCAATATGCTTCTTGTACAAAGAGGTTTATTTTACTTAATGTTAACTCAGATTATAGGCTGTTTGAATACCAGTGTCTCATCCTCGGGACCACATCATCCAATGAAGGAGCCTTATAGCTTGGTATACAGTACTGAAGGAGAGGTTAATTAATAGGATTGGCCTTAATTTCTCCGTGGCAGCATTACATACTGAGATAAAGAGGGGAATATCAAGAGAGTTAAAGACACATCATATCCAAACAAAGAAATGAGAATACTTATGACACTTGTTCAAGTATTCATAAAATATGTCAGAAGCAGATAAATAGTTCTCTCTTGATTTTTCTTCATGTGACAGTTGATTGTACATGGCTGCTCTGATGGGAAAAGGGGCAATCCACTGATCCAGGAGCAGATGTATGATGGTGTCTTTGCTTACCTCCCTACTGTCCCATGATGTAATGGTTTGTGATGCAACCCGGTCCTTCTGTTTTTATGTGCTGGCATAGTGTTTTTTTGACTGAGTAGTAAAAATTCTTATTTTGTGCGGTTAGGCTTAACTTAAAGCCTGATCCTATTCAGGCATGTTGACTCTGAAGTTAAGTTCCACTAACATCAACAAGATTTACTTTAAAATTAGGTGTGCATGGAATGTTACTCTACCCCTACGAATATTTACACTTTCATTCTGATTTTTCTAGGTCATAAAATATGGAGATCACTTAAATGTTTACATTATTATGTTACATGATGAAGGCGAATTGCAGTAACATTCACTATAATGTATTGGTTTTATATGCTGTTGGCTTAATAATATATACTTAGTTCTTTGAAATTTTTAGCAAGACAGGTCTACCAACAATGCCAATCAGCTCAGGTTTAAATGTAAGCATCCTCTTACTGATATTGATACAAGCCCAGGTCTGTGAGCAGTTCCTAGTCTGATTTAAGTTCTTCTGTGGTGGAACTGTTTTCTCTTTCCCTGCTGTTTTGATATTTTCTGTCAAACTGATCTCTGTGCTTGGACACCTCCTTTCTCTTTTGTGTGTTCTGAAGTCACTTTGGTCTTCATCAATTTATTCACATCAATTTATTTCTGAGATGGGACAGAAACTAATTGATCTTCACTTTTGATGGTGCTTGTTCTTCTCCACTGGCCACTTGTTGAGACTGAATCACATCCACTTTAACTGCATTTAGTATTCACTGGATAGTACTGTAATACCTGCCATTGCCTCTTGTGTTTTATATATATATATGTATATATATATATATATATGGCCTCATTTTGTGAATAATATTTTCCTTTTCTCTGTCTTAAAGTAGAGGCAGGTTCACACACCATGCTAAGACACTCTGTGACTAGTGTTCTATGTTTGGCAGTTCATTGAATAACCCACAGTATACAACAGACAATTGGGCCTGCCATGGCTTGTTCTTTCCTTCATTCTTCTGCAGTCCTCTAGCTGGTTCTGACAGGTGTCCCAGGCATCATTGGGGCAAGACTTCATATGATCTTGGTGTCAGTATTTGGGCTGCTCTGGTGGTAAGAACTGGAACAACTACCACTGAATTCACAAGATCAGTCCCAATCATTCTACTGATGAGTGCCAGCTGAGAGTGTGCAGGAAAAGCTATATAAGAGCAAGCTGCTCCCTCCAGACTGACCTCAGCAACATAGGTTGTCTTGTAGCTGCAGTGCTTGCACCTTGCCTGATGTCCTGGTCCCTGCTTCTGCCATGCTATGTTGCCTCTGTATCACAGGGCCTCTTGGTTACTGCTGTGCCTGCATCATGTCTGAGCATTCCTATTTCAGATTTCTGTATCTTGCCATGTCTCCTGCATCTTGCTGTGTATCTTGCCTTGCCATGTTGCTTCAGCAACAACATTCATCTGTTTGCTGCTGTGCCTACCCCTGTTTGATATTTCCTGCTCCTGGACTGAAAATATTTTTTTAAAGTTGGAAAGATGTTTGGGGCACTTTCTTTGTGAGTACTTCATGCCTATGATGAAGTAGATTCTGGTTCATGAAAGCTTATGTCACTGTAAATTTACTAATCTTTGAAGTGCCATAAATCTGTTGGTTTGTATTAATTTGGTCTTCTGTACAACTCTTGTGGTACTAAATATGTTTCAGTAGCAATAGCTATTAGTCATGACATTTCCAGGCTCTCTCTGGACAAAGTGAGAAATAAATTGATGTTCATCTGCAGTGTGACTGATCTATTGTTGCCTCTTGTTATTCCTTGCCATCCCTTGTCATCATTTGCTTTGTATATTTACTACTTAGATAAAGGTTATTTAAGCTTTTACTTGGTGTTTATAATCAAAAGTATGCATATTTTAATTTGGTATTACTTTTCTTCCATATGTGCTGGGCAACATAGAGCTTGAAAGTCCCTTTAATAATGCTTTAGTTGACCCTGTGGCAAGTGTTGACAGATTCAATAAGGGATGGGTGCTTGGGATTTCGTATTGAATGGATAATGGTGACAGATTTCAATGGTATTACATTTTCCTATTTAAAATGGCTAGGCTTTGGAGACTTTCCCCATACTGAGTATGATAATGTTACAGTTTTGATTTGATCCTCTTTAGCAAGGAATTTTTCAAAGCTCTTCTGGCTTTAAGGGGAGATTGGTTGATAAGGAAATATTATGCATATATATATCTCTTTTTGCGAACTTGGCCTGATCTGACTTTACACATAAATCAAAAAGAGTTAAGTTTGTTATCTGCACTGAGTTACAAGAATAATTTAGTTACAGTAAATAATTATTCTTTTGCAACCAACTATTACCTTGTGTACCTTTGAGGTTTGCATAGAATAGTCCTAGTTGGTGTTTCTTGGTTTTCTTGTTCTCTTGATGTTACTGTTTCATTTTTTTCCTAACCCAGTATTTGTAGAAAGTGTATAAAACAATTGAAGATCACAGATCTGATAAAGTTGCCTCTGGTTCATGACAGCTTATCATGCTGCAATATCAACTTGGCATGCTTACTTTGAAGTAAGTTCTACTTTGATAATTGCAAGTCAGAGTGCAGTCCTGTTCACAGTTAAACAGAGCTTTGGCTATGGGGTTGTACAGAAATGAAAATAACAGCAATAATAATCATGCCCTACAACACAAAGCATACCCTAGCTGACATACCTCAAGATGGCTGACTGGAGCATACTGAGTGTTGTCGGACTTTTTTGTGTAAATATGCATAGGCTTGCATTATTAAGTAAAGCAATGAAACATCAATAATTTGAGGCTTTTTCCTTCAAATAGGTGGGAGTGACATCTCAGAAAACCATGAAATTGCTCCCTGCATCAGGACGCAAAGCAACGCAGAAGGTATAGCAGTGTAATAAATTAAAATATTTTAATCTGATGAATGTTACACAGACGAATTGTATTCTGAAGATAGATATATAAAATAGCAATGAAATTCCTTTAACAGGGTTCTTATCTAGTTTATATTTGGGATCTTCTGAATCATGGATGATGTTTTTATGTTTTTGTTTCAATGTTCATTTTTCAGTTCTTGCTACTGTTCACAAACTAGATAAGAATCTATTTCTCAAGCAATTTCTCTTAACATTAGACTGGAACATTTACATGGGAATCTTAGTTTTGAAAACAATGGGTTAACTTATTACTGTAATGCTTTTATTTTATGAGAAGTTCTAAACTTAGAATTAGGCCCAGTCCAAAGGCTCTTGTATATAGAAGGATATACCTCTGTACCTCACACCTAGGACATAGTTAGTGCTGTCACTTTTGAAACACATGAAGATTTAAGCAAAACATTTAACTAAATAAGCTTTGAAATTATCTCTGTTAATTCACTTGGGGTGTAATCATATGCATGTTTAGACAGAAAAAATACTTTCAGTTCCCAGCATTCTCCAGCCAGTATGGTTAGTTGTGGGGGTACAAGGACTTTATTCTGTCTAAACTTCCGTAGGATTGTGTTGTGCTCTTGATTGCTTGCAAATTATTCTGATTGACTGCATCCCGTTTAGGACTGAGACACCAATTAAATACAGCAATTTTTAAAAGATACATAATATGTATTAACATACATGGTAATATGCATAAAACACAAGGTTGCTATCCTGAGAAGCTTTTCTATCTCAATTCTGAGAGTGGGAAAGATGATATAGAGGAGAAAAAAGGTAGCAAAAGACAAATTTAAACAAAATATTTGTTTTAGTTTAGGTTGTGGACCAAGGGATTATACTAATAGTGGAACAGGTTTTGAGAATGGATCAGAAAGAACTTACATAGATATATGTTCTAGGAGTGAATTCTAGGAGAAGAATCATTTATGAGGTCAGGAGACTGCTAGAGAAGTAAAAGCAGGCAGGGACATAACTAGAATTAAGGGGAAAGAATAGGATCATAAGTCCACCAAGAGATTTAAAACCAAGTGCAAGTAATTAGAATGCAGGAATATGTAGGGATTTGAGGGTAGGCACTGCACAATATGAATGATACAAATGCATCATTTGGTAGCATGGTTTCTGGAAGGGTGAAAGCAAAGAATGCAGGGGTGGCTACGTGATTCAAGATAGGTCGCAATGAGAAAATGAACCAGTTTTAGCAGAGGAGATACAAGGAAAACAAAGGATGTTTGCAGTGTTGGGGCAACAGTGTGATTCAGTGACAATATGGGAAACAAAGTGTTGGCAGAATCCAAATGCAAATTCTAAGCAACGTGTCTTGTTAATAGGCAAAATGGTGGTACTGTTAATGGATATGAATTCATGGATTTAGGAGAGAAAGAAAAATGAGTTTGCATCCTAGACATATTGAGTTTGAGTTCAGATATCTAAACTCACATATCCTGAATTATGAAACTTGTTAGAAGGGAGAAAATGTAGAACAGAAAAATATAACTAGATGTCTTCCTTATTCAATAGACAGAAATTGCTTTCTTTTGAGCTCCTAAAGGAATGGTGTTGATATAGCTTTTTATTTATTTTACTTTTAAGGTTGTTATTGGAGATCATGATGGCGTTATTACCTGTTTTGGTATCAAAAAAGGTGAACCTGTGGTAAGTCACTTATCTAATAGTTTACATAGTCTCCTACATAGCTTTTCAGTGATTGCTCACAAAGTACTAATTTGGATTAGCATTCCAAAACATCAGCTTAAGACTGGTAATATACACAGAAAGCTTTCTACTTTAATAGAAATTAGGATATTTTTTCATATTTTTAATGGACTGAGGACCTCACAGGTATTGCTATGTTTGAGCATATACTTCATCACAGTCTGCGCAGCTTCGACATCTAGAATGTGTATAGTAACTTGTATGTGTAAATAATTTCATGTACATCGTGAGCTCAAATATTCATCTCTTCTCCTCCTGTTCTTAGTAAATACAAATGCTTCAAAAGTATGAGAATATGAACCATAACTCTATGTTCTTCCCTCTTCCTCTGCACTTTTTAGTCTCTTCTTTCCCCTTTTCTACTCACACTTTTTGTTACTTAATGCAGTTGATGAATAAAAACTATGTTATAGGCTAATTATGGTATATGCTGGCTTGGGGAAAGATTGAACAATTTTGAATCTCTGCGTGTTTATCCTTGAAGTTTTTATTATAAATAAATGATGCAGTATAATGGATTTCATGTAATATCCACATATCTGTTGTAGTTAATTAGGAGCTGTATCTATCTGTCCACCAGTGGAATAGTATTCACTAATGGAATGTACTCTTCCTCCTTTTAGAGCCTCTTGTTTGCTTTGGAGGGTTAGGGGATTCTTTAGAGCTGATTTTGGGAAGAGCTACAGTGGAGAGGAGTCCATTGTGTGGGAAGAAATCCACTTCATAATGTTGTTTAGATTGACTTGAAGTAGCTTATTACTACAGAACTGTCAAACATATTTTTATGCTTGGGAGAGTTTTAAAAGTAGTTTGGGAATTTGGCGGAAAGAAGAAAATCTTCAAGAACTTAAACAATGAGACATTGTTTCTATTTATTTTTGTTACATTGAGTTGGTCAACTTCTGGAAAACAAGGATCTTATCATAATCCATGGCTATGTGGGTTTTCTTTTGAAATTTGTTCAGAGGCATTTACTTGAGGCTGTTCCATATGTCATTATGAGAATGAGGAAGTATAAAGATCTTCAACTTGAACAACTGCAAACGTTGCATTCATTGTTCTGGAAGCTTAGCAAGTACTAGGATGTAAATCACAAGGGAGTCAGGGCAGGCTTTTTCTGCATATCGTTTGTGATGGGCCACTCAGCTATATGGCTATGAATTTGTTACCATTTGAAGAGAATTAGACTACTGAATTTCATTATAGCCCCCCCCCCCATAATGAAACCTGGTGCTGGAGTTCTACCAAGCTTTTTGAGTCATGACTTTCACACTATATATCAGGTGTGGCCAAGTGAAGGCTCGGGAGCTGCAGGCGGCTCTTTGAGGGTTTTTTTTGCAGCTCACTGCCCTGCCTGTCAGCACACACCTGCTTTGCCACACACCACTGCTGCCTGCTTTCTGCTTGCCACCTGTTGCTGCTGCCTGTGGACGCCTCTTTGCAGCTCTCAGACATCTGTCATTTTACTGTATGTGGCTTTTCTGTTGGGCAAATCTGGCTATCTCTGCTATATCTGTTTCTTTTTTCCCCATTAAGATCAGTCACAGAGGCCAGGCTCCAGGTCAGTTCTTAGAAAAAATATGTGAGAAGATAGAATAGCATGTAACCTTGGCATTGGAATACTTGATGAAATTCACTGTAGTCCATTCAGTAACATATGTATGGGCTTGGTATTTCATTAAACTTTTAGAGATGAGCTCTAGTTTGGATTACCGTTCAGTTGTATTGACTGATTTTCTATTAGCTGGGTTTTGGCATATTGGGTAATTGTGTGTGTTTGATTTTAAATATGTTATGATAAACAACTGATTTTAATAGTAAATTACTTTGAAGGATCAGATTTCTTAGATTCATAGTGAACTCGCTGAAACAAGACAAAAAGTAATATTGTGTCCAAAGTATGTTCAAGCTGGTTTTGTTATGACATTGAACATTAATTTTTCTTTTCTTTTTCTAGCCGGTATTTAAGACCTTGCCAGGAGAAAAGATTGCAAGGCTAGAACTAGGAGGTGCACTTAATACACTCCAGGAAAAAATTTTTGTAGCTGCTGGATCTGATGTTAGAGGTTTCACAAAGAAAGGGAAACAGTTCCTTTCCTTTAACACCAATCTCACTGAGAACATCAAAGCCATGTATGTATATTGAAAACTACATTAGTAGTACGAGGGGCGTTCAATGTATTCTCAGTATCAGCATGAAGAAAAAGGAATAATAAATTGAAATAATTTTTATTTTTCATTGTAATCCCCCATAACTTCAATACACATTATATCTATAAATTAACTTCTCAGTTCCCTGTAAAAAAAAACCCCTTTCTCCTTGTCTAAAAAATGTGCGTTAATTGCCACCTTGAGCTCTTCATCGTCGGAAAGTCGCTTTCCATGAAGATCTTTTTTTAAATTTGGGAATAGGTAGTAGTCACTGGGGGCCAGGTCCGGGCTATAGGGTGGGTAGTTTATTTCTTCGAAACCACAGTCTCGCATAGCAGCCTTCGAAACATGCGCTGTGTGAACGGGCGCGTTGTTGTGAAAAAGCAACCCATCTGCAGTCAGTTTCCCCCACCTTTTTTCTTTAATTGCTTCTCTTAAATTACGCAGAGTGGTTGCATAAGATGTTGCATTTATGGTTTCACCTTTTTTCATGTACTCGATCAATAAAATTCCCTTTGAGTCCCAAAACACTGTGGCCATGATTTTTACGGCCGATGGAGTAACTTTGAATTTTTTTGGAGGGTCAGCACCTTTTTTATGCCACTGCATGGACTCCTGCTTGCTTTCAGGGTCATAGTGATGAATCCAAGTTTCACCTCCAGTAACAATCCGGTCGAAAATACTCGATGGATCTTCACCACAGAGCTCTAAAAGCTCCCTACAGCACTCAACTCACACTTGCTTCTGAGGAGCCATGAGCATTCGTGGCACCCTTCTTGCACGGACCTTTGAAAGGTTAAGATGGTCATGAAAAATAGTAAATATGGTACCAATGGATAGGTTTGTCATCTCTGCTAACGTTTTGATTTTTATTCAGGCATCTTCCAATACAAGTTTCTCAATTTTTTTTCACATTTTCTTTCGTAGTGGCAGTAACCGGTCTGCCCGAGCGAGGGTTGTCTTCAGTGCTTTCTCTGCTCCTTTTAAATTCACTTGACCACTTTTGACCAGTAGATAATGAAGGTGCAGAGTCCTGGTAAATGGCCACCATCTCTTCATGAATGATTTTTTGACTTTTTCCTTGTTTTGTAAGGAACTTAATCACAGCGCGGTGCTCGATTTTCTTCAACATTGTTGCATCAGTCATCATGGTCGTCTTTCACTGTGGATTACTAGGGATCTAATGATCACACTTATTTTAAATTTTGCATGTATACCCTCAGTGTCATTAGCTAGTGAAATAATTAAATTACCCACATCAATAGCAGAACAACCCGATACCGAGAATACATTGAATGCCCCTCGTACTTAGCTATGTTACTGTCATTAGGGGGAAAATGTTATATTCTGGGGTGAATCAAACACTTATTTTTAATGTCCTTTTAAATAATAACTTCATATATTCTAATATGATCTCTTATCCTTTAATCTTAGCTTATTTTTGGTTGTTTCTTCTGCATAAATGCAACATTTATGCAACAGTATTTTTCCCTCAACAGTATATATACACACATACAAGGACTGACTTTAATGGAAATTTCTAAAATAAAAAATGTGGAAATTAGTTGAGTCATTTAAACCTGATGAGTTTAATTGAAAAATGAGTTTGAAACAATGTGGCACTTACAGTCTTCTGAGGTTTTCACAGTACTCTATGTGCCTTATGTATATACTTTAATCTGTTGTAATTGAGGTAGATACCCAATTAGTTTGATATAATGATGCTAATTTTATGAAATGTTGACATGTTCTGAAAATGCATTGGCTATATTTTCACCCAGAGATTGGTCCCTATACTTTTTTTTAAAGAGTAGTTAGTACACTGAGGCAGTGGTACTATGGCTCCTAAGCACCATGTGAAGGGACCATAGGATGGTTCAGATTCCCATTTCCAAGGCTGAAGGCAGCATTCTAACTTTAAAAGGGAGATCTTACCTGCATCACCTGCTCTTTTGCAACTGGCATGGAAAGAACCATGCTGACTGACCTCCAGAGTTGGCAGCTTGACCTCGGAGAGGGGAGAAGGGATCTTTTGATGGTCAGGGTGGAGATTGGAGAGACAGATTATGAAGTTGTGAGCATTTCCCAGCCTCCTTCCTTCTTTCTCTGAAAAGCCTTTCTTAGATCTGCAAAAGAACTTACCTAGCAAGAAATGCAGGGCAAGAGACAAAGATGACCCCTGCTGTTTCTCTTGCCCTCTGAATTTGGGGGTTTATGATCATTGAGGGCATATTGGAGCAACCCCCCCGCCCCAACCAAGTATCGGCTCATGGGATCTGAGCTATCAAGGACTGATCAAGAAAGGGATCTAGGGATGGTGGTAGACAACTAAATGAAAAATGTTGACCAAATGTGCGGCTGCTGTGAAAAAGGCACACTCCAAGTTGGGCATACTTAGGGAAAGAATTGAAAAATAAAACTGTCATGATCATACTCTGGTTATACAAATCTTTGATGTGATAGCACTTCAAATATTGTGTAGAGTTTTAGTCATCACAACTGAAAAGACATTGAGTTGGGAAAAGTTCAGGGAGAGGCAACTAAAATGATCAGGGAGCTGGAACAGTTCCTCTTTGAAGAACAGTTGCAACAACTAGAACTGTTTAGTTTAGAAAAAGGATGCATAAGAATAGGCGTGTTTAAAGTAGAGATGGATACATTTTTCCTCTCCTCCCATAATACTTGAACTCAGGGACATCCCATGAGCCTGACTGGTAGGTAGGTGGTTCAGTACATATAAAAGGAAGTCCCTTTACTTTACTATGAAATTTACTGTCACAGGATGGCTTTAAAAAAGAGATTGGACAAATTTAAGGAGGAGAAACTTATGTCCTACCGCTGTTGCTGAGGAACTTGGACAGGTGGGGTCTTGTAATGTACCCATTCTGTTTAAGGGATCCTGTGGGCTGCTGGTTTGCCACCATGTGGATGGAGTGCTGGGTTTGATGAACCATTTATCTTTTCCAGCATGGCTTTTTATGTCCTTAAGAGGGCACAAAAAGGGTTATTCCATGAGCCTTACCAAATGTAAGTAAAATTAATCTTATAGGTAGCATATGCTCAGCATTTTAGATATACATTTTTCCTGTATACAAATAGTACAGGATTGCTGCAAATCTATTTACTAGCAAAAAGAGTGGAATTTGTATACACAGCATTGGCAATGATGCATCTTTCGTGACCCAGAGTAAAGCATGCCCCATAGTAAAGCAAAAACCAATCAGATTATCTAATTTGTGCTACATTGTTCCAAGCTAAATTAGAAATACTCTTTTGCTGATTATTACATTTGAATCTTTTTCTTTTACTGGAAACCTAAAAACAACCCTTTGACCCCAGAGTGATCATGGGAATTGGTTGGGAGAAAGTGATATGGTTTGCACAATAAACAACTCACCATGGTTTAAATGCCACAGCTTTATGGTTGTTTCTGCCTCAGAAAGAACACCTGCGGCCATATTTGCCCTCCCGCCCCTTGAGATCGGCAGTAGAGGCTCTCCTCCGGGAGCCTTCTGTGAGAGAGATAAGGAAGCAAAGCACCCGGAGGAGGGCTTTCTCTGTGGTGGTGCCCCATCTGTGGAATGCACTCCCCAGAGAGGTCCGCCTGGCGCCATCGTTATTTGTTTGTTTGGCACCAGGCCAAGACCTTTTTATTCAAACAGTATTTTAATAATGTTTAATATTTTTATATATTAATTGTGCAGCGAGTGTGTTTCCAGGTCTTAATTGTAATTGTTTTGTTTACTTTTGTGAGCCGTCCCGAGGCTATGTAGCAAGGGGACAGCATATAAAAACTTTAAATAAATAAAAAGCTAAGTTGCCCTGGTTTGGACAACATGACAAGCCATGGCTGGTGGCTAATTAGGGAAATGACAACTAGCACCACAGGGAATTAAAAGAAACCACCATGGTTTGTTTAATCATATAAACTGGTCCAGTGATTTGCTCATGGAAACACAGTGAGCAATGTGAGTAGACTTGACTCTGAGTTACCCACATCCAAATCCAATATTCTTGAAACTGCTCTGCATTAGTACAATGGAAAGCATGGTGTGATTAGATTTTCTTTGTGACTGAAGCCCTTCTCTCTGGTCCTGAGTGTGCTTGCCCCGATTCTGATTACCTATTTCCATATAAATTTTACTTTTTATGTTCTTAATCCAATATTTGTACTCCTATCTGAATAACAGCAACTTATCAAACTCTTTAGAATAGAAAGAATTACAATGCAATAAAATCACTAAAAATGTACAATTTTTGTCTGTCTTCTGTAGCTTGGCTTCTAAAGCAATAATAAACAGCTCAAAGGCTTGCCATTTTAATTACTATCAAATAGTTATTTGTATCAGCAGTATAGAGGTGCTAATAAGAATTTACAGAATGTCTGGAGAATAATTATTTTGAATGTTTAGCTTGAAGCTCAGATGAAAACCATACTGTACAAATGAATAAGGAAATAATAATGTTTCTCCAATAGTTACCTTATATTGCACAGAAGGGTGCATAAAACTGGACTCTGATGACATCAAGCATTTAACACCTATTTAATTCTTACAGTTTCCTTTTAAATAGCAGGGAAATATTATCTTCCAAATTAGTTGCTTAGGAGACCCCAACTGTGTGTTATATTGAAATGTGTATAATAGTATTCCAATGACCATTTTAAAACAGGAGGCAAAAAGGGAGAGAAACTGAGAGGCAGATTTCTTGCAAAGGCATTGAGAAAGGAAAGTTGGGGGAAAAGTACTTAATCTTTCCCTAATCATTTCCTTAGCACCACATAGTAGCTCTTTCCTCATCCTGAGCACACATTTGAAACCCTATGTGTGTTTGTGTGAAGGAGTTCTACTTAGCTGAGAATTTAGAGTTGAAGGAATTGTATGATTCTTCTCCATTGCTCTTGTGGTTTTGATCACCTCCACTGGATTTGTGTATGTTTGGCTGAGACAAGACAGAATTTGTAGGTACTTTTCTGCCTAAATGTACCCAGGATTGCACTGTTGCTGTTGTAATGCAGAAACAGCTTACATGTTGGCATTTAAAAGACATTAAATTTTAGTTCAATTATGTTGAGATAATAATTATAATTATTATCATTTTAGGCATATATCTGGATCAGATCTCTTTCTTGGTGCAAGCTATATCTATAACCATTATTGTGACTGCAAGGACCAGCATTATTATCTATCAGGAGATAAAATCAATGATGTTCTCTGTCTTCCAGTAGAGAAACTGTCTTGCATTATACCCATACTGGCATGTCAAGATCGAGTTCTTAGAGTTTTGCAGGTAAACTTTATTTGTCACCATTATCACATGTTGAAAGTGATTCGGAAAAACATCCAGTAATACATTCATTTTGGATCTTGGATCTGTCCTCCATTAATGAAAAGGCTTGGTTCACAGAAGGTGTTCCTGCTCAGCATTTAGAAATCCTACCTCCCTACACCCAAAACTCACCAAGTAAACAGGATTCCTCAGTCCTCTTTGTAGCGTTTTTAGGGGACTAGAACAGCTGTCATAGGGTGGTGGTGGTAGAAAATCTGTTTATGCCAACGTAGCTCCACGAACCTAAATCTGGATCCAGTCTATTGTCAATTCGGCTTTTATGAAAACAAGAATTTGTTCTTTTGCTTTGAGGTGTTTATGCAACCACACAGCTACACAGGACCCTCAGGGTGGCTACAGAGGTCATATCTTATACAACAGTAAACACACTTTTGTAGCCTATCTTTGCTTCTTGACAGGTCTGGCTGTAAATCTATTTAACGTGCAAGTATAACACATTGATAAACGAATTTATTTCCTTGTACCTATAATAATATGATAAGTGAATCTAAAATAGTCTAGTATTTTCTGTTTGTACTTCACTTTGATACCAGTTGCTTTTTTCCTGTTTTTCTGTCCTTAGATTTCCTGGGTCCTTATTATCTTTTGTTCCCAATAGTATAACTGGGCCTGGATTTGTAGTTATAAGATCATGATCCTTGGTTGCACTGGAGGGATTAGGCCCTAAATTTCATCCAGCCATAAAGACAGGACTATAACACCACATTCTAGAAAGCTTTGCTTTTTGCACATCTTTCCTTTTAAATTAAAATGAAAGAAAGAAAATATAAAAGTAGTTGCACTTCTGTTTTCCTGAGGGTTCGGATTTGCTGTATGAAATGGAAGTCCCTGGTCCACCTGCGGTTCTGGCTCTGAACAATGGAAATGGTGGTAAGGAGAATCTACAAGTACACTTTTACTGAATGTCATTAAAATGTACAATGTGGATTGTATCGAGAAAGCATCTTTGTTTTAGTGAAGAATATTAATAGTGCTATAAATGTATTCCTGTTAGTAGAAGAACACTTCTTAACTAACTCCCTTTCTTGGACCAGTGGCAATAAGACAAACAAGCTGTTTCTGTTACTATATTTTTGAGACTTTTCCACAATTAGCATTAAAGAATATATCTCAGAGTTCTGAATTACAGAATAGTTTGTAGACACTGACTAACTGTTGCAACCATAATTTTAATTTCTGTCCTTAGGTGACTCAGGTGAAGAAGTTCTGTTTGGGACTTCTGATGGCAAAATTGGTCTTGTACAGATCACTGGTGTTTCTCCAGTAGAAAAGTGGAAAATTGGAAATGAGAAAAAAAGAGGTGGTAGGTTGTCTTAGTATTAACCCTATATTATATGCTGTGACAGTTGGATTATATGAAAGAGGTTTACAACTCTGTGGTTACAGATTATGGCACTTAAGATATAACACATAAGAAGGAAGAGATCCTACAGACTTTCAAAAACAATTGAATGTACTGTCCCTTCAAGCATGCTGCTTGCTTATGAGACTTAACACTTACCTCATTGACTTGGAATGCTTTCCATAATTGTACTTCCTAAATTGGGGAAGCTCTAGATGGGACAAAGACAATTGTCCCATCTTCCTTTACAGATAAAATTTTGATGAACTTATTATTGAGTGGTCACTGTGTCAGGCATAGTCTCTGCTGAGAGAATGTTATGCCTTTCTGAGTAGGGAAAACTATGTAATTTTCTAGACCTTGTGTGTGGATGTGTATGCATCTTCAAAATATGTATGTGACTTTAGGTTGGATGTGGCTGAGATAATACACCATTTATGCTTTATAATGTGACAGTGAGGTTTAATAGGTTAAAGTCTTAGTCAGTTTGATGCAGATGAATTTTTCATGTTCTGTTTTGCAGGCATCTTATGTATGGATACATTTGATATTTTGGGAGATGGGGTTAAAGAACTGCTCATTGGTCGAGATGATGGAATGCTAGAAATCTATAACTTTGAAAATGCAAAAAGCCCTGTTCTCAGATATGAATATGTGAGTTTATATATAAAACCATTCTTCCATTCCAGAAGAACTGATCTTAATATTACTTCTTTTAAATAAACACCTAGATCGTATATATTTCACATACTTACTCAGGCTTAAGCGTTACTAGCAAGCCTTGTCAGCAGTCTATAGGTGTTACATTAGAGGCTGAAGTGTAGCTATGCACGCATGCTTCCTGGTCTGTAAGGTTGTTGTATGTTAATTTTCTGAGGCTAAAAAAACATTTCATTTAAATATCAGAGAATCATGCTGTGATCCACTAACAGTGAAACTTGCATACCTGGAGGCTTAAACCCTCTCATACCTACCTTGCACACCTGGAGTCTCCTGATTCAGATGACATGACAACCCTTTATGGGTTAATGAACCATTGGGGCCCTGCTGTACATTTTGTTGACCATAAGGAATTATGCAAGCCTAGCATGGCAGGTTGCCATGACTTGCCATGTCATCCAAATTCAGGAGGTAGGGGTTATTTCTCAGTTAAACAACCATTACTCAACTCCACACCATTTTAGGGTTATACAAGGCTTGCTTAACTCTCAGAAAGACCCAATGCCTTACTCCAAGTGATACCACAACCCATGGCAACCCAACTTGGGGTTGCTGCAGCACATGGAACATGGACACTGTTCCTTAAAGGTAAGTTAACCTACAGTGAGGGTAATGTGGCATGCACACTAGCCTGATACGGTAAGGGATGTTCTGCAACAAATGATAGAGGGCCTACTAGACTAAGTAGGGGATTTATGTTGTGTTGCAGTTCATGTAAACTGCCATTGTAATGTTTCCTAATATTGTTAACTAAGAACAACTCAGTTCCTTACTACATTCACATTTTGCGTTTCTATCATCAAATTTAACATGGCATACACGTGGTTCGCAGGCAGGCCCTTATCCATGTACTGAGCAGACCTCCTAAGCTTTAATAATTTGGCTGTGTCATGTGACCTCAGATAACCACATGCTGGGACAGTTAAAGTAGTATATTTCTGAAGAGTAATTGGAAAAAGTATGAACTTTTGTATTTCACAGAAATATAATCAGAAAGAAATAATGCCTGTCCCAGTGTGTACTGTTTAGATCCTTTAGCCTGTTTATAGTTAGTGGTATAAAAGTAATAGAAATGAATAAAATTAACATGTAACAATCTCTTTAGGCTTTTAAGGAATGCACTCATTGAACAGCAGTTTTCTTTAAGATTTGTCTTTTTCTTCCCTTATCTTTTATAATTTGGATGCATTATTAAGAATTGAACTGCTTGTTTGTTACTTGTATATGCAAAAGCACAGCAGTTTTTTAAAACTTACCTAAAATTGCTAAGCTTTTTTCTCCTTCTAAATAGAACTCAGGGAAATAAATACATGCCTCAAGGTATTTTGTGTCTTATTTTTAGGCCTTGTCAGAAAGTGTCACATCTGTCCAGGGTGGATGTGTTGGTAGAGAGGGCTATGATGAGATCATAACATCAACATATTCAGGTAATTTCTGAATGTTTCAGAACTTATGGATTTATCATACACACTTAAGTGGAATGAAAATAATTACAGTATTCAAAAATGGGTTAATGGAGTGAAATATGTATTCGATTAAAAGAGACTGTAAATCCTTAGTTATTTCTTCTTACATCTCCAAAATTAGGTTATGTTAAGAGATAGGATGCTGAAGGCCATCCTGTGAAGGAGGATTTGAATGTGCTTTACTTATTATGCACTTCTCACCTTAAGTACCTACATAAAAGTATTCATAAAGTCTTCCATCCCACGAAGATTTTTACAGTTCTCTTATTAAAGAAAGTATTATTTTAGGTTTGTCATGTCTTAAGCAATGCTATAGATGGTGAAGCCTGTGGCTGTAATCCAATACATGTATACTTAAGTCATATTGAACCCATATATAATTAATGGAAGGAGTGTACTCTAAATATTTCAGTACTAGTTTATTTTTAGAAAATATTTTTACTGGCTAAGAGTCCTAGATTTCATATGTTTTTCTTCTTCCTGCCTAGAACTCATTGGAATCAGTTGTGTTGATTGGCTGTGTAATGCACTGGAGAACTAGTGTGCCATCATGCTTGTTCCACTTCATATTGCCATAGGATACAGCAAAACAGCCTCTCTGTCTCCTATATTCAGTGCCAGCACAAATTTAAAAGCAAGCCTGTGTGACTGCTCACACTTTGCTATAGTATGAATTAATCTTGATGCACTGGAAGCAGTATCCAAAGAAAGCTAGACACCTATAGTTGCCAAAGGTTTCCCACATTTGTAGAACAGGTTATCAGGAGATTAAGGAAAGTTAAACATAGCACATATCACATGGTTTTCAAAAATACATGTTGAATAAATGCATCTAATCCCCAACATACCTTTATGTAAATGCATATTTGGCCTTTTAATGTTAGCAAGACTTATTTATTTATTTAGTCAACTTCTATGCTGCCCCATTTGCCAAAGCCTCAGGGCGGCTTACAACAATAAATACATATAATCATATAAAAACAATATAATTGGAAACGCCCTGCCCAAGGATATAAAATCAATAAATAAGCTAACAATTAAAATGCCGTTTAAATAAAAAAAGTCTTGGCCTGGCACCAAAAAACATAATGACGGTGCCAGGCGGACCTCTCTGGGGAGCATTCCATAGAACTTTACATACAATTAGATAAGAAGCTTATGTTCTGTAGCTTTGGATTCTTAGAACTAGGGAAGCTGGACTCTGAAATGCAGTTGGGAGAAGTTGCTCCACTCTGTTGACTAGGCCAGTCCAAGGACCTTGTAAGACTGCTGGTTGAAGAGGTGATGTTGCACATCCTTTTCTTTTGCACCAGCAGAAGGCTTTGGATGCTATACATAAACCATCCAGGGTAATTTAGTGTTCTAGGTCCCAGTCTTAGTCTTAAAATTCCTAGTTAGGGCCCTTAATGATATTACCTTTTTAAGAATAGTCTATCTGGAATATTTTACAGTTTTCCATATGTACCTTTTAGGATGGGTATCAGGTCTAACTACGGAGCCTATCCATAGAGAATGTGGATCAGGGGATGGAATAAAGATGACCTATGAAATGCAGAACAAGGTTTTATCTTTAAGGTAATGTAATTGTCTTGTTAAGGTTCAAAAAAGGACAATAATAATAATAATTTTGCTTTATCTTGGCATACTTCTCAAGCACTTATCTAAACTGACCAGCTTGTCAATTAATTGACTTGAGATTATCAAGTACTTGTGATAATCTTTGTGGCAATATAGTAATTAAGTGTTGCTTCCAAATTTTAATCATGCATCTTGTTGTATTTTGTTTTCCTAGAATGTTTACCTTTCTAAACATATTAAAGTTTGCCTAGAAAGTTTACCTTTCTAGTGTGAAATTGCAGCAGTACCAATGAAATGCAAATCTTCCTGTTTCTTAGACACTTGAAATAGCTCTAAGAAATTACCATGCCTTTTTGATGGCGCTACTTAGAAGCTTCATAAACCTTGGAATGAATATTGGGGCTAAGCACACCTCCCATCACCACTCGTCTTCTCCAGCCACATGTTGGTTTGGCACAAGATTTTGGATTATATAAAACAGGGGTCTCAAACTCGCTACCCGCAGGCCAATTGCGGCCCGTGGGACGATATTTTGTGGCCCCCACTTGATATCAAAGTTTAGTGATAGTGCGGCCCGCTCATTTTTCTCACACGCACCTGCGTGAGTCGTTACCCTGAGCGCAGTGTTCCCTCTAAGCTGCGCGCCGGGATGGGTGGGGCACGGGGGAGGGCCCTGCGGCCTTCAAAGCGCCGGCGGCGCCCGGGCCGGCCTCCGGGAGCCATGCGGGATGAGCGGCCCACCCCCACCACGGTGGTGGAATACTTGATGTGGCCCAGCCTCACCCGGACTCTACTTCCAGCAGCCCCCAGCTAAGTTGAGTTTGAGACCCCTGATATAAAGCAAGAGTTCCTGTTGTATCCAAAGTGGGCAACTGTGGCTTAACAGTAACAAACCAGGATGTGACAACTAAACTTTGTTTTTGTCCATTGATTTGAGTGTTTTTAAGACAAAGTACACATTATAAACATAAATAAAGTCTAACATAGGATTAGGAAAATACTATTTTATTGTTTTAACCTATTACACACTCTTCAACTTTTTGTTCCTAAAATTCTGCATTTTAGGAACATAATTTTTCTAATTAGAATTTAATATACACATCATTTCTGATCTTTATTTTACTTCTTGGAGAATAAAAGTAGAAATGATAAAGATCTAAAATATTTTTCTGACACAAATCTTTTATCAAGAGCAACTTTAGGTTTGCTGTCTGTTCTGTTGTATACCATAGGAATGAATTGGAACAATTACAGATCAAGGTACTTCAAGAGCGTGAAAAATACCAGCAGTCTTCTCAGTCTAGCACTGCTGTTTCTGCAGTCCCAACATTCAGTATAAATGATAAGTTTACATTAAACAGAGATGATGCCAGTTACAGCCTTGTCCTAGAGGTCCAGGCAGCAATTGATACTGTTTTGCTACAGGTAAGAGAACATTTACGTATTTTTGTAAACCAAGGCACTTCTAATTTTATTTTGGATGCTTTGAAATGGAAAACTCCTTGCATGAATAATGGAAAGGTTTTGTACAGCAATTCCAACTTTTTCCTTAATGTATTTTTTCTGGCAAGAAAAGAGATGGAAACAGCAGCAAGGAAACACAGGCAAGTTACAAGCCCCCTCTACTCTACCCCTCTACTCTACTCTTAAATAGATTTTATTAATGGGTCAGTGCAACTGAAATAAAAGCCTAATCTGGAAGCACTTCGTTTGTTTTGTTTACATTTTTTCTTAAAATTTACAAAATAGAAAAGGATTTTGTGATGTGTGCTGACTTACTTTACTAAAGTTGGTAAGATTTAAGGACAGAGTAAAGTGCTTGGAATGTATTTTCGTACAAGACATAGATGTGTCTAACTTTTTTTGGGTGCCTTTTTGGTACAATCTAACACCACTAAAACACGCCTGTGTCCCATTTCTTTTGAGGGAACTTAACTTCAAACTGTGTTTGTATTAAGGATTTATAAATAATGTTTGTGATTTAGGCTTCCTTTTGTTACAGCAGGGATGAGAAACTTGTGGATGTTCAGACATTTTGGCCTACAACTCCCATGATTCATTAGCATTGGTAATGTCTTCTGTGGTTGATGGAAATTGTCACTCTCCAGATGTTTTAGTCTACAAGGTGCCCACCTCTGAGTTACAGTCTATTCCCCCTTTCACATCTCCTTTTGTCACACTCTTACATCATAAACACCTTTTCCTTTATCACTGTATGCCTCAGTGTTGGGTTTTGTAGAATAACTGAATACTTTGATGGGAGAAGGAAGAGAAAATGAACTTCTAAAGCAGCCAGAATTGTCTTACATGCAATGCAGATATTGAAAACACAATGTACTAAACTACTCAGATATTTTATTTTATTAAATAGCATAGGGGTATTAAATGATAAATAAAAATAATTGACATGATATAAAAAGAAAACAATGTGGATGGGAGAGCAAAAGGAAGCAGTAGAGCAGGTCCTAAAGGTAGTGATCTATTGCATCTTCCTATATAGTTTATCAAGTAATGTAATTGACCTAAAGATAAACAATGTATTCAAGATCACCATATAATTATCTTTTTTAGTATCTTGATTTTTTTGTTTCCATAGTGTGATGTTCCAATAGACCTAAAGGATGTTGATAAAAATTCAGCTGTGGTTAGTGTTGTTGACTGCGAATCAGAGGTAGGTTAAAATGCCACATCTTTTCTAGATATCTCCAAATGCTATGCTAAAGATTAGAATGTGTTCCAGTGGAGTTTACTGTATAAAGTCTTTTAAAAATAATTGATAGTAAAGCTAAAAAATAGTTGTATTGTGAACAGTAAACATAACTATATTCAGTACTAAATACTACATGAATCCATACATTCGGCTTCGGCAAATGGAGCGGCATAAAATGTTTTAATAAATAAAAATAAATAAAAATAAAATACATGCTTAGAACAGACTATTTTTTAAAAAAATCTTGCCTTTTTAATTTTGATTATATTTGCTTTTAAATTGAGTGTGTTAAGTTGCTTTGGGGGTGTTGTTACTGTTAAGAGGACTTGCTGCGTGGAATTCAGACCTAGGTGCGTGTAACTGAGCTGTCAGAGACAGGCTTCCTCTCCTTTCTTGACTCTCCACCTGCCCTACCCAAAATGTTCTACACAAAACTAGAGTTACACATTCCCACAGTCCATTTTGGAGGTTATGCACTCAAAAAATGAAAGTAGATTACTCCAGCAATTAGTCTATTTAAAGAGTTGGAAGAGCTGCTGTAAGGAGGAAGGGGTAAGCAAATCTGCTTCCACCATCCCTGTTATATATGCCCAAATTTCAATTCAACCCTTCACTGTTTGTGTGAAAAACTGACACCACCAAAATGATGTAGACTACTTTGGGTATGAATAAAATCAAATGTGAGCCTCCATTCCCATTTTAACTCTTATTGTTTCTCTCAATGCTCCACAGCCAAATGGCAACTTCCTCCTTGCTACATATCGATGTCAAGTAAATACTACAAGGCTGGAGCTTAAGGTAAAATATAGTGTGATTTAAATATATTAATTGAGCTTGTTGTTGACATTGAATTTAGAAGCTAATTCAGAGGGGAGCAGCAGTAACACTAAAGACCCTGGAAATCAAAATCTATGTTAGATGGAAGGTTATATTTTTGTATTCAGAAGAAAGAGACATGCACAGCTTAATTCTGATTTTTCTAATTTTTTGTTGTATCCAGTCTTAGTCTTAGTCTCACTTAAGTCTAAGTAATTTTAGTGGATCTAGTCTAAAAGAAAATTTTAGGAATAAGTTTTCAATATAATAAAGATAAAAAATAGTTGAAGTGAAATGAAATGAAAACACAGGGAAAAACAGAAATTCTGGGAAAGCCAAAAATATTTTAAGTATTTTGATAATTTACTAGTTTAAGTTTTCCAGAAATCTTCATCAGACTTGGTGATATGAAAACTGGGAATGGGTAGAAATGGAATAATCCCAAAACTAGAAGTTTTAATTTTATGCATTTTATAGTGGTAGCCAAATATCTGTTTTGAAAATATTTGAAGATGTTATGTTTTGCTGGATCAATATGCTAACCAGTTTTAGAACAGGTTGTTTTCCATATTAACATAAAGAAAAATTCACTTCATTTCCTCCTTAATTGGACAGATTCTGTCAATTGAAGGACGATATGGGACACTACAAGCATATGTAACTCCAAGGGTTCAACCAAAAACTTGTCAAGTTCGGCAGTATCAGATTAAGCCACTTTCACTTCATCAGAGGACACATTGTATTGATCGTGACAGGTATTTTTGAAAATGACTCAAGTTTCATTTTATTATAGAATTTGTTTGCGGGACAAGTTTACCGCAGGTCAGTACTGAACTCAAGTCACCTCAGCCAGAAGCTCATCTATTGTGTCTATAGTGAAAACACATAGAGCATCATCTTGTTCATCCTCCTCCAATGGGGAGCTTCTTTCATTGAAGGAAGGCATTTCCTTAAACAGAGAGAACTTTAAGTTAGGCTGGATCCAAATGAGCTTCCTATGTCAATATTCCTTCTGGTAAATATTGCCAGAAGTTGTATTTGTCTTTAGGGAGACAGTATCTTCCTGCCAAAAATTAACACAAAGTATAATGATAGATATGACCATTCTGCAGCACTTGGATGTGATAGTTTCTGAATAGGTCTTTGCTTGTGGCTTGATTTTTTCCCCCTCCCCTTCTGGTTTTGTGTGTTTCACAAGACCTATAATGGAACTGAATTCCAAGCAAGTTCTAGTTCATAAGGTTTTGTTCCTTGTGCAGTATGAGTATACACAGTTGCACCGCTTCACTGTGGTGTTAGCAAAGGATTTCACACACAAATCTTGCTTCACATAAATATGCTTAGCATCTGAATGAGAACCAAGACACTGTTCCTGTTTTCACTTTGGTTGCTGCAGGCTCTTAAATTAAATTCCTGAGGCAGTTACTGCAGGGTGTGTTTTGTCCTAAATTGTCAGAAATATTTGTGCTAATCTAAAGTCAAGTGAAATAGAGAGGGCATTGGTACAAATGTAGAGGGTTGGAAGTAAAAGGAGAACTTTGCACTATTTAAGTGCTTCAACAGGATGCTACAGAAAAGGTATGGGGAACCACTATTTTGTCTTTTTGGAGTTGCTAGATTGACAGAAGTGTTGAATGGAAGCAGAACAGTGACATATCTCAGTTCAGCACTTATTTTATCTGGCCAGGGCGACTTATTTTATATTGTTATTTCTTGTATTTTAATTTTATGTTGTGAGCCGCCCCGAGGCTTCGGCGAATGGGGCGGCATAGAAATGTTTTAATAAATAAACAAATAATAAATATGTGTGTACACACACATGGAGAGAGAGAGAGAGAGAGAGAATTGGATGTACCTACTTTTTCTCTACTTTCCTGCTTCCATTCTTCCCTTTCCATTATTTTTCTTCCAGTTCTTAGCAAATGCATTGAAATCCAACATGGTGTAGTGAAAATGTTGGACTAGGGACCTGGGAGAATAAGGATTTACCATGGCCATGAAGCTCACTGGGTGACTTTAAGCCCCTCATTCTCAACCTAACTCACCTCACAGAGTTGTTGTGAGGATAAAACAGAGAGGAGGAGGACTATGTAAGCTGCTTTGGGTTCCTTGCAAGAGGAAAAAAGCAGGCATATAAATGCACTGTAATTTTAAAAATTTGTCTAAATGCAGTTTCATCTTATCAATTCCCTTGTATGTTTCCTACTGTGCATTGTTCCCCTTGACAGCTGAAACTTACAAGGATATTGACAAGGCAAGACTACACATATCATACAGCTGTAAGTGTGCCCTTGAGAAAGACTTCCTCAAAACAACATTTTTAAATTACCAACACATTTGTGCTATTTTCTACCAAACCAAAAAAAAAAAAAAATCTGGTAGCAAACAAGTGATAGTCCCTCCAAATTTCCCTTTGGGGCCTCAGTGGAACAGCAGTCATTAATGAGGGAGGCTAGAGTTGTTAAGAGTGAGAACAGCAGGAGGTTCTGCTACTCTTGCTGAGTGGCTCTCATTCTGGCAATCCAACTTTTAACAACACACCAATAATATTGAGAGGAGGAAGAGGATTATGTAAGCCACCTGGAGTTCCTCAGAAACAAAAATGTTGATGTAACTATAACATAACCACCTGTCATAGGTTCTTAGGAGGGCTTGTTCCCCAAAATTAAGCCACCCTACAGAAACTAGTCCAGGTTCAGATCAACCCATTGTGGACAGCTGTACATGATGGGTTGTTGTGTTATATAAACCCAGTTGATTACTTGAACATGATCTTGAATTCCTATTATGTCTCGCTTAGCAAGGGAGAAGTTTGATAGATTCATTGTATCTGGAACTATGTCCACAAGGATTAAGCTGAGTTCTAATGACTGGTGGTTTTTAAGAAAGTTTGTAGAGTTACTGTACCATTTAAAAACATTTTATAAAACTTTTCTTACTCTACTCCTGCAGGATAACAATTATTCTGTTTTAACAAATACTTTTTTTGTTCAGGCCAATGAATACATTGACCCTCAAAGGCCAGTTCAGTTTTGCTGAAGTGCACTCCTGGGTTGCATTTTGCTTGCCTGAAGTTCCTGAAAAGACACCAGTAGGGGAGAGTGTCAGTTTCTACTTTCAGAACACCTTTTTGGATACACAGCTTGAATGTACTTACCGGTAAAATAAAACAATTACTGAAGCATGCTGGTTTATTTTGAAAGGTGGTCAATCAAATGTTAAAATGTAGATTTGGAAAGTAGTGCTTGTTCATGAGATTGCATTAAAAATACCCATAGCTTTTTTTACTTTCATTGAAGCCAGTATGGTTTCTCTCCCAAGTTTTGTTTCGTTGGTATATTTAAGTTCTAGAAATTTTAGTTAGGAAAAGTATATTGGCTTTATTAGAACTTGCTTCAACGTAAGGATCAGAGTGTTCTGAGACCTCTTCAAGGTTTTCTGGATAAGATTGGCATCTTTCTTAAGGTTCTGCAAAAAAAAAAAAAAAAAAAAAAAAACAAATCCCTGAGGTAATTTGCGTATGTTTATAGGTTGCACTATATAGAACAAGTATTCATATGTTCAATCATCCAAAGATATATCTAGCAAAATATTTATTAAGCATATGTGCAGAACCTAAGGAGATGTGATTGTATTTTTAAACTTCTGAAACTAGATCTTGAACCTTGTAGGAATAAAAGTCACATGTATTCTTTTAAATTGTTAATTTCTGGTATCTTTTATATAGGAAAGGGGAGGGATACTTCAAATCTGACAATATATCTACAATATCCATTCTAAAAGATGTTCTCTCTAAAGAAGCCACTAAAAGGAAAATTAATCTCAATATATCATGTGGTAAGGACTTGGTTTTCTTTTCCATCTTGATATATCTCTTCCATCTTTTTTGTATATAAAATATATTCAGATGATTCAGTTGTTTGCTTGTGCTTTTCTTCTAGATATAAATGAAGTATCTGTGAACCACACCTTAATGCTGATCCATCCAAAATTAGAATACCAGCTGATGTTAGCCAAAAAGGTTGAATTAATAGATGCTTTAAAAGTAAGTCTCTGGCGGATTGCACAGTTACAAGAATTACAGAAGTGATATATAATAGCTTTATTTCATTGTTTCCTACCTTTGTGAATTTAAAAAAGTATTTTAAAATTATAGATATGCCACTGAAAAAGTATAAAACTGGTATGTAACAAACCTTGACATTAGAATGCAGCTTGGGTTTATAATGGTTTGACATGCAGAATGTCCCAAGTTCATTATTTGGCATCTCCAAATAAAATGGATCGGGTTGTTAGCAATGTAAAAGATCTCTGCTCAGAGTCTCTGGAGAGCCACTGCCAATCAGTGAGTACAATATTTGGCTCGGAGGGGAAATAGTCTGAATTAGGTTAAGGCAGCTTTTATTTTTATTTCTTGAATACCTATTCTGCAAAAAGCAATTATCAATAGAACAATCACAGGTATAAAAGAATCCTAAAATACTGTTCTCTTATGGCAAGCCTTAGAAAATACAGGATTGCATCCAATGGGGTACACATGCTAAAATCCCACAGAAACTGGAGCCTAATCTATAGCTCTTGGCTGTGCTAGAGTAGTATATGCTAATGTAACAATGCAAGTCTGTCATTACACTTTCTTGGATGCTACCCATAAGGTATACTTTACAAATGGAATATTTCATACATATGCACTGGAAAAAGTGTATTTAAACCAAATAGATATAAAAATTAAATGTGATTCTAATTTAGAAAGCTGAACTTTGCTTTTTTAAAACTTTGTAGGAGATGTGTTAAGACTGAAAAACAATGCATTCTGGAGAGACAAGTTACTTAATACTGAACTGAATGGGCATTGTTTCTGAGTAAATTTTAAAGAAATATAAAAACAATCCCAAAATTACTCTGGGTATGCATTATGTGTCAAGGTCACGGTCAAAATATTGCCTTCAAGATTCAGGCAGCAATTCTCTGCCTAGAGGTAACCCCACTGAACTGGATGGAACTTGCTTCTGAATAGACATATATAGCACTGTCGGTCCAGAATTGATCTGCTTCTTTTGCAACAGTCCTGGAGACATGGGAGCTTTCCCAGTGCCATGAACAGGTTTGGCAGAGACCAACATGAAATGGTAAAAATTATGAGTTGTACACTGAATATATTTGTGTTACATTTTTCTCCTGACTCTTTGGCAAGGAACCTAAAGCAGCTGACATAATCCTACTTCACTTCTCCATTTTATTGTCACAGTAAACTTGTGAAATAAATTAGGCCGAGAGTCAGCAGCTGCCCCAGTAGTGACCTTCATGGCTGAGTGGGAAGTAGAATTCAGGTGCCACTTCTGTGTACAATTTTAAAAATGTCAAAACTTGAACTATTTTTCCCTAATCCTTTAAATCCTTACTAGCAGAAGATCAGAATCTACTGTAGCTTTCTGGGTGATTTGCAGTAGATTGGTAAGAGTTTTTGATGCTTAGTTATCTAACAACAGCAACAACTAAAGTTTTGCTCCACTCTAATATATATTAAGTTGCCAAAAAAAAAAAAAATCCTTAGGGTAAGCAGGAGAGTTGAGGGATGAAATCATATACCCTGTTCCTTAATTCTTGAAGTAGATGTCTGCCTGCTTGAGCCACTATTTTACGTTTGGCTCCCACTGGTGGCCTCAGGGTTTAAATCATTGAATCATAGAATAGTAGAGTTGGAAGGGGTCAAAAAGCAATTGGCTCCAATCATCTGCTCAGTTCAGGACTCAGTACAATACAGGACTCCCTCTCAAATGGCTGCCCAGCTGCATCTTGAATGCCTCTAATATGGTAGAGCCCACAACTTCCCAAGGTATTGGTTCCATTGTCATACAGCTCTAACAGACAGAAAGTTCTTCCTGATGTTCATCTAGAATCTGGCTTCCTGTAACTCATTATTCTGTGTCCTGAATTCTGGGATTATCGAGAAGAGATCCTGTCCTTCCTCTTTGAGACATCCTTTCAAGTACTCGAAGGTGCTGTTCTAGCTTCCCTCAGTCTTCTTAAGCCTAAACATGCCCAATTATTTCAATCTTTCTTCATAGGGTCTGCCCCACACAAAACAAAGTAGACCTGTTCCTGCCCTGCTGTATATCATATCAGCAACCACATGCCGAGAAGGAAATGATCTGAATTAGAACCAATAGCAACTTGTGAGAAACAAGTTTTAACTTTGAGTTTGAAAAAGGGCACTTTCTTCAGGGCCTGGTTTTCAGTTCATGACCAAAGGATTACAGGTTTAAAATGTGGTAATTTTTTCTGTCTTCCTTCCTCCTCCTCCCTACTGGATCCATACACCTTTAAGATTCTGATATAAGCACTTGTCTGATTTAGATGGTTGCCCCCCTTAACAGTATTAAAATTTTATTAATATCCATTCAAGGAATTACAGGCTCATGAAGGAAATGCAGACTTCTTAATTCCTGAATATCGTACCATATTGGAAGAGGCAGAGCAGCTGCTCAGAGAACACAAAAAACAACCTACATCTCTTGAAAGACTTTATGGTTGGTTTATTAACACAGTTTCCCTCATTCTCTCTAGTATTAGTTTTCCTGGTTTTGAATAGTGATGACTTCTCAAAAAACAAATGCTGCTCCTCTCCTGTTAAACTTTCCTGCTGTTTGCTTGCTGCTCTTGCCAGGCAGATCTGGGTGAGTGCCAATGACAGCTGCCCCAAAGTGCTGAAGTGGCACTGGTCAGAAGAGCTGTCCATGACCACCTCATGCTGTTACTGCTGATGATGACAACAGTGGCAGTGAGCATGCCTCCATTGTCAGGTTCAGCAGCAGCCTTCTGTGTCAAGGGGAGAGACGGTAGCTGTACTGGCTAAAGTGATCGCCTCTTTCCCACTGTCCCAACCTACCCTTCTGGGCTGGTAGTGAGAGGTGGGGAGCACATGTTCTGTTCAGCCTTCTTTAGAGGAGGCTAAGCAGGGTATGCTTTCTTCCACACTTCCAAAGTGGTCTAGCACTTTGCAGTCAAAGTGGCATGAGTGGAGGTCCAGGCAGAAAGCTGTTGCTTATAAGCAACCCGTCTGCCATGAATGGTAGTCTCGGACAGCCCTCATCCCTGCACATGAACTTTACTTGCAAGTTGTAGTGAGGGCTGTCAGCAGTCCCCACCCTTCTGGAACAGCCATGGGAAACTGATTGGGGAAGTAGCAGGGGTTAGGGCAGGACATGCCTTAGGACTCCTGATGTGTCCGCTTATTTGTTTGGCATAACAGGGGCCCAGGCTAGATAGCCACCAGCCTGGGGTATAAGCCACCCAGACTTAAAATGCCATGTGAACTGGCCAGGACCTTATATGCTCTTTGTTACAGAGGAGGAAGCAGGACAGTATGTGTGTGATTTGTCATACTTGGTTCTGAATTTTGAGTTAAAAATGGAGACGTTTTTCTCCCTTTCCCACTGGGTCATTCCATGAAGACTCATTGGTGGGAGATTTGGGAACAGATAAAAGGAAGTGCTGCTTCACAGAGCACAGACTTGAACTATGGAATTCACTGCCACAGGAAGAATAGACAGCTAGTTTGCCACCATATCAACAGAGTGCTGGACTGGATGGATCCAGCATTGGTCTGATCTAGCATGGCTTTTCTTACATTCTTAATGTGAAAGTAGGCTATGGACGGAAGTGAAAATTTCAAGCCATTATTCTGTAATGTCCATGACCTTGTTCCTGCCATCATCAGTATCACTGTGCCTGTGCAGTGCCACAGGGAGGAAGTACGTATCTAAGGACGTAGATTTACAGAAGGGATAAACTGAAATATAAACTAATTGTGCAAGGCATGCTAGTGCACAAAAAGGTACTCATAAATATGTGAAAATATTGGTTAGATAGTACATTCCACTGCTATTGATTTCAGTGGCTCTATGTACTTCTATATATATTGAGAATTTGGATAGAGGCAAGTCTATTTCACTAACTTTTTCACCCATGTTATGCAAAGTATCCTAAGGTTAATTTTTGTTATTCAGAGATTTAATAGAACAGCCATAATCTTGTACCAATGTTTTCATGTTTTTTGTTAAAAAGACATAAATGAGTTTTGTCAAAGTAATACCAGTTTCTATTTTTTTAAATTTTCAGGTATGATTACAGATCTGTTCATAGATAAATTTAAATTCAAAGGTACTAATGTGAAAACCAAAGTTCCTCTTCTCCTGGACATTTTGGGAAGCTATGATCAAAACTCATTGCTTGCCTTTTTTGATAGTGCTGCCTAAACTTCAAGAACAGAAACAGCAACAAAATCTCTCTGAAGTGGAGACAGACGATGAAGGAAAACTGAATCTTCATTCACATAATTTTATACATGTTACAATACCTTTATTTTTATTGAATTTAGTGGACTTGAGAGGGTCTTGTGTTCATATTTATAACTTTTTTAAAGTAATGCCATATATGAAATCATATGGGGGGGAGGGGGGAGGGATTTTAAAGAATCCAGTTTTAGGTTCGAATACAATATATGTATTAAGGAAATTTAGAGGCTAGAAGATTGTGCAGCTGTGTCTTTATTAAGTACAATACTTTCTGTATATGGCAGAGCAATTCCATGTTCTTGCCGCAGGAACAGGCCATATAGGCTACTGCAAAACTAGCATAACATAGTCCACAGCTAATGATCAGCCAGTGCAGGTCAGGAGGGGGAAAACATGCTGCTCTGCAAAGCACAGACTATGGCAATTCCACAAGTGCCTTCCAGTTGTGGTCTGCTAAAACAACAGTGGCCCATCTCAGAAGGAGCTAATCTGTCTCAGCAACATGGCAATGCTCCTGTAACATCTTCCCATCTCATCTTATATAAAACAGTCAGCCAGACACAGGGAGCATACAGTATGCTAGATTTTGTAGATTATAAACAATTATGAATATCAGATTGGAATATGTTTATATTGAAAATTGATAGTTCTGTTCTAAAGCACAATGTCTAAATGGTGCATTTAAGTCTCTGTGATATTGTATGTAATATGGTGAGCTGCAGAATGGACTGTGTATATAAAAGCTTATGTTGGAATAAATTGGTTAGTCTGCAAGGTACTACAAGACTTGTTTTTGAGGAAACTCTGACAGAGTGACTGCAACTTTAGCCTGCATGTCGTTTTTCAGCACTGCTGCTGCCTAGAGGTGGGATGGTGGCAAGCAGTGGAGCCTAATGCAGAGCCAGTGTGTTTGAACGCAATAAAACTTGTGTGTGTGAACAGGACCGAGCTATCAGCATAATTTTCTCATGAGCCTAGCTTGTGATGTTGCATCTTACTAAAGCCTATTTCATTTAGAGACCAAATTGGCTTCCTGTCTCTTTGATAGGTAGCAGCTCTCCAAATCCTAAGGCGTGGATTTTCTCCAGACCATTTTCAGCCCGAGGCTCAGCTAAAGGCGTATTCCTCTACCAGTTTAAAAGGGAAAAGATAACACAGCTCCGAACATTCCTCAGTCATCCCCCCTCCCCGCGCCCGCCATGGCCGGCTGGGGAAAGCCGGGAGCTATAGGCCGCCTCCGCCCAGTCTAAACCTGCATGGGATTGCGCCTTAAGGAACCTTCCTTGAGTTTACCTTTAGTATGACCTCACTCGCCCTCGAGCAACATAAAAGTGACAGCTGCTCGCTTGCCTGCCATCCGGGCAAGGCGTGGTGGTGGAAGGAAACACGTTCACGTGGCTGCTCTCCCACCCACCCGCCTTCCCCTCGGTCCCCCTCGCCCCTTTCCGTGAGTTCCTTCGAAACCCAGTCCCCGCCCTCGGTGTGCCACAGCTTTTCGACCCTCGCAAGCTGCCGTGGCATGGTTGACGTCAGGCGAGCCGCGTTCCTATTGGCCGATTCAATCGTCGCGGGCTACTTGAACGGCGAAAGCGGAGCGGGCCCCGAAGACGCGAAAGCGGTCGGGGCTCGAAAGGCACAGCTTTTCCAGGTGCGGCGTAACTCTCCCGGCCCCGCCGTCTACGCCGCCATCATGCTGACGGGCTCTGTAGATGCCGTCGCCGATGCCTACTCTGACCGGGAGAACCAGGAGAATGTGCCTCCTGGGCCGAAGGGCCACCTTACGGGCACGCTTGGACATCGGCCGGCCCTGGGGCTGCTGCAGCCGAATCAGTGCTGCTTAGCCCAGCCGCAGGTAAAGAGCAGCGGCGGTGCACTATTCCTCTTGTCGTCTTCACTGTTCGGAGGGAGAAGGTGTTCTTTATTTGCACCCGAGGCCGGCAGACCCCTGCATCCGCCATCTTAGAGCTTGCCTCCCCCCTCCCCCCTTTCCCTCCCCGCGTGTGGCGCATTAAAAGAAAAAGAAAATATCAAAAACCAGAAACTGGCTCTTTTCCTCTGGGTATGGGGAGGGGGTTGCTACGCCAGTACCGCTCTTGCGGACATCTCCATGTTGCTTTAGGAGTGGGAGGCGACGCTTGTTGGGGGCACGGGGTGGGGAGTCATTAAACCGGCAAGCGGGTCAAGGTGAAGGCTGGTTCTCGGGGCTGGCGAGGGCGTCACTTGACTGGCGCGATTCAGGACAAGAGAAAGGTTGACGCCCTGCGCCTGCCCCCGAGCAAGAGCGCCAAGTTGTAACGCGCCGGTGTCATTTGGGCTTCCTAACAGGAGGACATGGCGATGATGATAGTAGAACTATGCATCCCACTGCTGGGCCGAGTCATAACGTTCCAGTCAGAGCCTTCTTCCAAGGAGAGGGAATATATACCTATAGTGTGTATGCATCTATTTAGAACACGTACACATGTATATATAGGGACTTATATTTTGATTGTTTTTTTGATATTTGCAAGCTGTTCTAGGGACAGCTTTGTGGGAAAACAGCATGCAAATATGTTTTTCAAAAAAGATATCTCCTGGTTTAAGGGAGAGAACAAAATTCATTGGGACAAATGGAAGTGTGGTTGCTAATGGTAAACTTCTCTCATTATAGGTTTCTCTCAGTCAAGTACGGTGGAGTACAAATGATGAAAACCATGTTGCTATTCCTGTGGGTAAAATGGGAAATAAACCTGCCTTTACCATCCATATTGATGAGCCTGATAGCAGGAGACAGAGGAAATCTGTATCCAGCAAGACTTGGTCTACTGAAGATGACCTAGGCTTGAAGACAGCTGTTGCTTCATTGGGAACCAGGAAACCTCTGACACCTATAGACAGCCTGATGGATCTTAGTTCTGGTGAGGGTTCTATCCTCCTTTTTAGGATCAGGCTTGTATAGGAGCAACTTGTTCATCTCTTGGGTGTTCCATTTAAGACCTCCACTAAGTGAGTTGGAGTTTGATTGCTGTTGGGTTCCCTAAATCTTTCTTAAAGGTTCCTACTTGCACTGATATCTATGAAGCTTACTCAGATCTAGTTAACTTCAGCTGTGCCTGAGTTGCCTATGCCTTCTAATTGAAAACCTCAGTTGAACTTCAGAGAAAACTCCTTTCTCTGAAGAAGACATTCCTTCACCTGCTACTTAAATTATACAATACAATGACCTTGAAAGATTCATTGCTTATTCAGGGCTGTGCAGGCTAATGTTCTTGTTTTGCAACCTTATCCTGAAACTTTATGGCCTTCCTGACCTAGAAAATAATGTAACATAACCCCATATATTCCAATTCCCAAAGGATTTTAGATCATGTTAACATTATGCAGTTTTAGTAACGCATGGGAGGATACCATGAATCTACGGTGGACTATACCTTCAAAACTACTGTTCTTTATAAGATGTACCCTTTGGTTATGTACAAACCTTTCATTTTGGTTGGGGGGATGTGTGTGTTATGGGAGATTGTTACATGCATCCTACTGTTAACTGCACAAATTCATAGAATGCAGTTCAAATTAAAATTTCTTCACTTTTATTCTATTGCTCACTGTAATTCTAGTGAGGCCCTGCTTTGAAAAATTCTGCTGCCCTCCCAGTTCTGGTTATTGGAATGTTTAAAACAGGCAGTATTTCAAACTTCTTGTGAAAACTTTGGTCTTGTTGTTTCTAAGGGCTTAGTACCATCACTTGCACACTGTGGATAACAAACTCAGCCTGCAGGGAACTGAGTGAAACTTGCAGGTTGATGGCATCTAGTGCAAAGTTAGGAAAATTGCTTTGTAGGCTTGGGTTAGAGGTGCTGGGGAAAGGGGCTGGCATAGCTGCCACCAACTTGAAGGCCAAGAACTGAGCAGATACTCTGACTGCTGATAGAGAAAAGGCAGCACAGCCCTGTTACTTGCTTTTTAGCAATAATGTTCACTCCTGGGACTTGGGACTACTGTGTCCTGGTTCACAGTTCAAAAACTAACAGGATGGAGAGTGCATCTGAGGTGGACTCCCAGCACAGATTCATCTTGCCCCTTAAACAGAGATCGGGCAATACTTAAACTTGCTGCTAAGGGTTTTTGGCAAATGACCAGAAAAAGTTACTACTTGAAATGGCAAGAAGTTGTATGAGATCACAGTACATAAGCAAGACAATACTGGATGATTAAATAGTAATTAAATCTTTGGTAGTTTTGTACCATCCCTGTGCTGTCTTGCAGGTATGGCTTCATAAGAATAAAAACAATTAACTAATTGTTTTCTTATAGATGTTTCTTATCAATTTTACTTTTAGGCCATCTATAAGACTAAAACTACTTATATGTTGTATTTTAGGATCTCCAAGTATTACGGATATGTCAATAGTCCAAGATGTAGAACAGAGAATTAATGTTAACCACGTACCAGACTACATTGAAGACATCTATAAGTATCTTAGAGAAATGGAGGTAAGTATTCTAACCTGACTTATGCCATGGCTCTCTCAACTGTTTAGACAAGAACAATTGTTATTTACAATCACTAGCTGTTTTTGCTTGTCTCCTTATTGCTGCATTATGATACTTGGTTCTTACCCTTCTTAGAGGCCATACTTCAGAGACTTGCTGTATAAAGACTATTATTGTTAGGATACAGAATGAGAAAATTGACCTAAGTTGTCTAGCTACTCATAGGTTCAACAAGTCTAATGGAATTGGCCAAGGGGGTAACGATAGTTGTATGTATAGTATGACTACTTGGACCTGTACAGCAGAGCTTAGCTTGTCCATTTGGTGTATGCTGAATAGCCAGGAAACAGTCGTGTTCAATAATGGTTGGAAGAACATGTAAAAGTTAAATCAACATTAATGTTAAATTCACCTGGTGGTCCAATTTGGACATACAAAACCCATTATTATTCCTTTCCTATATTCTAAGTCTCCTTATTTTCAGCTTTGCAATCTGTCTCTTGTTGTGAATAGCACCTGCAGTTAGCTTCATTTTGAAGAGAACTGCATATGTATGTCTTCAGATTTAAAAACCAATGACTCTTCAATGCTGTATGAAGCTGGTGAGTAGTAGAGGTCAGTGGAACCAAGGGTGGACAACTGCCAGTGAGTGACTTAGCTTCTGTCACCTCTTAACCATTGTGGGTAGGACTCATCACTTGGTCTGAAGAGGTCACACAAAAAAGGAGCTGGCTTAATCTTGAGTGGAGGTGGAGGTGCTAAGGCAAAGTTGGGGCATATGGATTCTAGATGATTTTCAAAGAATGTTTGTCATGGCTCTCCTGGATACACTCATAGCAACTCTTGGAAGTAGAACTTGACTATCTTGTGGACGGTCTCAGTGTAGTTTCTGCCTATTTTTAAAAGGAGCTTTGAACCAGCATTTCTAAGATAGGGTAACTTTTTCCTTATTTAGCTTGATGTATGCCAACACAAATGGTTGCCCACCAAATGAACTTGATTTGAAAGTTTGGTACATCTTTCTCTAAAGTCTAGAGCTGGAGCACATTGAGGCAAAGCTTGGATTACTTCACTCTTGCACTTTGCTTTGGGTAGCAGAGTTTGTCGTTTTCCCAGCACAAACTTGAATTTATTTATTGCATAGTGGCAAGATGTAATTATGAAGTGGTCTTCCCCTCACACTCTCTCTCCCCCCTTCCTCCTTAGGTAAAATGCAGACCCAAAGCAGGTTACATGAAGAAGCAGCCAGACATTACAAACAACATGCGTGCTATTCTTGTGGACTGGCTAGTGGAAGTTGGCGAAGAATATAAACTACAAAATGAAACGTTGCACTTGGCTGTAAACTACATTGACAGATTTCTCTCTTCAATGTCAGTACTAAGAGGGAAGCTTCAGCTTGTGGGAACTGCAGCCATGCTGTTGGCATCGTAAGTAAATTGAGTAGCTACCATATTCAATATTTTGTTTTCTGTGTTCTGTCTTACATAAGAACAACGTATCCAACTCGAGCTCCATGAGCTGGGAAGAAATGTGTATCTGAGCAAGGTCTTTACCACCTGCATGTACTGCTGAGACTTAAACATTGTCTCTGCTTAATAGGAATTAAGTCTAGCTTTCAAATTGTAAACATCAGCTGTAGAGCTTTGCAAATTTATTTTTTCAAACTTCTCCTGATGCTTAAAGCATGACACCCATACACACCAGGGGATGTACCCATGCCAACCTTCGAGATTTCTCCAAGCAAGTTGCTATAGTTAACTGCTTGGAAGTAAAAATGCCACCAAACCAAAAGCCAAAGGTCACAAGCAGTCCTTGTATCTTGAAGACAATATTGATGAAGCTCTACAAAGGCTGTGTGGAGAGCTGAGACTTGATGACAATGTTTTTCTTCCTACTGCAGGAAGTTTGAAGAAATCTACCCTCCTGAAGTAGCAGAATTTGTTTATATCACAGATGATACATATACGAAGAAACAAGTCCTCAGGATGGAGCACTTAGTTCTGAAAGTCCTATCATTTGACCTGGCAGCTCCCACAATAAACCAGTTCCTTACTCAGTATTACTTGTATCAGCCAACTAGTTCCCAAGTGGAAAACCTAGCAATGGTAAGTGGTCGACTTCTCAAATTTAGAATTTTACTTTTCCTGAAGAACAGTTTTGGGGTTTAGTTTCTTATCTAACCTCATCTTGCATTATTGGGTGCCTAGACAAACCCAGGCTCACATGTTGTGTAAATAGACCCACAATCCAGTCCTTCTAAAAAGTTGTCAGATTTAAGTTGGTATAAAAGGTCTCCAAATGTTAGTTTTCTGCCTTTTATATTCCTCCTACCATTTCCCCACCACCACCACCACCACCACCACCACCACCACCACCACCACACACACACACACACACCCACCCACCCCAAAACATGCCTGGAATAAAAAGAAACAAGTCCCAACACTTGTATGAGAAGACTTCAGGGGTGCTCTTGTAACCTCCCTAAAGGTAATGTTTTGAAGCACAAAAGTTAACTATAGGTCATCTTAGTTTCTTTGGAAAGCCAAAGGTTGGCTAACCTCCAGCAAAACAATTAAAATCTATTGAGGGGAAAGCATATTTATGAGGATCTGAGGTTTAGAGTCACGAAGTTGTATCCAACCAATCACAACCCCATGGACAACATTCCTCCAGGCCTTCCTGTCCTCGTAGATCAAACTATTATGCTGATTGAAGAGCAATAGGCTAAGCACATTTTATTGTCACAAATATGTCTTGCTGGTCATGCAGGGAAGATTTAGGTCTTAAATTACTTGTACTAGCATGGAATGAATCACCTGAAGTCCATTCTTATGTTGATTCAAACCTGGGGGAAGCAGTCAAGCAAAACAATAGCCTTTCATATGCAGCATTTGCCTTGCCTGAGGCTGTTTTGTCTGGGGTGGCAAAATCACCCCAAATGCAAGCAAGGAAAACAAGAATATAAAAGGATATAAATATAATAAAATAAATGCTAGATTTGAAATTGATTTTGGATTTAACTCAATGTTAAGTGTCTTTTCATACATCTCTCTTTCTCTTTCTCTCTCAGTAACTTGGATGGCTGTCATGGTCTTTTGTGGTAGAAAATGCCACTTGAAGTAAGGGTGGAAGTAAGAGAACTTCTGAGAATAAGCGGTCACTTCAAGCAGTTAATGTGCCGTTCCTGAGCAATTTAGTGGTGTTTTTCTCCTCAACGAAAAGCTTTGTTTCACAGATATAGCATTTAACAGCTTTCTAACATTGTAAGAATATTCTTGTGCTGTGTGAGGAGGCACAGCAAAGGAGCTACTGCTCTTAGAATCAGATCTTATGTTTGAGCTAGATAGCTTCTATTCCAACTTGTGGCAAGTATGCTTGTGGTTTGAGTGAAAAACATGGTAACATCTTGACTCAATGAAGTTTATAGGCTTTATTTTCTTCTTTTTGCAGTACCTTGGAGAACTGAGTTTAATTGATGCTGAGACATACCTGAAATACTTGCCATCAGTAATTGCTGCTGCAGCATTTCATATAGCAAACTATACCATTTCTGGAAAGCTGTGGGTATGTATAAAAAGACTTGAGCTTATTAAAGTAGGACTGTTTACTCCCACTTCAGGTTGCCTGTACACCGAGATCATTTCTGGGTACCTGTGCCAGCTGATAAGTAGGTTCATGATTATGGTGCCCTACATAGGAATTCTTTCCATGGAGCCTTACCTGGTGTTTCCATGTTCTCTGCCCCAGTTGTCAACTTTTCCACTTGGTTTCATAGTGCTCCAAGTATGTTTGTTGTCTATTTAAACATTGGTATTGTTTTTATGTCCCTTAAATTTTGCAGAGAGCCCAATGGGCTATCAGGGGTATACATAAGAACTTATTTATTATATTAGGTGGCACAGTGGTTTAAACAGCTGTGCTGCTGGGCTGGTTGATCGGAAGGTCGCCGGTTCAAATCTGTACAACGGGGTGAGCTCCCGTGCTTTGTCCCAGCTCCTGCCAACCTTGCAATTCGAAAGCATGCAAATACAAGTAGATAAAAAGGTACCACTTTGGTGGACAGGTAACAGTGGTCTGTGCACCTCAGTGTTTAGTCATGTCGGCCACATGACCACAGAGACTGTCTGCGGACAAACGCTGGCTCCCTCGGCTAGGAAACGGAGATGAGCACCGCTCCCTAGAGTCAGGCATGACTGGACTTGATGTCAAGGGGAAACCTTTACCTTTACCTTTAATGAATAAATAAAAATTTCCTTAGCAGAGTGACTCTCTTGCTGAAGTGACAGGATATACAATTGAGTATCTCAAGCCTTGTCTCATGGACCTCCACAAGACATACTACAGAGCAGCACAGCATACACAACAGTCTATACGGGAGAAATACAAGGCTGTCAAGTAAGTATTTGACTCTTATTTCAGCTGCTCTTACGTTCTGCAGTCTTAACTGTGGGGATGGGGTGGCATAGCTGTTAAATGCTGGAGAAGAGAAGAGTCAACATAATTTCTTTCCTTTTCAGATACAATGCAGTATCCCTCATTGACCCACCAGAGAGACTAAACTTATAACAATCAAACTAAGAATTGACATCTCAAAGGTGTATATGGCCCAGAACAGCAAATGTACAGTTTTAATTTTTTTAGACTTGAATCATTCTGGTATATTACCATAGGAAATTATGAGGTTTTCTACTTTTGTAATGTTTTAATGTAAACTTTTGTACATGCAATCTTGTTCTAAGTACTTAGGTAGAGCTCCTTTAAAGTTCTATTGAAACTGACACAAACCATGCAGGCAAACCACTCAAGTATCACTGTTTTAAACAAGAAGAGCAGTCTAAATGGGGATTCTGACTCTAAATGGCAAATCAAGATAGTTCAGTGGAGTCGTGTCTCTATGTGTGAGATACTAAAATTTAGTCCTGCAGGCTCCATGTATAATTAAGTTGCAACAATATATTTGGGAAAAGTCACCTGGTGCTTAATAACATTAGGGAAGCTACTGTGACACTTCCTGCTATGAACTGAGAACATTCAGTGGCTACTAGAAGTCTGTGCCAGTTTTGAGAGTAGTGCCTCTTAGTATATGCTGCTAAAAGTAGCTTATAAAACACTGTTTATATGCATAAATACAGCTTTTGCTCTTAACCTCATAAAAATTGTGTCAGGAAAATGGGGAGAAATAGCCTTCTGGTAACAGGAAAGCTACAGGAACCTCACCTTGAACTTAGTGAGACATGAAAAATCTATTTGTTACTAAACAAGCCAAGTTCCTGACCTACAGATGAAAAGGCCTACATCTACAATGCTACAGTTCTTGACTAGTGCACGAGGCCAACTTCAGCAAAGCTACAACTCTAGCAATCTATGTTCTGCATCCCAGCTGCAGGTGGTCAAGGACGTAGGAATGGGTAACTATTCAAACCTCCTTTTAGTGTAATCTAGGAGTACTGAGTCAGGGTGGAAGTTGTGGGTGTCTTGTAGAAATAAAAGCCTATTTCACACGGTTGTCTACATTGAAAGAGTGGCTAATTTTTAGATCGCTATTTAAGTAGGATTGGATTCTTGTAAACAAGACTAACGCTGCTTGACATGATGTACTTACATTAAACCAATGCATAGAAAGACCTACATGTAAACCACCTCAAAGCTGGTCAATAAAATCCTCTCAAATGACTTCTTTCAGTAGTAACATGAAGCATACTTTGTGTATTAGGATATGTGTGCTTTTTTAACGGAAGGCTTGTACTGTTGTTAATGAAATAGCAGTGCAAATCATTGAGACCCTGCTTCATCAGCCAGTGGAGACAAGTTTGTCAATCAAAAGAAAGGTCAAATTTGCAAAAAATTGTGCCCTAAGAGGAATGTTGGGGGGAGGAAAGTCTACTCAGCCGCCATCCAAAGGTTCTCCAAAAGTTTTTGTGACACATTGATCAGACAAGCCATAGCAGAGTAACCAAAAGCTGCAGGCTGCCCACCTCTAGTTATTAAGTGGATACTTGAATACAATTATGGTTCTGTGAAATGTGGCACAGCTGGAAATGCATCTCCAGTGCCATTAGGAAGTAAGCAAACTAAGCAAGCTGGATTTTTCCCTGGCTTTCTAGGCTATAGAAACTTAAGGGTGTAAGGCCTGGTTTGAAGGTGCATTAAAGGGAAGGGGTTATAGCACCATCCTCACCAGCATTTAATAACTGAACAAGCAGTTAATTACTTGCAATGTTTTCTGCAATATGCCTTATCCATTAATAGTATGAAATGAGAAAACAGTAACCATACTTTATGTGGCAGGTGCTCACTGTAGTTATTAATAAAGCAGCTTAGACACTGATGATGGAAAATAGTAGCCAATGGTCACAACCTAGCGAGTATAGTAAGGCAGATCAGTACATATTTAGCCGTAGGAATGTCCTCCTGCCTCAGCTTTTGGAATGGAAGAGTTTACAGCAGTCTGCTTTAAATGCTTACACTCTTAGAGAGATTAATACAGATGTCTAATACACTTTATGCTCAGGCTGTGTGCAGGCTCCCTCACCAGCCTCTACTGAACTGTTTTCCCTTTTCCCCTGAATACTGCTCCTTTGCAACTGCTGGCAGCAAGAAAAAGCAATTGGTATCATGAATTGGGAGATGTGGCCACTGAGGGACACATGGCTCCACTACTACTTAACAGTGGCAGAGGCTTGACAAAAGGGGGTCTTCCTTCACTCCTTTTTATCCTCGCATCACCCTTCTTTAAATGCTCACTTCATCCTTCTCTTACCAATGCCAGATGGTTCCTATCTGGATGGCTTCTTAGCTGGAAAGCATTATATCCTACCAGCAACTCCAAAAGTGACAAATGGGTGTGGCATGTGAATCTCTTCTAAGCTTGAAGCTAGCACACTTTTATAGATAGCCTATTGGACTAGTTCTGAGAAGACCTGGCACAGCCGACTATGGTAAAATGACTTCACAGAACATTGGTTCTTCAGAAAACAAATCTATGTCTCTACCAGCTATATGTTTCTATCAAATTTGACAGGAAATATGCAACTCACTAAATTTGGGATTGACAAACGGGATACACAGGCATAGCATGGAGTACAAACCTGATACCGCAGCAGGCTGTCACAATTCCTATAAGGAAATTACGTAACAAAATAACAAAACCCTACAACTAAATTACAGTGGTACCTCGGCTCACAAACGTCTTGGTTCATGACCAAATCGGGTCGCGAACAAAAATTTCATTAAAATTTTGACGTGGGTCATGAACTGCATTGGGTGGTGACCAAGATTGCAGCCATCCCCCCCCCCCCCCCCCGCAAGTGGGAAGATGGCCACAATCGTGCAGGGAAAGAAGTACGTGATCATGGCGCACTCCTGCAGGAAAGACAGTCACAATCTTGGCCATCCCTACCCCCACAACCAGCATGATCGCAGCCATCTCCCCCCCCCCGCCCAAGTGTGGAGATAGCCACAATAGTGCTGGAAGTGGGGGAGGGGGGAGAGATGACCGAGATCGCGTCCATCTCCATCCCCCAGTGCACCTGAATGACAGGCGTGATCTTGATCATGCTGGGGGAGCAGGGAGATGGCTGTGCTCTTTGTTGTTGTCACTTTGCTTCACATTTTTCTGATTTAAAAAAATGGTTACAGAATGGATTAAAGTTATTTACATTGAACCTTATGGGGCAATTTAACTTGCTTCACGACCAATTTGGGTCATGACCAGAGTCCTGGAACGGATTAAGTTCGTGAACCAAGGTATCACTGTACCTTTTTGTGAGCTGACAAATGTGACAGCAGCATTTAAGTGCATCTGCAGTATGGGAGCATGTTAAATTTTGTTTCTTAACAAAAACACAGAAGAACCAGGCCTTCTAGTTTTATTCAGGCTCTGTGAGAGAGAAGAGCAAGTTTAAGAATATATGCATATATAATGCTGCCTGTACAGCTGGATATTCTGAAAAATGGAAGTACTACAGGAATTGCAGCACCTAGAATCATTGCAATTTAATTTTATGGTCAAGTGAAGTACAGATGCCCCCATAAAAATGATCAAAGCAGCCATGACCAGAATGAAAAAGTGGGGGTTGAGAAAATATTTTACTACACACATACGCATGCACATACACACAGTTATGTTATGTTATTTGCAAAGTCATGCCAAACCCATTGCGACTTCATGGACAACATTCCTCCAGGCTCTCCTATCCTCCACCCTACAATTCCTTTTAAGAATATATACAATAACAATGAATACATAAAAGGAGCAGTGCTTTTGTATAGGAAAACTTTAATGTACAAAAATAATATTTTATGTTTTATTTTACAAAACAGCTCTTTTTTTCTTCTTTTTACCAACTGGCTTTTTTTTTGTACTGCCTGGTTTGGGGGAAGATGGTGTTCTGTGGGAAGAAAGGGCTCTGAGTGTCAATAAAACCCAACATAGCATTGTATTACAACTGAATTGTCTCAATGGACTGCAATACTTATTTTCAGTCAAATAAAACAAACGTGTCTATTAACACATGAGCACACAAGAGTCTGTATCCAGCTACTAGCTATTTTGTAGAGGAAATGGAATCATGAAAAAAAGAAGTAATACAGGAATTGCAGCACCCAGAAACATTTCATTTGATTGGTGTTTTCCCATTATTAGCAGCAGGGAAGGCACCACCTGAATCAGAAACACTGAGTGGGGGAACTGTGAAAGACTTTAATCTCATTCCTTCCCTCTGCCAGTGATTATGAATGGATATGTATCTGGGGATTGGGTGGTTACCACCAACAGCTAAATGTTTCTATGGGGGTAAATGCCCCTCATACAGCTTATAGAATCAGAATTGCATAAATCTACATTCCTCATATATACACATTTGCAATCCCCTCATCAGTAGCATGCATAAAGGGATGAGAGATTTGGGAGGAGTTTCTTAAATAGTAATTTTAAAAAAATCAATGGAAATGAGATTTCCGAGAGAGAAGGCATGGTGTTGGTTATCATGCATGCCTGTGCATGCATGCAATTGGTCTAGGGAATTGATCGGTGATGCCCAACCATGCTTGAGCAACTGGGACTTGTTTGAACCCCGAGGCTTCGGCAAGGGGCGGCATAGAAATGTTATAACAACAACAACAACAACAACAACCTTAACTTATAACTCTTCTCACTTCCATAATACTAGAACACAGGGTCATTTCATGAAGCTGATTGGTGGGAGATTCAGGATAAAGATAAGGGATATTGCTTCTTGCAGTACACAGTTGAACTATGGAATTCGCTGCTGCAGGAAGTAGTGCCGGCCACCAACTGGATGGCTTTAAAAGGGGGCTGCACAAATTCATGGAGGAGAGGGCCATCAATGGCTACTAGTCCTGATGGCTATATGCTACACCAGAAGTACATGCAGTATTACATACCAGCTAGTGGAAACATGACCAGGAGGGTGCTATTGCACTTTCCCCCAGTTTGTCTACTATGTAAAGAGAATGCTGGATGAGCCACATCCTTGGTCTGATCCAGCATGGCTCGTCTTATATTCTTTCTTCTTTTTAAATACATTCAGTTATGAAAATAAAATGTCATTGAGATTACCTCTTTTTGTGTGTTACTTCTGGCTCTAGAATGACAATATCTTCCTCTTCACTGTCAGATAACACAATTGTTGCATCTTGAAGAGAAAAGACAATCGTCCTAGGTTCAGTTCTTGGTTTACATGAATCAGGCTCAAACCATTAACATGTCAAGATTTTCCACACCAGCTGGCCCCTGCCACCCCTATTTCTGATACTGGTCAGGCATGGAAATTTTTCACACAAACTGGAAGAACTCTTTCAAACAAATGGCAACTGCTGTCATAAACAGCGGTCTCAAGATTAATGGTCAATTAAGCTACTAATCAGTCAAATCCCTGTGTTTGTCTCAAAAAGGTACAATACTTCATTATAATTATTCAAGGGGTTTTAGCATTGTCAAGTATGTATTACTTCTCTTTCAACAGCAGCATAGCACAGGGGCCAGCATTATTCAAGGCAGTAGTTTCATTCCAATTTTCATTTATAAAGCTGTTCAGTGCTGGCTAATACAGCTAATCTTTGGAATCAGGGAAGAAAGCTATACACAGCAAATAGTGTTTTGAAAATACTTTACTGCAGCTAATGATCTGCCAGGTCAGAAAAGGTTTTCAACTGAGAACCATTTCTCATTCTACTTTAAAAATTCTCCAAATGATTTCCTTTGTCATCTTTGCATACGTACCCAACTGACCAAGAACTACCGCTTACTTAGAAGTTGGTATGCACCAAAGTAGAAATGTAGCCAAAGAAACTAATTTGTCAGTTTGAAAATACATCTCCCTATTAAATTTCACCCAAAAGCTTTTTAAACATGTGGTTTTAAAAGATACTAACCTTTCTGAACCATGATTCCAGCATTAGCATCTCCAGTTTCCATATTTTGGTCCTCTACTGTTACAGGTTCATTCTGGGCAAATTCATCTTCCTCCTCTTCTTTTTCAGATTCCTCAAAATCTCCCCATGAATTCTCAAGTCCTTCTCCAATTTGGGCTGTGCCAGAACTCCATACAATTGGCTTGGCCAAGCTAGGCTCATTAAGAAAAATCCAGGAGTCATTCAAGATGTATTAAGCATGAGGGACTTGATGAGTTTCTAGCCGAGAAATTATTCTGATCTTGTGCTACGCTTTGATCTCTACTTTGGACAAACAAGTACTGGCATCTTCTGAATACTGTGAAGAGAAGCTGCTAGAAACTTATTCTCCAAAGTAATCAGCATGGAGTGAAGAAATATGACACTTTTCTAATTCCAGGGACAGTTCCCTACTTAAGGATCAAGGAACATAGCACTGCAAGACCCACTTTAGGGTCCTTTTCATAATAGCCTTTAGCACAGCAAATGTGCAGCTGTTATTAAGTTGCTGCATACAGTTGAGAAGCCTTCTTCCTTAAAATTGTGCTGCTGCTAAATAATAATAGAATGCTTTCCCAGGACTGGATGTCTTCTATCTTCTACCTGAGAAAAAATATTATTTCCCCCATAACACTCCTATTGCTATTGTGGCTGCCATAGGAATGTTATTACCAAAATTATCTGTTCATCATGATGCACAAGATCATGTGTAAAATTACTTCACCCTCTTATGCCATTTCTGACTTTTTCTATATATACAGCTTTTACAGTGTCCCTAGTGGCAAATACTAATCCAACTGCTTATCCTGGCTAGATGGCTTCCTTATTGTTATTTTTTATTTATTTTGAGTTATGCTTATTTGTTGTAAGCTGTTCAGAGAATTTGATGCTATGGAACGGCATACAAATGTTGTAAATAATAAATGTTAAACAAGTTTCTTAAAATTTGGTTTCCGTGCTGGTTCTGTCACTGCTGTCAAAACCAGGTCTAGATTTTTGTGTGTACACACAAAGTTCCAAGGAGCCACATGGTTAGTCTTCTCCATAAAGCTATTACTTAGCCTCTACTTCAATTTTACTAGCAAGTTATTCTACTGCTGCGGTGCATGTGAAATATAGCACAGAATATTAAAAATCAGCTGCTTATATTCATTTTGTTTCAATTGAATTCCTAGCAGAATGTGATTCTGTCTGGCTGAGCACTACACACACAATCACCTAAAAAGCATTTATTTATATATTTAAAAAGATACACATCCGAAGGAGGGACTGCTTTGGCAATTATTTTTTCAGCTTGCTCTTGTACATCTTTGGTATCAATTGGAGCCTGTTCTAGCTTAAAAGCAGTTATTCTCTGGTTGGAAATAGATTCTGCAAATCCAAATTTTCCCCCTTGTTTCCTAATAAAAGAATAAAAATCCTTTAGAAGTCAAAATATTAAAATATTAGACAAATTGATAGCTTCCACAAAGACTATTTTGCTTTTTACCAGATAAACATTAATTATTTATATCCCATTTTCAATGTTTTCCAAATCTGACTCATATCATAAAACAACTAAAAACAGTTAAATACAAAAACAAGTAAAAACACAACCATAACAATGGTAGAAATCAGCACCATCTTGAATAAAAATGGTTTTCACAGCCCATTTAAAAACAGGAAAGCAAGTTTCAATTCTTTAAAAATACAAGCCTGGATTTCTATATATGCAAGCTAAGTTTTTCATCACATAACTAGCAGCAGTTGAAAAGGCAAAAGATGACCTGGGTAGCTAGGGAAAGCAAAACATAGGTTGCTTAATTAACCCATGATTTGCCAGCCACAGGTAGGAATAAATGAGCCTTCTGCCTATAGCGTGTTCCTCATTTCCACTTTTACAACCTATAATCACCCCAACCATAGACTGCTTTCAGGAAATATGAAACCAGGTACTCTGGGTTGTTTAACCCCGCCAAAATCAAATTATTTTTTAAATAAAGTTTCATCCAAGCACCCATCAAAATCAAATAGGGAGACATCATCCACCACTACTTGAAACAAACTCACCATCCCACTGTGATAATGAGCACAGAATAATGCCATTGATGCTGATACTGAACTGTGATCATCCAAAAAGCCTAAGTGTCACTATGGGAGCAACACTATGCATGCTTGGGCAGAGAAAAGACCTGCAATTCCCAGTATGCTGGGAATTTTAGGCCTTTTGCCACCTAAGCATGCATAGGATTGCACCTCAAATGTTTTTCCCATACAGTCTGGCAACAGAATAAGGATTTGCTGTTGTATGAAGATGAATGTGGAAGAGACTCAGATATCCACATGCAAGAAATATGAAACTGATGTGTACCCAGTTAACTCATTTATCTATATAAACAGTATTGTATTAACAACATATTTCAATTTTCCCCATAATTATAATAGTCCTAATAAATATGAATGCCCGACTTCAAATATTAATAGCACATTTCCATTTTTTGTTTCAGAAATTATAACAGGTACAAGTTTTATATAAAATATTGCTTGCCAAATTTGTACACTTCAAATGTTAACAAGTTAGTGATGCACTATGTTGCGTAAACTCACCTAATGTTTTTGTCATTCTCCAAAGCTTTTTGAATTAGCTCTGTGATTTCTGCTACTTTTACCCCTGTTATTTTGCTGCATCTCAGAACCTGTGGTAAACAAATTAATTATTATGGCATGAGCAAATATAAGGTACAATACGTCATTGCAGGATGTGTTTGTTTTACATCAGGGAGGACCAAGTTATTAGACTAGGAAGAGAAGAAAACACATGCTGGCTTGGACGCAGATTCATAAAAAGAAGGCCGAGTGGGGACAGCATGAATTTATGGACCAGAGAACTCTACAAGAATCCTAGGAATTGTTCTCCTGTTGAACAGTTACATTAAGTCTTGAAATATATGAATATAAAGTTAATTAAGCAGTTTTAATGTGAGAAAGGTGGTATATTCTGAATTGTGAAATCTGAACCTTTCATTCTGTTTAATTTAAATAGATATGTTGAGTTAAATGCAGTACCTGTTTCTAACTTGTATAAGAATAAGCAGCAGCATGCTGCTTGGGCACTTTGAAGGGGCTGTAAGTGGCTGTCAAACTGGAGATAATGAAAGCCAGCTGTCAAGCTCAGCTCTGTGATTTCTGAGATATACAGTAAAGATAAAAAAGCCATGGCAAACTGAAAACAGCTCACAACTGTGGAGAGTAGAAGAGGTAAGTCAATCTTGCCAAAGGAGAACTGAGCAGGAAGAAGCGGGAGGGAGGATGTAAACTATCCACGATGAGCCTGATCATCTGCCGGCCACGCTCTAGATCATGGGTCCTCAAACCATGGCCTGCGGGACGGATCTGGCCCGCAGCGCTGTGTTTGCTGCCTGCATGCGTGCTTGCTGCGCAGGCGGTGGCTTGCTCATTCGGAGATGGTCTCTGGGTGAGCAAGCTGCCGCTGCTGCCTGCCTCCCATACGCGCTCGCTCGCCGCTGCCTTGCAGCATAGGTGGGTGGTGGCTTGCTCACTCGGAGATGGTTTTGGACTCGCTGGAAGATCTCCAAGTGAGCGTGCCCAACGCCACCTCACTGGCCCACACCCCCAGTCACCGCAGCCTTTCAACTGGTCCCCTATGGAAAAAGTTTGAGGACCGCACCTCTAGATTGTTCACAGAATAGCCAACCTGTAACAGCTTATTGTGAGGGTGGCCTAATTTGATGTGCAAATATCAATGATGTGGATGCAGACTTGCTTCTCCACAAACTGAGAGGCTCCTTCCATTAGTTATATATTATTTACTTATTTAATGAATTTATATGCTGCTGCAATAGCCCACATCTGAGCTCTCTGCACAGTTCACAATATAAGGGATTAAAGGAGGCAAATGGGAACCAGCATAACCTTCACACTTATGATTAGGAAAGCAATTTTCTCCCAGATTGTTATTTCCCTACAACCCTGACCAGATGGTTCCTAGCAAAAGTCTGCTGAGTACAATACGGTTCCAACCTACTAATTTTAATATTTCCTATCCATTTCAAATTGAAATTAAGAACACCTTATGATTACTAGAAAAGAAGGGCTTAATGGGCAGGAGAGACACCAACATTTACTCATAAATAACAAAGTGAGATACACAGCTTAGCCTTCATAAGCATTCATATTACCTGATCTTTTAAGAGCATAATCCCACCACTGGACTGAATTGTACAAATCTCACGGTGTTTATTCATGGCAATCACAAGGAGGCCATCCATTACTCGTTCTTCCTGTTCACTGGGATCCACTAATAAGTAGGTCCTGAAATAATGTTAAACAATGCAAATTTAGGTTAAATAGGGGTAATTGAAAAGCACATATCAGTTAAAAAGCACATATATAACATAACACATATCAGTTATATGCTCAAGGCAGGTTTTATTTCTACCCATTTCATAGGTACATGCTGACGGGAATAATCATGATCAGCCATGTTTCACTGCGATACCAATGTTTCAGATTATAATTCAGATTTATCCATGGTGCGATCCTGTGACTATCTCTAGACAGCACCTACCAGTCATAGGAAAGGGCAGAGTCCCAGCTCTGACCTGAAAAATGTGTTCCAAGGCAGGAGGAGCTGGACTTCCAACCTCAGAGCACCTTCCCTCAGCCCTCACTGCTGACATGGTTCTTTCCTCTCTGCTAGGATTCCTAGGTTGCAAGACCAACCTCCAAGCCAGCACTGTTGGGATGTTCCAGAATACAATGTTATTATCCTAGTGCAGCCTTAGCCTGCAGGCTTAAAATACTTAGATGGTTCAAATGAGTCAAGTATGTTGCACAGCAGAAGCACAGAGCTGATTTTTACCACTGTGCATCTTCCACCCGTGATAAGGTAGCTATAATATTTCGAGTTCAGAAGACTAGGAAAATCCCAGTTGGATTGCACCCTTACTCAACTTTCCAGGCAATTATGATCTCACAAAAACAGTTCATATCAACACATACACAGGATTAAGATGGCATACTATCATAATACACAGCAAAAACATGTGATTCTCCTTAGTATATGTTTCTGAATTCTAATAATACTAGAAAACTGCTGTCAGTCAAGGAAATAATGCTAACTTACCCCTGCTGGAAGAAAGCAAAGCTTACACAAATAGGCATGTGGTGGATACTCAGAGGGACAGGATCCCGTTCCTCAGGGGAATACTAAAGATACAACAGCAACATTTTATTTACTCAAATGCATATATAACAAGAAAGCAAAATACAAAGTTTTTTTTTAAAAATATTATTCATTTCCAAATTTAAGTTGGAAACCACTTTTCCTATGATAAAGTAAACTTGGTAGTTATACTGTTTTCAGCATCTGTAATAAAATTTTCATAATTTCTTCTAACATGAGTGAGAAGAACTTTAGGTAATTAATATAAGGAACTAAACAGTAGATCTATTATTCATTACATTTATATGCCAGGAGCTCAAGGTAACATATACGGTTCTTCCCTTCTCTCAACGGAGATTCCTAAGCTAGAGTTTTTCTCTGATATATTAGGTATAACTTTTAAGTATAAAGCACAGGCACAAAAAATCCAAAACCAGTAGGATACATTTTAGATGGGCTGCAAATCCAACTTCTGGTCAGTACAATAGGCAATTTTTGGTAGACCATCAAATGCCTGCTGAGATTACTACAGGAAATATTGCTTCCTGAACTGATTGAATAAGGTACTCTGTGTTTATTCAGGTTTACTTAGCACAGATAAGTTATGCCTTCCTTGTTAAGAATCTCCATGTATATTGTCTTGCTTTGTAAATTTAACAAATATGGTGCATCATTGTGATTCTAGAGGGGGAAATAGAACATGGAAGCTGAAGTTAGCCCACCCTATCATAAATACCCAATTCCAAAGAAAATTACCAGTGTGACTTCTTCTCCTTGCACAGACACATCTGGTCGCCGAAAGTGGCAAAGTGCCACTATTGCTGCTATACTTGCAGCATCAATAATGTTTCCATTATGATTCAACAAATGCAGGTCCACACGAATTTGCCACACCTCAGAAGAAACAAGCAAGCCATTTCAATAATCTTTTCACACAAGAGTAAATTGCTATAGGTGAAAGACAGAGTCAAGGAAACTAATACTGACAATTTAGTATGTAATACCTTTCTAATAAAAACCTAATACAAAAGGCTTTGATTTTTTAAAATAAAAATCTAAAATATTTTAGCTAAATACTACACATTCTCACAAGAAATTTCTGCATGGCTATAATCAGTGTATAGGATGGGGCTATTTAAAATCAATGAGCGGACCAATCCTATGGGCCCAAGACGGCCACAGGATTTTTCAGATCCTCCACTCTGAATTGGAAAAACTTTCCAACTTTGGAGCTGGGGATATATACTCAGATTCCAGTCCCACTTCCCATCTGGTTCAGAAAGAACTGCACCATCTGTTTTTCTGGATTTAAAAAAAATCAACCTCAGATATGAAAGTCGAGGGACAAAGATGGAGCCTGGCATTTGCAAAATATGATCATCTGGGCAGTGCCTCACCTTCCTTTCTTCCTCCTCTGAAATGTTGCAGTTAAATGACTGCAATTGCTTGCAGTCGCAACTATTTTGCAAGCTGGGGGAGTGCAGAGGCAACCTTTATTTCTACATTCCTCCTGCTCTGCATAAGCTGCCCATAAACCTTCATGTTCAGAGCCGTATCAGCTTCTACATAGGCCTGTGCCCAAGAGGATTTTCCTGGTAAATCATTATCATTTATTATTTAAGAGGGCACCCAGTATATGTGATGTGCTGCACAGAAATAGAAAATCAAATACATGATGCTAAAAAGAGTAAACAGTTGGAAAATCTAAGAGCATAGGGCTATCCCTGATGTTAATCCTACTTTGAGTTGGCCCTTTAAAATGAACTGCACATGAGTTAGACTAACACTGGAAATAGTCTGTATTTGAGTGATCATGTCTAAAACCATAAGTTATCATTTACAGCTACACAGATATATAACAACTTTAAAAATAAAAGACTGTGACTTGAGCTATATGAATTCTAAAAATATAAGGACTGGAACCTGGTTTCAGCACATTTCAGAATTTATTCAATTGCACACCTTTTCACCAGCGACAACACAAAGTGATTCCGTATCTATACACTTGGAGTTCCTTAGGCACCTTTCTAATAGTCTATTCAGTTTTACGAGCAGCTCAGATTGCCTAGAAATAAAAAAAACCCAAAATGATTATTTACTAACAAAGGCAAAAACAGGAACAATAACTTCCTTGGTTTATTTTTGCTTGTTGGCATCTGAGCAGTGTGGGAAAAATTACATACCTTCCAGGCTCAAAAGCTGGTGATGCCATAGGCGAGAGTTCAAGGTTAAAGAAAAGTATACCTTCTGTTGCACGATTTGGCTTTGGAGAGACAAGTTCACATGACACTTGTCCAAGTATTCTGCAAAGAGATGACACCCCAGCCCCAAACACCAAGTGTTAGAATAACATTTCAGTATATTGATATTATTATTACATTGCATTTATAGCCCAACTTTTCTCCTCTTGTGAAGTATCCAAAGCAATTTACAAGGATCTCTTTTAAGGTTGTGAGCTTCATCTTCACACATCAACCCTATGAGGTAATTTAGGCTGAGACTGAGGTATAGAAACTAGATCTTTTGAGTTCCTGACCAACATGCTTAATCAGTACACCACACTGATACTCTCTCTTACTATTTATTTACATTTTATAGAAGCTAACAAGGGCACATTCTAAAATTCCAGTGTTTAACAAAGTTTAACTTACTTGGGATAAATTACTTTTTAATTTGCAGAAGTGGGGCTGCTAGACTGCAAGCCAGAAAGTGATATTATTCCTTTAAATTTCCCTATGAAGTAGTAGAGCAGCTGAAAGAATCTGCAGCAACCTTTTCCTACCCTTTCATAAACCCCTTTCCTTTCCTTTACTTCATGAAGTGAGCAGGATTCAAGTGGGCTGCACAATTTTTTTCTCAAGTTGAGGACAGTGTGATATGAAGGGGAAAAAGTGGAGAGCAAGGCATGGGAATTAATTATGGATGGCTGCATCCCCTATTGTGAAATACCTAGTTTTTCCGAGCTCCACGATACAGCATCCATAGTCAGCCCCAAAGGAAATGCGGAGGTTTCTGTAATCATAGCACTGTCGTCCATCCAAACGCTAAAAGATCAGAGAATAGCAATGTTAAAGATGGGAAATATGGAAAGCAACTGTGAAAGAAAGCAACAGAAATACAGAAATGGGAGCATACATCTAAGGGCAGAGTCAACAATCCAGTGACATTCCCCAACCTTAACCTTAAGGGTGCTATCTTTTGTGGACAATGTTTTTGTGGCTTACGAAAAGCACAGGTCAAAAAGAATGCAGTTTTCCCCATCTCTTTCTCTTAATGCCCACAAGTTTCACTTTTTGACTCTTGTCTATTAGCTATTAAAGACACATAAATCCTAGCCTATCATAGAATCATAAGCCAAGTGAATGAATACAAAAGATGATCTCCAGCGTTAAGAGTCACATTCATTCCAATGGGTCTACTCTCAGGAATGATCAACACTGGATGATCATTCGTGGTTCTTACTCCAGGTCATTTAACGTGGAGCAAAAGTGATCATCTTTTAAAGGGAATAATAGTTCTGACACTTAGGTAATGATGACCTCTCTATTCCTCAGATAGCAGAGGGAGGGGGGCAGGGGGAAGCAGCAAAGCCCTCTCCCCGCGTGCAAGCGCAGTTAGGAAGGCGAATCTTCCACACTCCCAGCATTATCCCCTGCTGCATGTACCGGCCATGCGCAGCCACACCGCGCGGCTCTTGGTACAATTATTAACTTATCCTCTCGCACCTTCTTCTCCTCGATAGCCCGTAGCAGGAACCGCTTCTCACAATTAGACAGCGGTGTTTCCTTCATAGCTACTACCGCTTCTCCTTGGCCTTTCCACCCCAAGCTAGTCCCGTCCCACCGCTTCTTCGCAAAGTCCGGTCGGCTCTAAAGACGTCATAGGCAAGCGACGTTACCAGGAGCGCGCAAGTTTAAAAGCGTAGTCACGCCGACGCTTCCTTTTACCTTAGCAACGAGGCCGTAAAGAGAAAGAACGTCGCGCAAGGCGAGAAGGAGAAAAAAGGCGGGGGACGAGGCAGGGAGACGCGCGGCCGTAAAACGAGGTGTCGCTGTGGGACGAGTTGTGTTTGAGGCAGAGCTAGTAATAGAACAATCTTATGTATGATTACGCGATAGTTAGTCCTATTACGTTTAGTACGGCTTATTCCAAGACAGATGTGTGTAGGCTTGAGGTTTAAGACTGCAGTGTTATGAACTCTTAGTTGGAGTCAGCCCAACGGTGTGACTTAATTCTGAGCAAAAATAGACGGTACCATTGGAAATGTTTTCAATTTATTTCATTTATAGTCTGCCTTTGTGCCTTAAAAATTCGCAAGGCTACTAAACAAAATCCAGGTTAAACAATGTCTTAAGAAAGCACTACATAAAAACCAAAAGCTGAAATACCGTAATAAAGTAAACACACGGCATCAATCAGTTAGAATCCCCTTAAGCAACAGAATGACTTACATGTTAGAGGCCTCAGTAAAAACGGGTTTTGAATGCTGATGGAGGGCAACAGGAAGAGGTCCACCCTAGTCTACCTTGATAGGGAGGGACTGGGAAGGCCCTCTTGCAAGCTACCAAATGAGTTTAGAAACATAGACAACAGCGAGTCAGAAGGGACCTCCCGGGCCATCTAGTCTGACCTCCGGCACCAGCCAGCTCCGCTCACGACATGCCCACCATGTGGATGTCCAGCCTGTTCTTGAACACCCGCACCAATGGGGCCTCAACCACCTCCCTGGGAAGCCCATTCCACACCCTCGGGGTCTTGACTGTCAGGAAGTGCTTCCTGGCATCCAAATGGAAGCTTGGCTCCCTGAGCGTTGCTCCGTTGGAGCGCGTTCTGCCTTCCTCTGCAGGGGAGAACAGGTCTCTACCCATCTCCATGTGACATCCCCTCACATACCTGTATGTTGCCAACATATCACCTCTGAGTCTCCGCTTCTTCAGGCTAAAGAGACCCAGTTCCCTCAGTCTGGTGGTGGTGGTACTGAGAGAAGGGCCTCTGCCAGTGATTATAATGCTCAGGCAGGATTACATGGGACCAGGTGTCTTTCAGGTAGCCTGGTTCCAAGTTGTATATAAAAAAAACATTCTGCATGGCAACATGCTGGCACTGGTGTAGCCCCAACCACTTCGGGCAATAGCATCAATCACTGTTGTCATGTGGTCACCTACATGCTTGCCTGTGGTCTGTCACTGGTTTCTCACAAATGGATTTTCCCTTTCAGCTCTCTAAGACTTTCTTTACAACAGATTGTAGAGCTCTTTATTGTCCTCTATAGTGGCCTGAAAAAATGCATCTTGGCTATTTTTATTTATTATACTAAAGCCAATTCCACAATTGAGTCAAAAATATTTATGTATTGGATGGGTTAATTCCATAAGGAAAGCCACAGCTTTGAATTTACAAAAGCTGAGCAGCATTGTCAATGATAGGACATTCTGGAGGGTTGCCATAAATTGGAGATTACTTGATGGCATGTAAAACAAAAGCCCTATATTGAGGTTACTTTAAAATTATCTTTTCCTTGAGTGCTTCAGGGATAGTGATTAAGGAACAGACTTTGCTTTTTATTATATAGTCCTATTGTTACCCTTTCTCATTTTATGCTACTTATTTGTCTTAATTAAATGTTGAAGGGTTTTATCACCTTTATTGTATATTTTCATGCTGGAAGCTGCCATGTTTGTTTGTTTTCTGAAAGCAAAAATGGTAGGGTAGTGTCTTTAAAAAAGAATAAAAGTAGATGGGGTAGTGCCTTTAATAAAGATATAGTACCATTTAAGCTTCTAGCACTTCACTGTCTTCCAAAAGATACTTACATTAGGCAACTCTACATATTATTAAAAACCCTCGCAATAAACCCATCCAATTTTATTTGAAATCCAGTGCTTTTAATTCATATCTTTAATATGATAATCTGTGGATGCCAAGTTGCATTTGTCACCAAGTTTATTCCATAGCTATGGACACATTTTTTTCCTATTGCAAAAGGAGGGGACAACTCTCTCACAGTGCTGCTTAGCAATAACAGATCATGCTCTAACTCTGATTTACATTTTAATGAATTCTTGTCTGCCTTCTAAATCTCAGTGATAGCAATTTCCACAGTAGTCACTTGTAGTACGTACATGTTATAAAGGAAATAAATAAATCTGAAGGTTTTTGCGATATATTCATTTATGTTTATGCAAACACATAGGTTTGTCCTACTTAGCAGATAATCCATCATAGTTATTTTCTTTTACAATTTCCTTGATTTATGAAATATTAGCATTTTTCCTTTTGTGGAAAAATCTCAAATGTTAAAATATAAAGGAGAAAAATTCATCAGACTTCATTTGTCTGGTATGAACAGTAGGCTAACCTAGCAAATAATCCACAGGCTGTACAATATGCGATAAAATGTGGTTCTGATGTGGATGGAGTATTCAAGTGGGTTCTGTGGGTTGGATCCAGGCTAAGACTGCAATCCTCTACATCCCATCCTGAGAGTAAGACCCATGGAACCTTTATCTCAGTAGAACTCCATAGGCAGTGTTGCAAAGTAGTTGACTTTAGGTCTCATTGGCATCAGTGTGACAAGTCCCATTGATTTCAATAGGAACTAAGGGCTCAGTCCTGTGCAAGTTTTAGGCAGAAAAAAATCAAACAACTTTCAGCACTCTCCACGCAGCATGGTAGCTTGGGAATGCTGGGAGTTGCAAGACTTTTTTTCCCTGCATAAACCTGCATAGAAGTAAGCCTTAGGATAATTTTAGGCTGCAATTCTATACCTCTTACCTGGGAATAAGCCTCTTTGACCTCAGTGGGTTTACTTATGAGTAAAAATGTATTGGGAGAACCATTAGATACAATCCTGTTTTCAAACAGGTTTATCTAGATTGTCAGAACATTTGTATTCAACCTAATGTTTTATCCTATTGTGCCTTCAGTATATGGTGCATGTATGCAATCTCCCACCAACTGATATGTTATGAAAGCATCCCTTTGGTGGCTACCTACATGCCACATGTATTTCCTGTATGTCTGAATAAACTGTAAATGCTCTTTTGGTTGTACATGTCCAACATACTTGCTGTCTTTAGTTTTTGTTACCTGATGTGGGATTGCAAACTGCATATGCAGTTCTGAACAAATATTTGGCTATCAGCATTGGCAATTATATTGGATTAAGACTCTATGTCCCTTCTGAACAGGTGACTGGTGCTGCCAGAATGCTTTGATGTTTGCAGACACATTAATTTACAACCTGGAATGGAGGCAGTTTTGTTCTTGACTCTTTTGTGATCATACCTACAAAATCACATTAGGAATCTTTTCATTAGGCTAATTTGGGACTGCTTCTTCTGATGTTTATGGCATCTAAGAAGTCATCTTAATGCACTGAATTGTCTGCTCTGACCAGAATACCTATCTTAATAAATATGATAGATGTTTAAATGGTTTTAACATTGAAATGTTATACATGAGTATGACAAATTCCTGAACATTCTAAATATATTGGTAGAGATGTTGAAGGGAGCATGTTTTATTCTTGTTTCGAGTAAGTGCCAAATATTTGCTGTAAGATAGTGTTCACTTGGCTTTTTTAGAAGGAGGTGGAACCTGTCTATGTTTGATCCCTTGCTACCCCCCTCCCCCATGTATGCTTGAACTGGTACTGGAGTGGCATAGAAATATGGAAGAAGTTATTTCATCATCACTTACGGGCCTCAGTGGGTAAGTAATTAATACACTTCCTTGTATAAGGCTTGGAACACCAATCAGCCCAAAATATACAAGTAATGGGGAAAAGCACAAGCACCAGAATGGAGAAAGTCTTAAGAGAATAACTAATTAAAAGGTAGTAAATTATTATGATTTTAGCACCAGATTTTTATCGTTTGTACTTAATTTAATTATGTTTAAATTGACCTTGTTTTTAAAAACTTTTTATATTTGTAATATTTAAACTACTACAATATAACAATACAAACATTAAAATAATAAAAAGAAAAAACAGCACAATACTACATTCTCTCTCTCTCTCTCTCTCTCTCTCTCACACACACACACACACACACACACACACACAGTGCAGCCCTTTACTGGGACCATGACTACATAGTATTTATTCTTTCATTTCTTTCTTCTTCCTTACTTCTAAATTTCCACTCTTAAATTGACCTTATTTTATTAGATTAAATAGTTTAATTTATTGATCATTCAATTTTATGTCTATTCTTATTATTCATTTTATTTCTATTGTTGGTTTTATTGTATATTGTTTAAAGGTATTATGTATTGTTTCAATTGTTGCACAACATGTTATGAGCCATTCAGAGATCCTTATGGCTAATGGGGCAGTATACAAGTCAGGTAAATATTAGAATGCATAATACCCAAACCTATGCAAGTTTAGTCAGAGATAACACAATTATGGAACCAATTTTCAGTTAATAGGCAATAGAATAGTAGAATGTTTTATCTCCTAAGCTATAGTATTGGAATTTTTGTTTCATCTACCTTATCTGTTGCTTGCACTTTTCATTGCTGCTTGTGGACCTTTTCCACTCTGTGGACCTTTGTATATTTTTATTGTTTCTAAAAGAGGCATTGTTTTTTGTTTTAGTGCATCCCATGTATGTTCCAATCAGCATTAACTAAGACGTTAAATAAAAACTATGGGTACAATATCAAGTACAGTTGCTTGAAAGTAAGTTCTGTTGAACTTAATGCAACGTTGCTGCCTAATAAACTTATTATCCTTATCTTCTTTGTTATGAAGGTGAAGATAGAACAGGGAGGGGAATTGTGAAAATATTTCAAACTGAGAATGCAATAGACAGACTTGCTACAGTACATGAGAAATGGTATGGGAATAAGTAGCCAG